ACCTTGTGATTGAAATACATCATCTTCCAGGGGGAAGACAAGTGGAAAACACAATTGCTCTTGGAGAGGATTTCCTTTCTGTCTGATTAAGGCATAAATAATAGCTTTGCCAGAGAACTCATCTGCATACTATACATATTGATTGGCCATTGGGACACTGCTCCAACCTTTGATAGCACAACAAGACTAACGGCCACTTAGTCATCGGACTGGTGGTGAATCAACGCAAGTCTTCCAACAGAATAATCACCATCATTAATACTTTGTTGATTAGAGATCCTCCAATGCTCTATGCTGGCCACTATGGATTTTTCTTTGTTACAAGGTAAAAGGATTAGCTAAAAGCATTATTGATTATACAGGTTGGAGGGCCTGCTGCTTTGATAATTGTTTTTTCTATGTGAATAATGAATTTCTTATGGCCTACCTGTGTCTTTTAGCTGATTAACGAAGTACATTAACTCACCTTTTGTTCAATTAGGAATGTAAAGAGAAGCCCTAGCTGTAATATGATCTGAAGACAACTAAAAGACAAAGAACAATAATAATTGTTTCGGAAGAACCACAGCTTAAGGGGAAAAAATCACCAAAAATATCATTTAAAGTAACAAGACTATGACTTTATAATTGGTGGGATTTTTAATTATACCCTGATAAAACTGTTTTTCAAAATCTTTTATTAAATTAAACACCAATTGCCTTTAGGCTACCTGATTACAGTATGATAAATGACATTTGTGAGCAACTACATGTAACATTTGTTTCCCCCTAGGGAATTACTACAGTTTAATTGCTGTAATATAAAGTCAGTTAGACAACCTCTTGTTCAACATGCATAATGAGGCTTGGAAAAAAACTGGGTGAACTCAGAACTATTTATAACCATAAAAATACATCTAATTTAGCTTATTTGTCCCACTTAAAAGCTGACACATGTTTATTTCCCCAATAACGCCACATGCAGTTGACATGAACCAACCTACATTACATATATAAAAAAGCTACAACCGTTTTTCGATTATTGAACTTAAAACTTTCAATGTATTTACAATCTTTCAGAATCATTTTTGCAGGGACTGACTGTTGCAATTAAATTTATTATTTTATACTATTAGGCTTTTTTTTAAATTAAATAAAATTTGGTTAATATATATTTAAGCCTACAGACATCAACCTCGAGTCAACCGCATACGAGGTAACCGAGGGCCGCTCTTTTCAAATTCCACTTGATTCAATTTTAAACAAGTTTCACATTTCATACTGATTGTGATGAAAAGTCTTTTTTTTTTTTCTAATTCAAAGTTTTTAAATCTATTGCAAAGGCAAGTGTTTCGCCACTTTCACATTTCCAGCGCTGCGACAATTGCCATGTATCAAATGTCTTGAAAAGAATGCAAATGATAAATCTCATCTCATGACAATTTCATCAAGAGAGCTTGCATTAACGAGACTTATTAAATCAATGACATTTTCAAACATCAAGATATAACGAATGTTGAAAACTGTATCGGATACATGCATGTATAAACATATTTACCTTTTCACCCGCGACAACTTGGAACTACTACCACGTGCGCTCGAGGAGAGCGTCACTTTCGTCACTTCCTCTCAGAGACTCTTGTGGTGCTTTTTCTTGGGGAGAGGGGGGGTGCGGTGGCGAAAGAAATAAAATTTAATGTGTTTTTAAGCCTATTAGCACGATTATCTTTAAAAAACACAGGACCTTTTCGTTCTTTTTGTTGTCTGTGTACATATTCCAATTTTTTTAGCAATTACTTCCGGTAAGTTCGTCGAGCGAAAAAAAACCTCAAAACTGTGCCTCAAAATCTTGAAGAAGCATTTTAACTAAACGAGTTCTCTTATTTACAAAAAAAAAAAAAAAGGAATCGTAAAAAATTCAAAGAATTCCCATTCTACCACTTGTTAGAAATAACATATTCCTATCTTTTCAGAGAAAAAAATCCATTAGATGCGTAACACATGAAGTAATTTGTCAAAAGCTAGTATTGAAATTGTTGTTTACCTCCATTACTTTATAATATCTTGAAGGTAAACAACAATTTTAAACCTAGCTGTTGATTGATGAAAAATGTTGCATTATTATCCCAGATTTTCATTTAAATTATTCAAAATTCTACCAGTGGAATAATATATCGTAACAATTATAATATTTTTAACAGCCAATAATTTTAAGGTACTTTTCTGCACTGGCTTTTCCAGCAAAAGAGCAGAAGGGGAGTACTGGTGTAGTAATTTATGTATAAAAAGACACAATTACCTTATTCTGGTAAAAAAAAAAAAAGGGCAGCATACACCTAAAAATCGAAGGTATCCTATGCAGGATTATCAAGCCAACCCGAATTTTCCTCAAGAAATTTGAGCTATGCACAAATCATTCCTCAACTTGCCCCAGCACTCAGATTCAATGTTTTGTATTCTGATTTTGTTTTAAATAACTGGGCAGTCATTTAGCCTGTCACGTCTTCCTGTACATTTAAGAAGAAAATATCAACATAAGATACTTTTATATGAGGGGTTTTATCATTTTTAGGGTTTGAATTGAAAAAGATTAATAGCTTTGCAGAAGATGTAAACATTTGACTCTGGGGCATTCCCAAACATGGATAGCTTACCTCTAAACATTACCAAAAAGTTGATCAAAATCTAATTCCTGGTATTTGAAAATTGAGGTTTATAATACAAAAACTTTAGAGTCCAATTTTGCGGAAAAAAATTGCTAAAAGACAAAGGGCTGCTCATCTTAATAAAAGTCATTATTTATTGTTTCAATTTGTGGTACATACAAACATTGTTTCGTTCCATTTTTATCTATAGAAATGGCTCTCATATGATACTGTGATTGCTTTATTACAATCCAAGTAAATAACAATTTGCAACTGAAAGGAAAATAAATTATAGGATACATACAGATATTTCATAATTTTTTAATGAAATCATACCTCGTACTTCTGGCTCCAATGGTGAGTAAGCCCATTATCGCTATACCTGTCTATCCCCTTCAATTAACTAATAATATGGTTATACAAAGGAGTTCTACAGTAAAGCCATTATAATACACGAGTACTTCAATGCAGAAAAAAGGCCTTATGCTGTTGCCTGGCCCCAATATAGCTTGAAAATATTAGAGATAGCAGTGACACTGCCAGCGAGCAATATATTATATGAATATCCAGACTCTTATATCTTCATTCTCATAATACTTCTTTTCTTTGTTTAAACAAAGAATATTGCACCAATACATGTAGTACTAGCAGGTGAGCAGCAAGAGGCCAAAATTTTTGGATTTAGTATCCCTATACCTGTATACACAAACCCAAACCGTACATCATTTGAAAGCTGAGTCTGATGGTCAAAGTTAGCCATGATGACCATAGGGTATATAACCATTACATGAAAACAAACAAAATCCATGGTGGCCACCTGTTTTGTTAATGTTTTAGGTATCTTATTAAAAAACCAAAAAACTTAAAACAACATTTTCATAAGATCTTAGCATATGGGTATGTCAAAATTTTTCATATTTTTCATAAATTCAAGAGTGACACAATATCCAAATTGGCAGCCATTGCAAATATAAGTATTAAAAAAGTATATCATATAAACACAAAAACAAACGCCTCTAAAATTTAGGGACATTTGTCACATCTTTCATGAAGGTGAAAAGCCTGTGATAAATTACATGTTATGTTATACTGATATAAAGAATGCTGTAATATGTTACTTCAAAAAAATTCCACCACTTCAGTGCAAGATGGCCTCAAAATCTGATACGGCCACCCTTTTATAATTAAAATAACATTATTACATTTTGCAATGCACAGATGCAGATTACGTCTATACATGCAAAAATAATTAGAATTTGAGATGTTTTATACTTTCTCATTAGATAAAGATATATATTATAGTAAGATATTAGGAGAAATAAATATAAGATTTCAAATTGCAACAAAAATGAACACACAAGTCTCCTCTATAATAATGTGTTGCTTATAATATTGTTAATGTGCCATTTCCCATCATTCTTTTACGTAGGTCGCATCCCATAATAACAAGTGGTTCTCAGCAAGATAAATTTAATAAATAATGTTCTTTTTGTATTCATTATGAAAAATGAAACCATACTTAATGGAATATAAATAATGTGTGATTACTAAGACATAGGTTAATTAATCCTAAATAGCCTGATGAAGAGTATACATAAGGAGATTAAACCCTTCCTTATATCAGTTGTTTATCATTATTATATGAGGACACATCAATACATTTTATCTATTCTTTACAGTATTCTTCTTGGTGAATGGGATGGCCACAGATATGAAAAACAGACAGGTCACAGACAAGAGTTTGCCTCCAAGATAAAAAAAGAAAGATGCAGAACATCCGCAAGAAATATCTAGGCATTTAGTGAACAATTTGATCAATCTATTTGATGCAGAAGATCACCCAAATGTTCTAATCAACATTTCTACTGGTCTCCATGCTTCTTTGGCACACACCTCTCTACTAAGGCTCCGTTCACATGAAAAGTCTATTTTCTAAAAATCTATTTTCTATTCGCGGTATCTTGTGATCACGGTCCGTGCCCTGAATATCCCGCGGCGTAATTACTGGCAGCGCGAGCCAGTTACTTCCAAAGCTGTAATTAATTCTCGACTGTGCTCGGAGGAGATTCTGATACCTTGACGCATGCGCAGTAAGAAGTTAGAAAGTTAATGGCGGTCGCGGTTGCTTTGAAAAATGTGTTTGTCAATTTTGTGCAACAACAAGACGAAGAAGATGAAGAAGCTATACACACGACAGATACGAGTGCAACCATCATGATCGGATGGCAAGCGATGCGGCAACGGAGGATGAGATTTTATAGAATGCGAGCACAGCCGAGAATTAATTACAGCTTTGTATAAGTAACTGGCTCACGCTGCCAGTAATTACGCCGCGGGATATTCAGGGCACAGACCGTGATCATAAGATACCGCGAATAGAAAATAGATTTTTAGAAAATAGACCTTCCATGTGAACGAAGCCTACGTACCCTGGAGACTGGTGAAGAAAAGCTAGCTTCATTTGTCCAAAATATACTTGAACCTGGCTCAGTCATCTTTAATAGTACAATCAGCAAATCACAATTAAGATTATTTGCAGACGTGATAAGAAAGGCTAAATTCAAATTGGGATCCACAGTGATATAAGGGACACTAAATCCAGAGAATGTTTTCTGCAGAGACTTATCACTGTCTATGAGTCAAGGAGATGTTTCCAGAGAAACAATCCCAAGTTATTCCGTGGGTCCAGTGCCGACATCAATCTTTAGTACTGATGGCACAATGGGGAAAACAAATAAAGCTGAACTAGGAAACCAATTGGAGAGTCTCTGTGAGCAAGTACCTGATTGCCCTCGTGGAAACCTGTCAGAAGTTGTGTACATACAGGTTGCAGTGGCAATAATCCAGATGATGTCTGGGGGCAAATAGCACACATTTAATGAATTTGCTTCCTCACATCTTAAAATCCTTCAGGCAGTTTTTTTGTACAAGTGTCACTGTTGTTGTTTTTGATAGATGTGATTGTCCTGATTCAGTGAAAACTGCAGAGAGAGACCAAAGATATGGACCACAGTTAGGGATGAAGCATAAATTGCTAAATACAGCTTCCAACAAACAGTCACTAGGTATGTTTCTTTGTACATATCTGATCAAGCATGCCCCCACACTGGATGCAAAACCACCCTTATAAGAGGCTTCTGGTTGTTGGAGGATTTGCCAAAGGAGAGAGGGTGATGTCCATCACGAGTACAGGTGTGGTTCTACAGGCTTCAAGCTTGCAAGAAGAGGCTGACACAAGGATGGTTTTACATTCTGTATTAGCTGATAAATACAGATTGCACTGTATTATTTTCCTTGCTTGCAAAATGTGACTTTCATGTGGATAGCGACTAGTTGCATTGGTAGTACAACAGACAGACAGCAACTTGTACCTGTCCATGCACTTTGCTCAGCCATTGATTCCGAGTCATGCAAGATTCTTCCCGCTGTGCATGCTACTACTGGATGTGACTCTGTTTCTTTTTTATTTGGGATTGGGAAGAGAGCAGTCATGAAGGCTACCCAAAAGAAAGAGGCAGAGAGTTTGTAGGACCTAAAAATGATGGGCCAATGTGCTAAAGATGGTGCCACTGATGAAGCACGAAAACTAGTGGCTCTGCTGTATGATAAAATAGAAAAAGATCTACACAAATCTCAATCCAAACGTTTTAAAATAGCAAATAAGAAAGATCAGGCAACTGCAAAACTGCCACCATTTGAAGCTAGCTTTATCGAACACTTGAAGATAGCTAACTGGAAAACAAAGATGTGGTGTAACTCACATGTTACAAATCCAGATCTTGGATCCCCACTTCAACATGGGAAAGGGAAGAAAAAAAGCTAGTTCCTGTTTACTTCAAAATAAATAAATGGCACCTCAGTTGCTCAGGGGAATTGTATGCTCATGCTCTGTGTAAATAAGGGACACTAAACTCCAAAAATAAAACAGTTCTTGGGGATTTGCCGCTCACCTCTAGCATATCCATATCATTTCAAATAACAGTCAAACACTTAACAAGATCGTCAACAAAGCACAACTCCTGATATACCATCTGACTAGTGCTCAGTTCATAAAGATTTTATGACATTTCCACTGTGACACATTGTGCTGCACTGGCATCAAATACATGGTGGCTTTTTCTTTCACTGAATTCACCTGGATTTCCTGCATCTGTAAGGGTATTTGAAAAAAGAGAAGTTAATGTTGTATGGCTTAAACAGTCTGTAATATTTGACATCTTTCTCTCTCAGACACGAACACAAATCCATGTAAGCAATACAGTTAATGCAGTATTTCCATTCTTTCTGCAAAGATGATAACATTTCTTTATAGTGACAAGTGCAAATTATGTATTTTATTCTATTTCTACACTAAAATTAAATGTTAGGAAAGGATATTAATGTTCAAAGGAGAAAGGGTGCAAAAAATTCAATTGTCAAGATGACATTTTGTTATCCAAAGTACATCATTATAATATTATTAAAATGACATGATTGAAGAGGTAGATAAACACATCAGTTAAAGTAAGTAAAAATATCCCAAGATACAACACTATATAATAACCAACATCCTCAGTAACTCAAATTGCTTTATTGTATAATAGTTGATAACCAAAATGCAAGCAACTTTACTTTTAGAGGCATTATACCAAAAATATATAAACAGGAAACAACAGTCTAAAACTATAATAATGATCGAGAAAAATAATATATCTTCAACATCAAAGCATGGACAGACACAAAAATTTAAGACAACAAGCATCTGTATATGAGGAAGGGGAGTACAATGAAAGTGCACTATGACACCTAGAATAACAAAATTTGAATGCAAGACATACCTGATATTTTAATGGAAGGCACTGGGATATAACCACACTGGAGTGGTACCACTTTCAGGGACATGTGCCCACGCCCATTTTGTAAACCTATTTCACCTATTATTATAAGAAAAAATAATTATATTCTAAAAGATCAAATCAATAACAATTTTAATAACATGTAAAATAACCATGGCACTCTATTTAAATTAACTTGACTTTATCATATATAGTGTACTAAACACTGACACACACTGACACACACACAATGCTAAAAACAATTTAGGATGTAACATAAACACATATACAGTCTGAGCAAAAAACACTAATTATAATTTTACCAGAATAGACTGTCTAAAAGGAGCAAATTACATAGTGATCTTTTAAGTAAAAGCTTGGATAACAATTTTCTTTACACTTCTGCCTGAGACAATTTGTTTAAGAAGCAAAAATATAGATTTTACTGATTACTTTCACAACTCATAAGAAAGTTTGCCAATTAGCTTCCCTTGAGATAATACTAATCAAATTGTATAAGCATTTTCTTTCTATAATTTCTCATTTCCTTACTGAAATACAGGCGAACCAAGAAAATCGCCAAATGCACTGATCAACTTAATACAAAGTAGTTTAAAAGAATGCAAATTGAATTTTCTACCATGATATGAGTGAGAATAGTCTTGCACTTAATTAATTGGCAACAGCAGCAACAAATTTTTGGAATAGTAGAACCTACTTCAGCAATTGCAATGATCAACTGACTTAACCAACAGCATTACTCTTTTAGTTTGTGGTACAAAAATGACATTACCTGAGGATTCACACAAAACAGCCTAAAAAATCCACATCTCACGTGTTAATAATTACTAATGAACAGCTAATCCATACCTGCAGTCTTTCCCATAACAACCCAACATTTCTTATCCACTTCTATCTGGTAGGTCAGCTGCTCTGCCTGGTGGGCATTTCCCAATTCCTGGATATCTACATTTAAAGTACATGTGCCCCCTGATTTAACTGGTCCTTCAGAGTCACTTCTGATGGAAGTCAGCATGCCATACCTCATCTTAAAAAAAGAGGGGAACTGATTAGATGAGGAGAAAGTGCATATAGCATGCTGTTGCGTGACACTTGAGTTTCACAAGGAAAATCAACAAAAAATTAGATTGCCAGTATNGATTATAGGTGACCTAAATCCAAGAGATGGGTATGGGGGCCCTTACCGTCTAGGAGGAGAAGCGGTAACGGTAACATGGCGGCGGAGCCGGCGGAGCCGCAGGAGCCGGCGGAGCCGCAGGAGCCGGCGGAGCCGGCGGAACGGACCGGACGGGACTAAAACCATGTGTACCGCCAGCGCTAACGCTGGTGGTACAATGAAAGTAACACCCAACATGGTAAATGACAATAATTTTATATTACATGTTTAATTAATAACCCTTATTTATTTTTCAAAGCAACTTTCAATGTTGATTTATTCCAATGGATTATGGATATGTAACTTGACTGCATCTGATCATACGATATTGAACAAATGCCCTTGAAAAATACCTCTTCATTTTCTAGCTTGAAATTATAATCAGCATTGCACTGTATGCCAGTAGGATCCTGCAAACCCAATACCAAACTACAAGACAGTGTCTGCATGTTAGCTGGGATCTCTTTTAACTGCCACAAATATGTAGCACTCTGGTTGGCTGTTAGCACCTAAAAGTTAAACGTAGGATAAGAATCCTCTGCATCTACGCCTTTACACAGAGACACTAGGCCTCAAATATTTATCTATCAATGGTGAATACATTTCATTGTCTGGTGAACCTATTATACAGAGTATTTATAGCTTGTCTGAATCCAGTTCAGGTTCATAGCAGAATGTGTTACATCAGTCCTGTAGACTCCTGGTTATTGTGCCTCTGGCATACAATATGGAAACAACATTGAAGTACGGGTCACTGTGGTTTACAAGCAATTTTCAAGCTAACTGCCAACTTGCTCAGGTACAAACTACATACACAATATTCAATAATTAATTATGTTACAGACACCATATATTCCTATTGTCTCACCATAGGAGCATCGGTGTAGAAGGGCACAATATTTTCATCAGCTACACCTTGTATCTTCAGAGATGTGTGGTTCACTGTGATACTCAGTGTTCTGGTCGCTGTCATTGTTAACTCCACAAACCTCCTAGAAGCAAAATAAAAAAAGTAAAAGAAATTCTTTCAGAAACACAGACTTACAAGTGTCTGCCAGAAGATTTATCTAAAATAATAGAATCGTTTTACAGAGGTTTTACATTTGAAAAACACTAGTATTTTTCTTTTCTAGATACAGTCCTTACTTGCTGATTGTGTTCCTCATCTTGCATTTGAAGCAGAAAGGTTGCTGGAATGTTAAGCTCTGACATAGGATACTGTTGTTCCAGTCACCCTCTACATCAACCTGGATAATAAAAAAAATCTATTTCTTCTTTCCAGTCTTAACCACTTACTATAGCCATTTTCAACAAAACAAATGGTTCTTTCACAACAATCATTGCATGCTTTCACAAGTGATGGTTATTAGGTTAAAAAGTATGAACCAGATTATATGGAAAAGTAGCATCATATTCAAACCCCCATCCATATATAAATGCCATCACTATTTTTTGTCAGATTCTAGGAGCAGCAATACTTTATAATATTTTTCCAGAGAGATGGTCTCTGCACAGTATCAGTATATAACAAAACTGGCTAAGTAGTGTAATGGAGGAAGCTGTTAATGATTATCAATTACCAAATGTTCTTCTTCATCAACACTCCCCAATGCTGCCTTGACAAAGATCTTTTGTTCCCATGTTTCATAAGCCTTTAAGGCTGGTAATGTTACAGATGTCAGCTTGTTTTGGCCTTCATCCTGAAATATCTGTAGTGTCTGTGATGATACATGAAGAACAGCGCCCTCTGGAATTGTGTAGCTGCCTGGGTTTACAATCAACTCTAGCTCTTGTACAAAACCAGCTAGTACTTGCCCTGATGGTGGTAACATATGAGAAAATCAAGTTTCTTCAAGCAAAAACATTTTACAATATAGACCTTTTCAAAGATAGAAACAAACACATTTTACAAAAAAACTCTAAAAATGGAACATCTGCAGGAGTTGTCATTAACACAAATCTATCAGAATGAGAATATTTTAATTTTTGTTTTTACACTACACAAGGCATGCCCTTAGCATTTTAACTTGGATGCAGCAGTTGGCAGTTTCCTCTCCAGATGCTTCACAGTTGTTTACTCACCAGATGGAGACTTGAGACACACAGTGGATGCATCTGCTTTAACTTGGAATTCTATGAGCAACTCCTGCAGTGATTCCACTAGCTGTATTTGACAGGCCTCTGCACACAATTGACTCAGACAGTAGCTGCCTAAATCATCCAACTGAAACAATAAAGAAATGGAAAAGAGTAACTTATGGTTCAAGAAGGCATAATGAGTAAAGCAACATATATTCTATAAGCTAGACATATCAAAACCTAACTTTGAGGATGTACATATAGAAACAGCTGGCAGTAAAAGGTACAGTGATACACTACTTATAAAGCGTCTTACCTTTGTTGACAATGAAAAAGTATTATGTCCAGGCATCATCACAACATGCTCTAGACTTGCAGATATAGTGTAATCATCCAACTGTACATCTTTCTGGGTCCCAGAATGATTCAGTCCTATCTGTTTATCCATCGTACTGGCATCATGGCACTGAAGTCTTATAGTTTGCACCTGGCCATTACTAGTATACTCATACTCCTCAAATACTTTATACTTCGTAGTATCCAGACACAGTTCCATGCTGCTAGAGCTGGTGCCACTGTGGTGCCGCACGTGATGGTGCCCATGCAGCGCACGACTGCCTGAGGGTTCCAGGGCAATGCTTAGCATGTTGCACGTGATAGGTCCTGGGAGGTGATTGGTTACACCTAGTGTTATTGTGATGTGGTCACCTATTATACAGACTTGCTTATCCAGGAGAGGCTTGTCAAATGTCAGCAAGGGGTAGGCTTTCAGGGTGTATGGGCCATCTGAGAAAGAAATACACATGAAGTAATTTAGGATAACCCTATATTGGCAATATTTGAAAGTTTTATCAGTTTTTGCCTATTAATGAAATTCCTATGATGATAATATGTGACTTTATCATATTCTATGTATAACTCAGGCAAATAACAACCTGTGTTTTATGTGTACCAGAAATAAGAAAACAAAAGGTTCTGAGAGGCTATTAAAGTTGATTTACATATTTTAAGCCACGGATACCTGAGACATCTGTTGTTAGCTTAAGTAGTTTTCTATAGTAATCCATTCTCAAGTCATCATCCAAGTCTTGGCTGCTTGCAATACACACACATGAACGAAGGTATCTGAGCACGGTGTAAAGGATGTCAGATAACCCACTGTAATGTAGCTTTTGTATATATATGCAATTTTACATTATACAAAGGACTGACGTTAGTGAAAACCATCGATTTGGTTGCTTACAAATTATTAAGTTTACATTTGACTGCCTTAATACTAAAACTTTTTATCATCAAAAAATATCTATCATACTGAAAGCCGTATTTATAATGTTGTTGGCATGTGCAAATGCTTTTCAAACCATGGATTTATCATGGTTTTCAATAAAAAGTTTCATGGATCAACTTTTCACAGATACACACTTATGTCCGTTTCATTAGACTTAACACTGGTGCAGGATATGAAAAGTGATGAATATATCTGTCTTGCCAAAAATTAAAAGCCCTTGAGGCCAAAAACCATCTAAGTGTAGCTAATCCTGCATAACAGACAAGGATACTTTGATATTGATCCCTCTCTTTCCTGACACTGAGCAACCTTGACCCGGATATGGTCTGCTATGCTGGTCCACCTTTCTCTTTTGTACATCTTCAGGGCATCCAGCAAAAATCCCTCTGCCTTGCTGTACTCACCAAGTCCCCTGGATTAAACATGATATTATAGAAACATTTCCAAATCCAGATAAAAATTACTAGTCATACAAAAGTCTACTTTACTATGGAGTCAAAAATAATATAGTATAAAATATAAAACTCAATAATAGGATAACACTTTGCTCTATTTTTTTTGTTAGGAGTATCTTTTCACTTCACAAAGATACTTTGAAGTAGAAAAAACTGCTAAGACAGTAACATATCCTTTCACCAACAAAGACTTTAGTGAGCTTTTCTCATACTTTATTTAGATTTCTACAAGGAGAAAAAAGTTGAAAAATGTATTTTCAGATGTATTAAAAAGTACATGTAAGTATTTTTGAAATATTAAAATACTTTAATCAAAAACATAATACAGACATTTATTATCGAGCATATGGGCAGTATATGGACCACTGTAATAGTTCAGAGCCACTGCTGCAAGGCTCTATTGTACACTTACATGTAAAAGTCTGCCAAATCTTGCCCAATCCGTTTGGCTGACCTCATCCTTCCAATGTGTTTAAATGTTCCCATGGCTAGTTCTGACAGTTCCTAATTGTGAAAAAAATATTTTCCCTAGACATGTTATTTAGCCTTGGACAAAATATTAGAAAGCAACACAACTAATAACACATTTCATACAAACTTTCAATCTCATTCCCTGTGGGTTTTCTCCTTCACTAACATCCCCTTTCCTAATCAAGTGTATTACAATATTGTAACTTTGTTATTGTAACACTAAAAATTACTAAAACATTTCCATTCGGCTAATTTTACTTACAAGATAATTCTTTTGAAAAGCTGTCTGTGATGACAAGGCTTCTTGCAGCTTGGATTTCGGACTCTCCCCCTCCCTCTGTTCCAGAATTCTCATTCCAGCAACTAAATCTACCACAAGATGGAGCTGTTCAGATGATGGGGTCATTCCTGGTAACAGCCCACATAGTTCACCTAACTCATACAGCTGAAGTATATCATAAAACTACATAAATCATGGGCTAAACTAGATTTTCATTATTTTGAAGTTTCATAAAAAAACTTTGCAATACTAATAATATTTAAAGATATATTTCCAAAGTGTAGCAATTAAATGTGTGAAACATGAATGCATTGACTTTTCCAGAAATATCATCCAATTATCCACATATTAAACTTATGTAATATCAGACCACAGTCCCCACTTTTTTCACTGGCAAATTCAACAGTAATATAACTTCATTGTGCACACCAAAAAAAATAACATTCCAATTCATTAACACATCAACAGTAATGTTACCTTCTTTCTAGTGTAATCCCACAAGCTGGCTGTATGTAAAGAGTATGTCGCCACCTGCCCAGATTGACTGAACTTCTCACAGGCCTGCAGCGTCTCCATGCAGCTGAGGAACACCCAGCAAGCCAGAGAGCCTGGAGGGGTATGGACCTGGTGGAGACAGAGAAGTATATATGTGTGCACTGTAGAATGTTTGAAGGGCATTTGAGGTATATAATGCAGACATTAAAATAGGTATTTCAGTCAACAAAAACAAAACGTGATTCAATTTTATCACCTTTTTCATGATTTTTATTTAATAACAGCAGTTAAATGTTGTATCAGCCTTTAAATAGGAAAGGCAATTTCTAAAGCAAATTCCTACATTTGAACAGAACAATACATATGCTAGAGACAACCACAAGAATGTAGACATCAAGGAAAAGGGCATAAAGATCCTTTTAAAATATTAAGAGACCTAGATTCATTCGAAACTGTTATAGCTTCTTTCCCTCCTGAAAAAAACTATCCTGAAAATCTCAACAAAATTTGTTAACATCTTTCTCAGACAGCTTGTCCACTAATAAACAGGAATCTTCATAGTGGAGGTTACAAAAACAACTTCAAGCTTCATACTCAATTATCAATTATTTTACAATGAGTAAAAATGCATATGTTAATACCTCCAGCAACTCCACATCCTGTACACATGTCTGCATGAAGCCCATGGACCTCTGTGCCACCTCCCAGGGTCTGTACAGCAGGAACAGTAAGGCACACTGCCTGGAGAACAGGTAACTTCGCAGGTCAAGGAGGGTGATTTTGTTCAGCTGGATCTGATACCTGAAGCAGAGACATCACTTTGACAGTGAATATATTTACAATAAAAATATGCCACTAACTTTTTTAATTTTCCATTGTAAGAAAAGGGACCAGTACAATACTGTATCTTAAGAATGCAAGTACTAACTAGACTTATTGCACATGAAACACTATTAATATAACCCTACCTTTTTTCTTTATCAACAGGTCGAGAGAGGTTTAAACCTTCCCAATGTTCACAAGGTTTGGTCAAGTTAGTAATCCACTCAGCTGTAGCTGTAACAAAAAATTGATATTACCAATTTTTCAATCTAATATGGTTGTTTACAAAATAATCAATAGTTTGATAGATTCTCTCTCTAGTAACACTGCCCAATAAATTTAGACCAGACCTAGAAAGAACAGCAGTATAACTGAATGTGGTGGTGAAAGAGTATTCTTGAAAGAACATGTAATTACCTCCAGCTGCATGGTTCAGAAGAAATTGGCTAAAGAGGGCATCCAGTTCATCATATTGGATTAAGGCATCTTCATACACACCAAGCATTTCAAACATGAAAGCTAGTTCCTCCTGCAAAATAAATTAAAAAACTTTATCATCTTTTTTCCTCAACCACAACTGAAAACAATCATGTAACTAACACTCACCAGATTTATAAGCACATTTATTAACATATTTCAGAAATCGATTTTATCACATCATAGTAATAAAAAATGTGATTGCTGTCTCATGGTTATTATTCACCTGCATGAGAAAGTATTGGCAAAAATCCCATCCTGCTTGTGTTCTCAGTTCTCTCTGTGACCTCAGTTTTTCTTCAAATTTGTTCAAAGAAATATTGAATGACTCTAAAATCTGCACACGAAACTTGTTGAGGAAATTGTTCCAAGACTCAGAACTTCGGGGATCAGACTTCAAAGGCTCTGCCAACATAACACACCTGTAACATTGTATATTTACTTAAAATATAGAAAGTTGAAAGTACCAAGTAATCCTACATGTCAGTGTTGTCAGCCTGCCATACAAAGATATGTTAACACATTGTGTACTAAGCATTTTTTCTCTACAGTTTCTTACTGTTTTTTTTTTTAAACAATATCAATCAATACCAACCCACTTTTTTTTAAAGTGGGTTGGTATTGATTGATATTGTACAAAAAAATATACAAAAATATATATATATAATATACAAAATATACATATAAAAAACATACAAACACTGCCCTCATGACAAAAGTCAATAAAATTAAAGCCTAGCCAGGCTAGGCTTTAGTTTAATTGACATTTGTTAGTTTTGAGCACGCAGATGCTTTGACCTTAGTATCCCAAAAAATTTGCACTGACTGTTTACATGCCAAAGATTTTTTGCAATATAGATTTTCCATAATTGTACAATGGACAACTGACCTGTCAGCATATTTCCCACAGAAATCATTCTTCACTTTGTCATACACATTAGTTCGTGGAAGTAATTTGCTCTTGACACTCTTTTCATCATGGGTCACCACTACAATCATCCAATCACTAATTCCATAATTCCGTAGAATACTCAACCAAGTACTTATGTGGTCTCTAATACTGGATTTGTATGTGTCCAGATCCTAAAAGTTGTGATAAGCAAAAGTTAATATGCAAAAACAAGAAAAGAGTCAACAGTTTCAATAAACTAATGACTCAGTTTAAAATTTCCATTACAATAACTATCTAAATAGTTAATACCTGGAAATAGGTAAAAAGAAACTAATTTCTTTCATCTTTGATAGCAAAAAATAAAGTAATCAAAAGTAAAGAAAACACAGTTCTATGAACATATGAGACATACACAGTCTGTCCAGTACAAGTGAAAGTAAGGCAGACTTGTCAACTGGCAGAAGTCATCAGCTTCTTTGGCTTTGAATATCTCTGCATCGAATGGAACAAATGTGGCTTCCACGCAGACTTTTCTTGCTGGTCGACCATAGGACCTTAAAATCATATATAATTTCACATAAACCAAACATGAATGTGAACCTGAATCACAGTTCAACAGTGGTAACATATAAGCAATCAGTAGGAGCCACCCCTCTCAAGTCCACTAAAATTCATAATAGGCATTTTAAAGTAGTTAACTCATACGGTACTATGTGATTAAAGGTCAGAGTGGTCACCCTTCATAAAACGTATCTCACAAAAAAACAATCTCACACTTGGCTTTTATCTTTATTTTCATGTCTAATATACTGCACATTGCATGTGTTTTGGATCCTACCTCCTCCATTCCACAGCAGCCCTGGGCAGCATCTCTGTAACAGCTGGGCAGAGGGAAGAGTACAGCGTCTGGTCCCCATAACCTGTGAAAATAAGAGGAGAAAAATATGAGAAAAAGCATGGAAATTATCCCCAACATCTGCAGATGGAATACTTTAAAGTGAAGAAGAACCAAGTAGCAATATGAGTTGGTAGGCATACTGGATATGAGGAAGCCTAATGGATTTTTGTTGCATGTCGTGTTTACAGCAAGTACTGTACATGGCGTATGGCCATTTAAATTTCAACCAAGCCTTCATCATTTATGACGGTGTTTGATGTCACCAACAATAGCACACAGCCCTAAGTGAATGCCATGGGTAAATTTTGATGATCTAACAAAGTTTAATGTTGCTTACAAGTAATTATTGGTCTTTTCTCCATTTTGTCAACCAATTACATTAGCCAAGCCTACATCTCTCGTCAGGCATCACTCACTCATCAGCCAGATTGCACGTCTCATTGCTGAATTACTGCTAAATATACCATTATGCGTGCCTAATTATATAATTTTTTCAGTTCTTTGAAAAACAGTACTAAGCATATACATGTGCATATACAAAATGCCATATAACTTTAGAAATTCCGTGTAAAAAATCAACTAGTCTACACCGACTTTGCTCTTTCGTATTGAAGACAGGAAATGTTTATTCATTATTGTAGCGCGTAAAAATCTATTGAGTGAGCACAGCTGATTTTGTTTTAAGAAAATTCATTACCATTGCTTAGATATATATTTAATAAGAAAATTAATTGAATATCTACATTGTCTATTTTTTTCTTTCAGCTATACGCCCAAATTAAAGGTTCAACTAAAAATAGGTGTTTGATATTTACACGCGCGTATTGTAAATTATAAAGGTAATCTTCCTACTTCACGTTCTCCCAGTGTGGTATCATGGATGCAGGTCAATTTGCTCTTACCACAGCGGTCTCAACCGCTTCCCACCCGTTTACCTATGCAAGGGTTTTAATACAGGTGAGTCACATCCCTGTGATACTCATTGCTTCTGCGTTTCATAAATTAGTGAAAAAATTCAACAAGACAAGACGAGCATCATGATAAATTCCCATATCATCATCAGACCGGTTCATCCTGATCAGCTTCGTCTGACCGTTTTATTTATATCATTTTACCTGTTTTCACTGAACAGTGGTGTATAATAATCAAGACAAATGAATATTACAGTGAAATCCCATTGTAGTCAACAAAATAGAGGGTGGCAAGCACATCAAAACATAACAGGCATAACATTGTGATTATAAAAAATGAAAGTAATTGCATCATACATTGAATTTTCTTCTTTTTTTTCAGCTTGGACATGAACCTTTATCACCATACCAGACCAAATCTTTCATCTGGTTTGGTAAAGACATCTTAGCGTACCCAGGGGTGTTCGCCTACGGTAAGTTTCAGAACAAGGCTGTTAAACCACAAGATGTCTTAACTTCCTCCAAACTAATTAACTTAATCAACTTTTGTGTACTTATAGGTTGTGTTACTTGATGTTTCAGTGTAAAGTAGATTGAGTTTATTCAATTTTTACACTATTTGTTATGTTGAATGGTCATTACTTTTGTCATCTATAACATCATTTCCCTGGAAAATTTTGAATAAACCATTCTTTGAAATGCTTTTGAGGTAAAGTTGTTAGGAGTGGAAGCTACTACATTTTTTTTAGTAAAAAAGCTACAAGGTCAGGAAAATATGGAAATGCACTTTTGGGATTTTGAATAATGGTATACAAATTTATTAAAGTGTTCAGAAATATATAATTGAATCCTTGTTACTAAGTGGCACTAATTCTTGTGTATTTTAAATATGTGACTAAATTTGTCATTTATTTTCAAAAATATGAATGGGCTTTTTTCTTCAGTGGGTCACATAAGAAGAACTGATGGCTTCACTGGTCTATTTCGTGGCCTGTCACCTAGGTTGATAAGTACACTGACTTCCAACTATGTTGGAGCTTCAATAAGAAAGGTAAGTTTTTCTCTTTGTAATTTTAAGTGCAGCCCCTATGTTTCTGAAAACATCAACCATTACTTGCTTGCCATTGCCAACATTACTTGTTATTCTTAAAGTTATAAGAATGATTTTTTGGGACTAAAGCATATCCCAAGTTTAAAGATTGGATTAATTTTTTTCACACATTTTCACGGTGTGACTTCAAATTTCATTGGTGTGATTGTTACATTTTAAATGTCCACAGCAACAGCAGTACATAATTTAACTTTGGTGATAAATATGTTTAAGGGTTGTTGTATCAAAATTGACAAAAAAAACTACTTTGTACACTGCCTTCATAAACCCAAGAAAAGGAAAACTTATAATTTACAGTCCTAAGATACAGTTTGAGTTTGAAAACAACCCAGGATTATTTTTCTTATCTCAGCATTCCTTTCAGTAATTTTGGCCCTGAATTTGTAGTAGGCGTTTGGGCTGGGCGTCCAGGCCTTAATTTTATTATTTTGTCACTTTTCCATGTTTACTCCTTAAAAGGTTTTCTGTCTATATGTCAGCTTTAACTAGCTTTTTAACATCTTTAAGGAAAAAATGCAATGGGTCCACTTTCCAAAAGGATGATATCACTGTATATTGCTTAGCCTTGTTTTATTTTTATTTATGTATTTATTTTATAAACAGCAAATTCAGTTCAGTCTTGTAAAGCCATTATTATGTAAAATGTAAGAGAACAGTTTTATCCAAAGGAGAACAATGTTACTGCTTTTGTTATTACAAAATTTGCCACAGGTTATTAATAGATTGTGTGATTACTTTTGTACCAGGTACTAAAAAGCAAATGGACATTAGATGCAAATGAGCCAGAGGGATCTGTGAAGAAATACCTCCTTGAGGTAAGTATACATGAACAGTTCATGTGTGCAAGGTTTTACCACATGGAATAATGTTGGTAAGTTTTGAGGAGAATGTTGATATTAATTTGAGATATATTTCAAAACTCATGAACCATGTTGATCAACAGAAAGTTGAGCAGTAGATGTGTAAGTTGATTCATTTGATTGCAGAATTTTGTTGACACATTCACAAAATCAACATTTCCATCTAAAGTTTGGAAATTATTCAGATAAAAAGCAATATTATACTCTTTCAGACTACACAAGACATGATTGCCAGGTATGCAGGGATTATCATAAGCCATCCATTCCAAGGTAAATTATACAAGAAAACATTTTGTTATAAATAGGCTCAAGCAGTTCGATGGGAATCTCAGGCCCTGTTTAGTATAATACTGCAAGGTTTTATTTAAAAATCCATTCCTGGAAAAGCTTGCAAAAGGACTTGTTAATATGAAGAGGCCCAAGTATTATATAAGAACTAAAACTACACGTAAATTAAAAACAAATATAATAGTTATTAAAACTAAAAGATTAAGTTGTCATTTGTACATCTGCCTCTCTCTTTGCAGTGATAAGTTAATCAAAATATTTTTAATTAAAAAATTTTAAATGATAAGAGTGATTAAGAGACACATTTGATTTGTTAAAATAAGACCATAAAATTGATACTGCAGGCTCAAAACTCCTGTGACCATACATTTTAAGTGTCTTTTTTGTATCTGAATTTGTCCACTGGATCCAAGAGTTCTAATGGTACTTGCAAGTTGTATTATATTGTTCATGTAAAATATTTAAAGATTTTCATTAGATGAGCTAAGGCTTGCAAGAAGACATTTTAATATATAAAGGCTCAAGTATTATATTTTAAGAAGATTTTCTTTAGATGAGCTAAGGCTTACAAGAAGACTTGTTGACATAGCAAGAGGCTGGAGTATTATATTTTAAGAAGATTTTCTTTAGATGAGCCAAGGCTTACAAGAGGCTCAAGTATAATATTTTAAGAAGATTTTCTTTAGATGAGCTAAGGCTTACAAGAAAACTTGTTAATAAATAGGGGCTTAAGGATTACATATCTTAACTAACAGCAGTATAAAGGTTTTTTTAATCTTTTGGAAGAATATTTAGATGTTGCAGTAATGATGGTGTCTCATGTTTGTCATTTGTACATCTGCTTCTCTCTTTGCAGTGATAATGGTGCGATCCATGGCAGAATTTGTAGGAAGAGAAGATATTTACAGGTACTTAAAATAAAACTGTAAAATTTAGGACAAAGTTAAACGGAAAAATGTTTCATGATTTTATATGTTTCATCTTATTGTAATAATTCAACCATGTTGAATTATCACTTTTTTATTAAATAATTTATTAATTTATTTATTAATTTTTTAAATTTTATTTTAATTTTTTCATGTTGTGTCTGTACATATAGCCATCACCTGCATCTGTTGTTGTTGTCACCATGCACTTTCAGAGACCACATTTTACCTTTTGCTCAAACTTACAGAACTGATGAACATTCATTAAATACAGTAAAGCTGTTCTTTTTTTTTTTTTTTTTCCAGCATACATGCAATGCAGATAACACATTAAGTGGGAAAACACTTGAAAAATTGTATCCAAACTTACAGGATACAGGACAATTTTGAAAACCAGCCTGATGGGGTTATTTTTCTTGAGTTATGCAATTTCTTTGTGAAATGTTGAAATGTTCTTTTTTCACATATTGGCATTTTCAGGGTGTCACTTTGAACTACCATTCAGACCCAAATTGCCCATATTACTTTCAAGTTGTTCAGCATTTGTGAGAAATTGCCAAGTATATTTTTTGTAAAATGAGTGAAAATGTGAATGAATGCTATTATGATATCAGATTGATGATCAAAATTTTTTTCAGTGGATGGCTGACACCATATTCTGAGATATATCAAAAAGAGGGGATTTGGGGGTTCTTTGCGTAAGTAGTTTTCAGTTTTCCAAGCATTCTGTAATATATTTGATATAACATAACTGTTGTTTGCATTAGTCAAGACAGAAATAATATCCAAGCATAGGATGATGATGTCTGTAGTTAGGAAGCAATCTACTTCTCAATGTATTTGATATTTCATTGAATAGGTACTGTTAGCTGGCAAGGGAGGGTTTATTTACAGCCTCACATACCTTAGAATGATAGATTTCAGACTACCCTTAAAGTCATTAAAACTACAGAAATAAGAGGAAAAATATGAAGTGGTGTTTAAGTAATTTTGCTCGTTTTATAACTAATATATTTTGCACATATTAGGGGTCTAGTGCCACGCCTGATAGGGGACACCATCTTACTGTGGGTCACAAATACCCTTGTGTATCTGATCAACAGTTATATAGTGAAGGACAAGGTTAGTTTACAATTATCCAAATAATGTTTCTTTTATTCTTGTATATATATTACATACGTTTCTTATAGTTCTTTGTTGAGGTGCATGTGTTTGTCAAAAGACTGTTTGGAGACTGCGAATGAACCTGTTTTGAAGATTTTCAAGTTCTTTGATGGCTACTAACTGGAAGTATATTTGGTATAAATCTTTTTAGAAGCTCATATTGTTATCTTTTTCATTTCAGGAATTACAGACCTATACTTATCCAGCTTGCACGGTATGTATTTTTCAAAAACCGGGCAAGGTGTAAACTTTTCATATTTGGTTAACCTTATTAACAGTCGACCATGCACTAAAGCTTTTGTTTTGAATTGGGCTTCGTTCACATGGAATGTCTATTTTCTAAAAATCTGTTTTCTATTCGCGGTATCTTATGATCACGGTCCTGAATATCCCACGGCGTAATTACTGGCAGCGCGAGCCAGTTACTTATACAAAGCTGTAATTAATTCTCGGCTGTGCTCGCATTCTATAAAATCTCATCCTCCGTTACCGCATCGCTTGCCATCGGATCATGACGGTTGCACTCGTATCTGTCGTGTGTATAGCTTCTTCATCTTCTTCGTCTTGTTGTTGCACAAAATCGACAAACATTTTTCAAAGCCACCGCGACCGCCATTAACTTTCTAACTTCCTACTGCGCATGCGTCAAGGTATAAGAATCTCCTCCGAGCACAGCCGATAATTAATTACAGCTTTGGAAGTAACTGGCTCGCACTGCCAGTAATTACGCTGCGGGATATTCAGGGCACAGACCGTGATCACAAGATATACCACGAATAGAAAATAGATTTTTAGAAAATAGACTTTCCATGTGAAAGAAGCCTTACATGGTATTACTAACAGTATCTCTAACAGCATATACAAATAAGGATTGTGTAATTTCCAAACTTAATGTCCATAAGAGTTCAGGTTACTTAAGGCAGACATGCGATGTGATTTTTTTTTTCAGCACATTACCACCCATTTCACTTACTCCTTCACACTGGTGAGCAACATCATGGCAGTGAACAATGCAGGGTAAGGGAATATATTGTTTTAATGTAATGGGATTCAGTTTAATATCTGTCGTTATGTATGTTGAAGTGGTGCCCTGAAATTTGTGGAATTTAATACTGATAATAGAAGATTAATGGTATTCATACTAATGCTAAATAGAACTACGTTTATAGAAGTTTGTCTGAGCAAACCTTGATTTAAATCATAAAATATAAAATTTATAATTTCTCCGCTTTTCATATCCATAGGCTTGCTTTGGCTGCTCCTCCAATAATTCCAGCATTTGACAGCTGGAGAGACTGCTGGTCCTATCTTAAGTCTAATGTAAGTATTGTCATTATGATAACCAGTGCCAGTTAAATATTAAATTCATGTGTTTGCTTAAAAGTTTTATGGACAGACTACATGTATGTATGTATGTGCACACACACTGCTTTGACAGGTCTCTCATGTTGTATTTTTCATCTCCTCAAATGTCTTTTTCTATATTTCTTAATATAAACTAATTGAAATAAGATGAAAAATGTAAACAAAGATAATCATTGTCAGTATTATATATGGCATTAAGTATAATACAGTTCTTGTCTTTATTCAGAATGAGCTGAAGAGAGGAGCTTCTTTGCTGTTTGCCCGCACTTGTAATATCCCAAAAGCAAGCCACCATCAAGCTTTGGACTTCTACATGCAGCGATAAGAAAGCCGCAGGCATAGCAAGTGATACTTGAAATCAAGTAGAACAAAGTGTAAAATAAGCAGAACATTATATATAAATTGTATATTATAAATCCATAATATTCAAGAGAATAATTGTACAAGGACAGTAAGCCACAAGAGGGTTAATATTGTTTCCAAGTTTTTTAAGGATGTGTAAGGTTAATATCAAGATTCAATGAACAATGAGTGGATGATAATTTTCTTCAATGAAATAATGAGTGAATGCGACATTTCTTCTTGATTTACACTCGTTTTGTCTACACAGCATGTCCTGCCGAAGTATCTACATTGCTAAAAAAAGCACATCTAAGATGTGTATTCTACTGATGACTGCCAAAAACTTAAATACCTAGTAAATGTGGGACCTATACAAAAAGACAATGAAGTTTTTTACCGCCAATTGTCACTTATTTGCTGAATAGTAGCTTGAGAGTGTTAATATATTTGATTCTTTTAATTGAGTGAATGAAATAAAAACACCAAGACGGATAAAATAGTAATTTTAAATTTTTCAGATTCCTTTATGCAGGTTAACTCTTTTTTTTAATTATTTTGCATGTTTGAAATGTCCTAAAACCATATTTTTTGCCCTGTAAAACTTGTCTTTCCAAATTTGAGCCATAAAATGATAAAATGCCTGAAACAAAAGATATCTGATTCAGAAGAATGTATTTCCTTTCAACCCATGGCATCTTAACCCACACAAGAAAAAATTGCTTACTGTAACAACAATTTCTGTGAAGAATTAGAAATAGTAATTGAAATATCAATTGCAAGTAAAGGAACAGTTCAAGTAATGATTTGCAAGTAAGAATTTTTTTTAATTGGACCTGATGCAAAAAACATAAGGATACCTTGAACTTCAATTAATCCTAACATTTTATTAGAGACAATACAATATACATTGTAATCAAACATTTCTGAAAATGGCGATTATTGCATTAACTAGGCCAGAACGGCACCTTACTAAATACTGTAATTCACATCTACTTCAATAAACAAACAAATAGTTTATGATAAATATGATATAAACATTCCAAAATAAGTCACTCTTCTCCTGTCTGAAACATTCCATTCAACAGCTATGAATTTCAGTCAATGTTGTCAATTAAAGATATTTAGCTTTGTTCCTTTAAGTTATACTTAATTCATTCATTACACTTTTCTAAAATAATAACAATATAAGGATCTTTGAACTGTGCATAGGACATTAATATTATCTTACAACATTCCAGATATTCTCCTGTATATTTGAAAATATCACTTCTGTTTGGTTACCCTATATTGTATTAACATTTTCATTACACCAGCAACATAATTAGTACCACCAGCGTGTACGCTGGCGGTACTCATGGTTTTAGTCCCGACCCGTCTCGTACAGCTCCGCCGGCTCCTGCGGCTCCGCCGGCTCATGCGGCTCCGCAGGATGGCGTGGGATACAAGTCACCGTTACCGCTTCTCCTCCTAGACCGCAAGGACCTGTGTCCCCATCTCTTGGATTTAGGTCAAATATAATCTCAGCTTGAACCCCCTGGTTTTTTTGTCTCAGTCGGTGCATTGGCCTGGGCCTGGCACTTGTTGTAACGCACCCTTGTCAAATATTTTGAAAATTCAATGCTAAATATCTCCAATACCTAAGGAATTATGGGAAAAATTTCTACAGATGGCTGACCGAAAGTCATATGTGGAGTTTTCAAATATGCCCTTGGATTTGACCTTTGACCTTTATTTCAAGGTCAAACGGGCCAAAATTTTCTAAAAATGGGAATTTTTTGCAAAAAAATTATTATTTTATGCCGAGTTTCAGAAATTCCAGATCTAACTTATAATATTATGGACAGGTGTTACCCTTAGGGTCTTCTTTCATCTTTGTGAGTTTGGGGTCACGGGAGCAGCGGCCATTAAATGCCAAAACTGAAAACTCTCCAATTCTGGAACTGTTAATGCTAGAGACCTCTTGTTTTTTGCATTTTGTAGAGCTTATCAAGCACAACACTGAAGGTGGTGTCCGTTATTTGTTTTCGATACTGCTTAGGCATTGCATTTTATCGAAAAGTTCAACATCCAATATTTATTTAGTGGTGAAAATAAAAAGTGAAATACTACAAAATTAGCAGAGAAACGCCCATAGTTACTGTTGAACTTGAATAGGAAGTCATATACTTGTAATCTAACTGTGACCTTGAAATTGACCTTTGACCTACTTTTCATGATTTGCAAGTTTTCTGATTTTTATATCTCCAAAACTGGCAAAGATATGCTGATAGTTACTGTTGAACTTAAATAGGAAGTCATATACTGGCAATCTAACTGTGATCCTGAAATTGACCTCTGACCTACTTTTCACCATGAACTGAACTTTGCATATTTTCCAGCCCTTATATCTCTTAAACTGGCAAAGATATGCCCATAGCTACTGTTGAACTTGAGTAGGAAGTCATATACTGGCAATCGCATTGTGACCTTTAAATTGACCACTGACCTACTTTTCACCATGAACTGAACTTTGCAAATTTTCTCTCCCTTATATCTCAAAAACTGACAGAGATACATCATTAGTTACTATTGAACTTCAATAGGAAGTCATATACTGGCAATCTAACTGTGACCTTCAATTTGACCTTTGACCTACTTTTTATAATGAACTGTACTTTGCATGTTTTCTGGCCTTTATATCTGGCAAAGAAATGCCCATAGTTACTTTTTAACTTGAATAGGAAGTCATAAACTGTGACCTTGAAATTGACCTTTGACCTACTGTTCACCTTGAACTGAACTTTGCATATTTTCTTGCCCCTCATATCTTCAAAACTAGCAGAGATATGCCCAGTGTTGCCCATATGTTTCCTCTTTTGTCAGCATATATGCAACACTGATAACACATTTCAAGGAAAACCAATAGGCCTATTGTCTAGAAAATCACAGGAGTGATCAATGTAAGGAAAATACAGGTCAATTGGAAAAACTGCTTGATTGGACCATTTTTACAGTTCTTTTTTTTTTTTGCATATTTTGAGAACTCTTGTTTATTGCATTTCATACAGCCTGTCAAGCACAAGACTGGTGGTGGTGGTGTCTCTTTTTTTTTTTTTGGATTTCCATCCAAATGTGCTTACTCCAGCTGGTGGTACAATATCCGGAGGCGGTATCGCCTCTCTGATCCTCTAGTTTTCATAATATTTTAAAATGTTGTTGACCTCTTTCAAAAAGGTAATAACTTTGAAGATTTTATGATATGCAGTCCAGAAAAAAAACAAACAAAATGGTTCTTGTTAAAGGAGTTACTATAATGCTTCAATCTGAAAAGGTTTACCAAAAACAAAGTACAAGTTACGGCTTTCATTATTTACCATGAATTCAGGTCATTTAATATAAATAAAGTTAAACACATTACAGTTATCTTATTATAGTTGTAACAATTAAATTTTATTCAACCATGGGACTTGAATATATACAGACTAGACTAACAAGATAGGATTATGAAAAAATGTTAAGAAAGGACACAAGGAATGTTTAAACTTCTACAAAATGGATGTAAATATAATATTATAATATAAGTTTTGTAAATGTACATAGACCAATAGATCACTTTGATGGGTAAAGAAATTCTGTCTTGCTTTTTGAAATAACTGCTTTAACCACTTTCCTTCCATTTATGTCAGGCTCTCAGCAATAACTAATATTATGGAAACAATGGCAATAAAACCATCTAACCTTACTGAGACAATGCTTCAATATGAAACTCTAAAAATTACAGGTCCAGTACAGCTACAACACTGATGCTGTTATGTTCCCACAATTACTGGAAATATTTATTTAAAGGTTAAAAATATTATAGAGATATATGTTATTATTGTAGTATATGTATGTATAAAATTGAAAAGATTTCTCTCTATCACAGATGACTACAACTCCTTACATTATTAAGGTGAATAACAAAACAATGAGTACATTACAATGACCTTTTTAAAATATAAATTCCTTTGTATATAATCTGTGGTAAGTGTTCTTTTAAATAATTGCATTAAGTATTTCACCATGAATGAAATGACTTACAGATCCAACTGATTCTTCATATACACATGGATACTAATACACTAGCAAATATTGTGCAAGCTGAGAAGTAAAGGCTTAAAAATTCATTTTAACAAATCTAACCTGAGTATCTACTGGTACAAGTAATTTTCTTTCCAATCCACTGAAATGCTCTATGGAACAGTAAATATCTTATTTACTATGTATATGACATCCTCAGTTTCAATCAGACTCACAATTACATGCATGGGTGATTATAAAGTGCTATCCATATCATTTAAAAGTGAATGTGCCACAGCTTTAAATCAGCTCCAGGACAAAACCAGCTCCTGTCTCCTGATAACTGGTAAATATTACCCAAGGTGAATGACTAAACTCTTCACCAGCTACAGACAGGTCAACTGTCGGCCAAACTTAACAACAGCACTTAAATTCCCAGAGATGCCAAGTTGAGTTCATCCTGGTCATCCACATCATCCTCTTCCTCCCAGTTGATCTCATTATGCTTCATCAAGGCAGTCATCATGGTCTCAATGCGGTCAGTACTAGACTTGAGGGCCTTCACTTGACCCTTCAGCTTCCAGATGTCAGTTCTGGTCAACTCCTGCTGTTCCTCTATGTAATCCATGCGGTCCTGGAACAAAGGAAAATTAATGAATCAAAAGCTATTGTACAATTTTTTCTAGAAATCTATTTTGTTTCAATCATTGCTTCTTTATCGTATGGCAAAAGGCTGAACATATAATTATCTAAATATCTCTGATAGTTCTGCACAATCCAAAATAAGGGTGTTTTAATATGAAGAGTTTTCTGTGAATCTGTGTGTGTATCCCAAGTTAGAGCACAACAGTTGAAAGCAATTCAGTGCTGCATGTAAGACCAAAACTAAATTGGTTATTTTAGCAGATTACACAGATATATTAAAAGTTTACAATAGAGTTTCACAAAAGTCTACATATGATTATGAAAATTTTTACCAGCTCTGGCTGCAATGCCTGTGCGATGGAAGCAGACGTCAAGGACTTATCTTTGGTAAACCAGCTCTGCTGGTTAGGCTTCAGTGCCTCTTGCTTTATTACCATCCTTCTCCGTAAAAAGCCAGGTATTTGATTCTCCACATCTAATGCCAGGTCAATCTGAAATAGGTGATCTCTTTATAAGTTGACCTTATTTCCAATGGTACTGCACTTTATTTACCAAGTTAACTTTACATTATGATATTTAAACTTATTGTTTTGCCATTTACATAAATCTGTATGTGGTAAATCTTAATCAAAAATAAAAATTTTACTAAATCAATTTGTAAAACATTCAAGTAGAATCTGTTGAAGTAAATATTTCACCTGCATAGCCAATCTTTTCAGTACAGCCTGGTCCTGGACAGCCTTGATATCATCTACAGCCAAACCAACCTGGGGGGAAGATTATGTCACTAAATAGTGATCCTTTCATCTGATTAATTTGTTAACATTTTAATTGTAATTCTCTTAATTTTTTCATTAAAAAGGAAATTGACACATCTTGCAGAGAACAGTTTCCAAGTTTGCAATAGAAAATTGGTACAGTGGAAATGACAAAAACATGTCTAAACACACATTCAAACCCCAGATTCAACTCACCAGTAAGTTCATGATGAGGATGGACATAAGAACCAAGAAGAGAATAAAGATGGCATATGTAACCCCCTCATAGTAGACCTGATCACTGTGCATGTTTTGCCCCTCAGGTGTGATCTCTGTAGTGTACTGAGTATCAAACTCAAACTCTCCTATCATCATCACAGCTGTCTTCAATAAAGATCTAGCTGGAGAGCTGAATGGTGCCTGAAATTTAACAGTTAGTGGTGAGAGGATAGTTCCTAATCAACTATGCTCTAAGGTACAAAGCTACAGTTCCAAATCTCAATTGTTCTTTTTTTCCAAATATAAGACTTGGATTTAATGATTTTTTATAAAATTTGACCACTACAATCATCTAGATTATTTTGCACAACAAAACATGGCTAGTTTGTATGGTCTGAAGATGTGCAAGAAAAATGATCAAGAAGTACTTGGAAACTTCTGTCCTCCTTACCTGGTTTTTCAACAACACATGGAAGGTCAATCCAAAGGCCACTATGAACAAAACAAAGACAAGGAAGAATTGGCAGAAGGTCCAGAGGATGTCTGTGAACATCACCACATAGATTCCAAATCTTGGTAACTTTCTTATGAACAGCAACAACTCAATCCAGGCCAGGAATAGTGCAATGGCTCCCACGTTCCACTGCCATGGCTAAAACAGAAAGATTAATGTTTTGTAAACAAGTGAACATTCACATTAACTCATTTAAATTGAAAATAAACAAGCAGAATGAAACAAAGGGGGAGAAGCTTATAAAAGCATGGACTGCTTCTATAATACAGTCTTATTTCATTTGATTAATCAGAGTGGAAAAATGATAAGTCCCTGGCATATTTTATTCTTTTCATCAACAATGCAGTTAAATAAGCACAATTGCATCTTTACTTACATGTCTGATTTGAGGGTTGCTCATCTGGCATGAATCCCAGTCTATCACCAGTAAGATTGCAGGTACATATATCAACCATTCAATAAAGTTTTCTACATTCAGATAGTTCAGCTTTGAGTAGCATATTTGAAACAACTGAAAAGAAATATTCAAACTTTCCTCATGTTCATTTAAGACGTATAGTTTATCTTTATTAAATTTTAGTTGCAACAATAATAATTGGGAATGTACTCAATCTCACATTTCCTATAAACAATATACAGTGTCTACATTAATATATCTTAGCTTCAACATATAAACACACATACATAAACATAGTTAACTTAATTCATATCAAAAATTCAATTCCCAGTTGGCTTACCTCTCTCACTAATGTGAGTACAGCCAGGGCCAGAACTATCCACTTCCCTATGGTTCCAAACAACAGAAATGCTATGGGATACTGTACAGGCTGGTGTAAACCAAAGCTGGCCAGTTCCTGACATGACACTGTATAGATATCAGTCCCATTCCATGCAGTGCTGGAAATAGTGAAAATACGATGCAGACACTGTCTATTCAGTTTTAAAATTAATTCATGATACTTTTGCTTTAAAACAGCACAAGTGATTTTGATACAGGTTAAGTCTTTTCACTCTAATCTTCTCATTTGGCCAGAATTTATAATTTTAATCTTATCTATTAAGGTCTTCCTACATTAGGAGTTAATAAAATAGTAGGGCATATTGCTTTTTTTTCGTCTGTGATTGTCACCAGAAGAATACATTTCTACAGCAGAACAGCAGGAAATGATATTTTATCTACACTGACCCTCATGGTACTTATGATTTCAATACTCACTAGTTCACCAGCATATAGGGAGGTTCATGGACCAGCATATAGCCAGTCAGGAAGGTCAAGAAGACACAGTAAAAAATCAGATTAATATAGTAGAAGGCAGCTCCAAATTTATGCCACTTGTGTTTCAGAAGGCTGGATACCAGTGGGTGACTCAACAAGTCTTCTCTTTTTGAGGACACCTGTAATACATCAGCTTAATTAAATACATCACAAACTGGAGATCTGAGAACATATTTTATAATTTTTTCTGACATTTAGTGCTTTTTTGTTTGTTTTTTAATGTTTGTTTGTAATTGTAATTGCAAATTTTTTTAAAATATCCAGTGCAGGTTTTGTACTGGGCAATATTTATATAAGGTAGTACATAATAACATACCATAATCTGCAATGGATGGTTTTTCTTCAAAATCCTTGAATCCTTGGAATAGGGACGAACGTCAGGTTTGATGATATGAGTGTCTTCATCATAAATTGAACCTGAAAGACCAACATTCAGGTCAAAATTCTCAAAATTCTCTTCCCTGAACAAGTTTAAGTCAGCTGTAACTTTATTGCTCCTCACCTTTGCATTCTAAATATTAACAAATTGTTTTTATGGCCACGTGTTAAATCTCATAAAAATTGTCAAGTACAAGCACTACCCCCCTTCATCCACAAAATTTCAATGGGTATATGTAATACTGAAGCTTGAAATTTTACCTTCACATTGGCTTCTATTTAATAGGGCAAACAGAAACTTCTCACCTGAGCTGGATCCAGCGTCACTTGTCCCCTTTTCACCCCAGTCCGCATACATGTCATCCAGGTACTCGTAGTTGAATGTTATTTCACAGTCTTTGTGTTCAAGGTTGGTCATGTTGGGTTTCATGCAGTTGTTAAATACTTTCTCTGCAACATCTGCTCAAAATTAAATAATCAATTAAATTCTCATCCTTTTTTCCTATTTTTTTACAGTTTGGATGTTTTCTTAATATATATATATATATATAATGGCATTAAAACTTCCAACTAAAACAATTCAACAAATGAAAACATATTCCAAATTTTCTGACACACCTGGCAGATATTCATCAGGCTGTTACTAACTGGTAAGAATTTTTTCATATCTCAAAAAGAAACAATCTTAACAATAAAATTTTACTACTTGCATCATGGTGTTCAACCTAAACCTCCTTACCTGGCATTTTGCGGATGAGTTTCCGAAGGGGAGTATCCCTCACCAAACCTTTGGTCACATCGGCAATCTGGTTTTTCATAGCCTCCTCCCACTTGTCTGTCTTAACAATTGCCATGGCAACATTCCTAAAATAATCAAATAACAGCCAGTTATGTTCAATACTTGCAACAAACTTCACTAAGGTAGCAAATGTCTGAAGGACAAGAAAATAATCCCAGTTTTTGTTCAAGTGGTCTCTACATAAAAAATTATAAAAATGACTTTACTGCAAATATTTTGCAAACAGTGTCATTTATTTTAATGGTGAATTCTACTTACATGTATTAATTTTAATCAAAATCTCAAACAGTCACACTAAAAGTGTTACTTTTCTTATCCTACTTACTCATGGTTGCAGTCTATAGCCATATCCAGGCAGTTGAGGCCATCGTGGTCTCTCTGTGCAACATTTGCACCCATCTTGATAAGAAGTTCCACCAGCTCTGTGTGGCCACCCTTAGCAGCCAAATGAAGGGGAGTAACCTGAAAAGACAGACAGAATGATAGGTACAGTTGTTTTCAATGAAATACATAATTTCTACTTATTACAATATATTTTCAAGCCATTATATGGCAAACTGGATTTATAACTTAGCTAAGATACTTGAAGATGATATCAAAACATTTATTTCTTTATGAATTAGAATACAAAGTGGTGTATAACATAACAGAGAAGTGTTTAAAAAAAATGAAAGAGACAGCTTTGACTTTGCCTATTGCAATTACATCATAAACCTTATTTCTATATTTTTCCAAAGTTGTACTTAATAAAGATAGTAAAATATATTTAGAAATAACTCCAAATATTGTGAGAAGAGCTTCTTTCCTTTGTGTATTTACCTTGTTTCTATCAAGTGGATCAATAGGACTGTCTGCTTCCAGCAATGTCTTTGCTGCCTTCACCTTGCCCATATAGGCTGCACAATCAAGAGCTGTCCAACCTTTAGCATTCCTAGGAATCACAACCACAAGTGAAAATAATGAAGAAAATGGTTAGTTTGGTCAATATCTATAGTAAAAATAGGTTTGCTAATGTTAAAACATTGCAGGACAAACCTTTATAATTGATTACATTAGATATTCATTTGCCTTTGCGGCATGTTTCAAACACTTAAAGCTTGACTTGCTGTCAAAATTAATGTCAAGTCCTAATTCATAGATATTAAACGATTTTTATGAAAATTGCTGACAATAGTTCAAAATATCTTGAGAAATGAAGAGATCATCTATTGGAATAAACGCACAAAATGAAAGGGCACACAAATGCACACACACACACACACACACACTGTTACCTAGCCTCCACGTCTGCCCCAAGGTCCAGCAGCACGTCCATCACTTTCTGGTGACCAGCCAAAGCAGCCAGGTGCAGGGCTGTGTTTGACTCTTCATCTTCATCATTCACTATTGTCTTCTGCCTGTTCACCAGCTCTCTTACAACTCTGTTTTAAAATAGAAAAGCAGTGATCATGTTTTGTTTTACAATTGGTTGAAGGGATTGTTGAATAAGATATGAATCATTCATATAAATAATTAGGAGGGGTAAATAATTTCGTAATCTTGCACTTATTTTTTTACTGTTAATTTTCGTGATCAATTTTAATGCATAAGATCTCAAATCTATAATTTTTCAGCTTTGAAATACTGATAAACAAAAACTTTTAGATGCTTGAAAAACTTACAGTGTTCGACCATGCATTGCAGCTAAATGCAGTGGTGTCTGTTCATCTTCATTTTTGTCGTCCATCATGGCATTGTACTCCATTAGCAACTAATAATACAAGAAATTGCAAATGAGTTCTGGCATAAAAATAAAGAATGCAATCAGACAATGACAATGCCGGATAACAGCAATGTTCCAATTTTTGGTGTAATCTTGGTAGACATTGACATCCAAGTATTGAATTACTTAACAAACCAAAATAGACTTCTTTTCAGTCAGTATGTTGCTTAGCTGACCTCACAAAAGTGATACCTGCCTCAGCTTCACTTTGGTCAATATCACTTTTTACATCTGCAAAACCCCATACTGACCTTAGCCAAAGTCAGTAACTGTATATCACACTGGTACCTTAACACAGTTAATATGTCCCAACTGTGCAGCAATATGCAGTGGGGTGTTGCCATATCGATCAGCTTCATCAATCAGTTTTGACACTTTTGGATTTCCCAGAAGAACCTGAAACACAGAACACACCACTTACATTCAACAATGGATTTACTGACACAAGGTACAGGCTGGAAAAGGAAATGCAAGGAATAGTTGTAAAATATATTGAAATAAGGCTGGGGTAATGAGTGAAGCAGATCATCTTTGATGCTGAAGTACTATTTTCACTAAGCTCTGAAAGTTATATCTGTCTTCAATAATTGGGCCCATAACCTGGGCAATGAGTATTTTTCATTTTCAAAAAACCACCTGTAATTCTTATGACCAAACAGAGCTGAGTAATGTTACCTGAAGACAGCTGACATGATTGTCCTCCGCAGCCCAGAAAATGGCAGTTTTGTCATTCTTGTCCACTGCACTAGGGTCAGCGTTGTACCTGAGTAGAACCTTGACCACCTCAGGGTTACCCCAACATGCTGCCAGCAACAGTGGGGTGAAGTTATCCTTGTCACGCTTCTCAATGTCTGCATTACTAAAAAAGTTTAATTAAGAAATGGAAAAATTAAGATAACAAATACCTTAGTATACACCTTAATATTAAAGTCATTTTGTGTGTTGAGTTTCAATGGACTCTGATTTAAGTATTCTCCTTACATTACTGCAAGAGAAACTAGAAAAGGCAAGGGGTACACAGAAACTAATTCTAAACAGTAATAATTATTTAATTACAAAAATCAAAAATTAAGTTTTTCATAAACAACATTTAAACCACAGGATGGGCAAATCCATTTTGTTTTTCATAAACAACATTTAAACCACAGGATGGGCAAATCCATTACCTTTTCAGTAACAGCTCCACTACTTCAGAGTGGTCATTCTCTGCAGCTTTGTGGAGTGGGGTCTCCTGGTTGTGGTTAAGAGCGTCTACTCTAGCATTACTATCCAGAAGCAGCTGCACGACCCGTACATCTCCACCAACAGAAGCAAGGTGGAGAGGAGTGGAGAAGTTATTGGCTGTGGCATTAGCATCTCCACCTAAAATAAAAGAAGTGGAATCAACAACTGTAAATCAAAGAAAGTGACCATTCATATTGTGGAGATATGACTAAGATTATAAACTTTATCCATCAGAGATAAGATCCCCAAACAAAATATATTAAGGTTCATTCAAAATACTTGGATATGCATGTAAATACATGTAAAAATCAGTTTAAATCCGCCATATACATATATGCACACACCTTTTTCTAGAATTAATTTAGCCACTTCATAATGACTATTGTTGACTGCAAGATGAAGGGCTGTGCTCTTTTCTACATTCTGATCTGTTACCATCTAGAAAATAAACAAGAGATTAGGAAAAAATTGACAAAATTTTAATACATTAAAAAAATTGAAAATTAAATACATAGAAATAATAACTGCATATAATGAGTGGAAAAATTTAAATCCTAACTGCCATTTTTAGCAGTCTTTACAATACTTTCTTAAAGAAGCAGGCACTACCTCTCTTGGTATGTCTACTTTCTTGTGCATGTAAAAAGATATATTCTTCTGTACAATTAACACTGAGAATTTTATATAACTTATAACACTTGAAAAGTATTTCTCACATTAGTTTTAATTGAGACAGGATCAATTTAACCATAAAACTCCACAAATATCTTAAGTTTATACCTGTGACAAAGTAACCCAGCCATCTTTTTTCTGTCCTGCCTCAAACAACATCCTGACAATCTTGATATTGCCTTCCTCTGCAGCCAGGTGTAGAGGAGTGGACAACTCATCATCAATACAACGCAGGTTTGCCCCAGCTTCTATGAGGATCTGGGACACCTCCACACAACTGTGGGTGGCTGCTAAGTGCAGGGCCGTCATCTGCTGCTTGTCTGTGGCCTGAAATCAAGGATATTGAATAAAACACTTATCAATTTACATGCTCCAACAGTCTATTTAAGAAAAATTATCTTACTATAACAGATAATCATATTAATTTGCACATTTCAACATGCCTAATTAATACCACAAAATTGTTTCAAACTTCCAAATGCCTATAGGCTAATTAATACCATTAAATTGTTTCAAACTAAGCTTTCAGAAATTATAAATTTCCACTAGGTCAGAGGATACTTTTGAAGACATCTATCCAGCAATTTAAAAACCATTCTGAATTGTGTCTTTTATCTGATTCCAATCTGCTTACCTCGATGTCTATACCTCGCACACTCAGCAGTTCTCTGCTGACCAGGTCATTGCCCCGCATGGCAGCAAAATGGAGTGGAGTCAGACCATAGTAATCCTGTGCATTAACTTTGGCCCCTCGTTCTACTAAGTATTTTACAACACTTGGCTGATTATCTAGTTCATCATCAGATGTTACCTCTTCTCTCACCTACAACAAAATATTTTTACACCATTCACTAATAACAAAATATTTTTGTGCTTTTAAATTGTTTGCTTTCTTAAAATTACACACAGTTTTCATAATTAGTTCCAGACATTTTAGTTAAACAAATAACAAAACAAATACTTTGAACAATATACACTGTTTAAAAGAAACGAAATTCAAATGTTAAAAGAAACATTATTGAATTATTTACAGGTGGCAGCAAAATCAAAGCAGAGACAGGGGACAAGCAAGTAAAATAAACAAACTGATAATATATATTCCTACAGCCCTTCAAATGTTACAAAATCCACCAACACCAACATTGTGCAAAACATGAAACAATGTTTATCACAGTGACAGAAATATGGACTTAAACTGAACTGTAAATGTGCAAAATTATGATATGAGGCAAAACATGTAGCTCCATCACAAATAAAATAAAATGATAATATCATAAAGCAAAAAATATATATTGATTTCATCTGCATTGATAGGTTTATTGTAAACCTTTTTCTGACAAGCATTTAAAAATAATCTTTATTATTCCAAAAAATTACAATTTTCTTAGGTTTCGGTGGTTCCACTTGCTTCTCCTCAGGTGCTTCATCCATCTCCTCCTCATCTGCCCTGACATTCACGATGCTAATGTATGGTGTCTGTATGTAATTCATAAAGCAAATTGAATCTCAGTGCCAATCAATGCATCATCAAAATGGTCTACAAGTATGCAATCATCTCATGCAAAGCAGCAGCCACAAAAATGAGGGAACAATAAACATTTTCCAAAGTATTTGGCCTGTCAAGTGCAAAACAATTACTCCATAATCATTTTTCAAGAAATGAACATAAAAGATTGATCAACAAAGAGAAAAAGTGGTCAACTTAAGCAGAGAATACAAAGGAAGTTTCAACAATAATACACAGGATCATCTACACAAGCAAAGGGGAGCTGCAGATGAATTTCATGTCATGGGGCAATTCTTAAGTTTTACTACCAATAATTAAGAACTTTAAATATTTTTTCCTCGTGCTGCTGTAATGAGGCTCTGCTTCATGTTTCCAAAGCAATCTGCTTAAGTGGAAAACTGGATTTAGAGATTGTTACGGTATCATATTGGGTTTAACTTAATGTTTTGCTCTACCTCAGAAACTAGACATCTCAACCCCATAACACTTCAGTTCATGCAGCTTAATGCAAAACGTAACCAGAAAATGGCCTACTCTATTCATTCACAACAGGCATAAATCAATCCATTAGATCACTGCTCAAGAATAAGCAGCACTTAGTGGGCAACCTGAGTTTCAGAGCTTTGAGTTAAAACTTCTGTTTCTCAAAAAGAATTTTATAAAACATCCAAAGAATTTTATAAAACATCCAAACCAAAACTTGAGTTTCTTGGAAAATTACAAGTCAACCAATATCACATCAAGAAGCTTATGATAGAGTACAAATTTACACATTAAATTCCAATCAACAAAATCTGAAATTCAGGGTGTAATTTCTCTTCAGCAGGAAGGACATTTCAGTGATGAATAGGATATTGGATATAAACAGTAATACCGCTCCATTGGGCACATTCTCCCCATCTGCTCCCTCCTCCTCATTGCTCACTGCTGTTTCCACTGTGGCCTCACTACTAGGAGTCAGCGGTGCACTGCTGCCCTCTACCTCATCCAGGCTGTCAGTAGATTTGATGCGCTTCATGCGCTTGAAACGGGCTGCGAAATGCAGGGGAGTCAGATCATCCTCTCCCTTGTTGTTCACATCTGAAATGTGTTTATTAAAACAAGGAACCAATTATACTTCCAAATGGTGTCTATCCAATAAAAATATCCAAATGAATATCAAGTTTAGAAGTGAAGCCAGTAAATAGTCTTAACCATAAAGACAATGACATTTTCTCAAAAAGAGACTGACATTTGAACCATTTGCTTTTTACTGGATAGACTAAACAAATGTACTATATCCGGTTATCAGGGTTTTCTTCTCTGACATTTAGAATTTGTGAACACGCAATAACTGAAATGGCAATCTTGGTTATTTACAGACGTTTTTAAGTGAGATTTATGAGTGGAATTGTGGCTGTTATTAATGAGGCAAACCTTATGCCAAATTCAAATCTAAAGTCTAAATCTTATGCTCTTTTGAAAACTTTATCCACTGGTTCCTCCCCAAGCTAATTCTATGCAGTCTTCAAAGATTGATATATTAATTATTTATGAGCAAATATTTCTCTACCTGCTCCTCTCTCCACCAGAATTCTGACCGCTTCAAAATGATTATACCGGGCTGCATAATGAAGTGGACTAAGTTTGTTTTCATCATGGGCATTGATTTTCTTTTTCACATTTCCAAGGTAGTCCAGGAGACGACGCAGCTTGTCTGGGTTGCCATCTCTGGCACACTTAAAAAACAGAATTTTTAAATTAATACAAAATAAGAATGATAAAATCAATTCATATCATTAAAAAACCAAGATATTTGTTAAGCAGAAATGGTTATTTTCATTCTAGTTAACTGAAGTCAATGCAAATATTATAATAAAAAAATAGATGACATTGCTCAATAGATGCACAGACACTGAATGAGCTTTCTTCAATAAAACTTTCATCAATTACATTTAGTATGCAAAATATAGGAAATGGAAATTAATAATTCAGCATGCCTAAATAACTTGAGATACATTTCCAATACGCGACTTGGCAAAAACAGTCTAAAGCCAGTGTCTTTAATTACCTATTTTTTTTTTTTTTTTTTTTGGGGGGGGGGGTATTTTCCAGACAGAGCCAAAAGTACTTAAGACTTATTAAGTACGAAACAAGTATATGTAAAATAGCATTAACAACTTAAAATGCTCTTTTTCTTAACTTTTAAATAAAACCCAGGTAAGCCCTTATATAAATATTACAAAGGACAAAATACCAATGTTGACAGGTAGAAGTTGTTATGGTTGCTTATTCATACAGAGCGGAAGAAATGCACACTGATACTCAAGGTCAAAGTTGATGGTTCACTATCTTCAAGGTTAAGAATATGAAGGATCATTAATCCAAAGGTTCACTGGTCCAAAAACTCAAAAATCAACATTCATTTTCATTTGTTAAAACCACCCTTTGATATATTTTTCCAATGGCAACTGCATTATTACCTCCTCCAAAGAGGTTATGTTTTTGTTTCCGTAGTTTGTCTGTCTGTCTATATGTCTGTTAGCAACATTTCAGAAAAAGTTATGGATCGATTTTGATGGAATTTTTAGGAACTGTCAGAAGTGGGCCAAGGAACAGATGATTAGGTTTGGGTGGTGATCCGGATCAATAATCAATCCATAATCAATAATCAAAAAACTAAGTTATGGACCAATTTTGATGAAATTTTCTGGAACTGTCAGAAGTGGGCCAAGGAACAGATGATTAGTTTTTGGTGGTGATCAGGATCAGTAATCAATCAATAATCAAAAAACTAAATCATTATAGAATGAAAATTTAGGGGTGAAACAGCATTGGGTGGAGACTTTGCTGCCTTGGCGGAGGTCTGCACTCTCGGAGTGCTTTTCTAGTATATTCATACTTTCATGCTAAAAAACAATTGATATATTGATGGACTAATTATCTTTAAGACTAGTCAATTATTGGACTAATCTCCAATTTCTGGGCTTTCAAACTAAGGCCATAGGATATTTCCACCAAGGATTTTCAGACTATCAGGGTATACCCACAAATGATGTAATCCCATTTTCTCAACATGGATGAGGCCCTATCCATCAAAATTGTTCCATCTAGCACATATGCAGATATAGGTATTTCAGCCTCAGCTATGTAGTCTCTCACTGAATCTAATGCGGCAGATACTTTATTGCAAAGTCTTCACTAAAGTGTAAGTCATTATGTTTTTTTTTGTGATTTTAATCATATCAGGTAAAAAGGTAGAATCAGACTTTATTAAGAAATAAATAATTTAAGTAAAATTCTCTTTTGTAACAAGTATAAACAGAGATGGTGTTTGACAAATAGGGAAGGGCACACCTACATGATATTTCCTATTACCTGGCACAACCCACTTTATATCCTCTTACTACAGAGGTGTCAGTAATCTGATATACCTGACCTAACAGAATATATAGCACCTGTAACACATATGCCTACTGGTCTTTACAACATAGCATAAAAAGCTACAGCTGGCAGTGACCACTCTCATTTAACAGTAAAGAATTGGATAGTAAGACTAATCCCAGTGAAGGTACAATATATAATATATAATGCTATTAAAACCCCTCATTTCCCCCTTTCACCACATTTCACAATAGACAATTTGTCAATAAATACTATATGGGCTGAATTGGGTCATGTGCTAACAGAGCATGGGTGGTGCTGTTGACACTGTGGATGCATAGGTAAACATTTATTCATCATGTTACCAGCATTACAATATGTATGAAATACAATATACAGAATATGTAAAGGTATAAATACATGAACTTTGAAAAGCTTTGGTTCTTAAAGGCTCCCTTAGTGTAATCAAGGTTTATTTTATATTTCATTTAATCATCATTAAGAAATATTTTAATTGGTTTAACTCCTAAGAATAAAATTTGAATAATTCTTCTATCATTTCTTATTTTCTTTGTCATATACAAAGAAAGAATTAGTATGTCTGATTAACAAATACTAGTACAATACAGGAAATAATTTTAATGATTAAATTTTAAATGTATGATACCACATACCCCTCATTTTTTGTTTTAAAGTGTGTTGACATGGCCTAAATAAGCAACATCTAATGGGGCATTATGTTTTACATCTCACTTTCCAACATTACCCTCAAATACAAGGTAGTCTTAAGCTACTACCCATCGTTTATTTCAGTGCAAACTTTTATATTATGGAATGAATGAATTTATGACAATCTACAGTTTGGGGCAGAAAATTTTCGTCTATTCAACAGATTTTTGGATGAAGTTCAAAAGAGAAAACAAATGGTAGATATTTTCGTAATGATCAAATTTGGCTAATTCTGGTATCAGCAAAGCCCTGGCACTTCACTCTGAATTACAATGAATGTATATTTAATACAAAATAGGAGTGCTGGGGACAGGCAGTTGGTCTCACATAAAATGATAAGCAAACACAACAGTTCAACAGGATATAAATTATAATAAGTAGGGACGTATTACTTAGCATGGAAATGATGTGAATCAGAGTTCAAGCTATACCCAAAACTAGCTATACCCAGAACTACAAATCTTACATGCCTTTACTATCTCTAGAGACGTCAGTTAACTCTATACCTTATAAACAAACAACTTACCTGGTGGAGCGTTAAGTTAAGAGTTTCCATGGATTCTACTCTCCGCAACCCAATGTTGGTCGACATTTCCATGTTATCCCTGCCGTGCTGTGGAACACTCCTTTTCGAGGCACCGTCGGGCTCACCCTCTGGAACAAAGAAATCTACACTTCCCCTGGGCATCTTGTGGGTCTGTTTTGCCTTGGGTGTGTCGTCAGTGGCCGCTTCCACTGGGGTAAGATTGCCGGATGATCTGGACTCTACTCGCTCTGGAAACGGACCCGAGATATGTAAAAAATTATTACCGTAGTCTGAGTAAGCACTTCTATCATCTACTGGTTGTACGCGACCTGAAAAAGCCACCGTTTTAGTGGGTTCAGTAGTACACGAAATAAATGGTTCCTTCTACCGATCGCTAGACCGTGTTGGTTACTTTGACCTAATTTCTAACCGATCGGTCAGGAGAAAATATAAGGTCGTACGCCAATTGGTTAAAATGTTATGAGTGCGACGTAAACATTAACACGACGTGGTTCACCAAAATTTTGGCAGTATGAACGGTTCCTTAGTCGCCTAGACTATATCTTTGATCGCAATCGCTGAAACACGCGTTCATAAGGTAAACAAGGTGTTACAGACTTTCTCAGCAATGGGCATGTTGGCATTTTTTTAGTTTCACGCTTAGAATTTTTTTATCAGCTGATCGATCATTGGATGTACTTGTACAGAAAGTGCATGCATGTACCCATGCTAAGGGTTAGACGAGATCTCGTTATTTAAGTTTCCTCTTTAGCTCGAACAGCACTAACAATCTCAGATCACCGTCACTGTAGCAATGCATTTCACTTTTAAGTGGCAGCATACAGGGGTATGGGGTGTGGCTGCTAATCAGAATAACTTACATACTGGTATAAGTATTTTGGGAACATTTTTTACACTAAAAAGAACTGCCAGAGTCATTTAGCTATATTTAGTTTGCATAATCACCAAAACAGCAGCAGTCTTAGGCCTTTATAGTAACGGTTTGCCCATTAAAAACTGATTTGCAGCTTTTACTGTGTAATTGTGAAACAAAAAGAAAAACTACTGGTACATATAGGTATAGGTACATGTACATGTGGGAAGCCATTGAGTTTCTTCATGAAACACAACATAACAGGTTATGCTAAGAATGTGTTTTGACTTCATATTTTTTATTAGTAATGGGACTTTGGACTTCAGTTCCCTAAAGGGTTTATCATAGCAGAATTGCAGTTTAATGTGACCAGTGTCAAAAGCATTAACTAACAGAAACAATGCATTGAAACATAATCATCTTAATGTGATTGCCAAGTAATGCTTATATTGTAATCATATATGTAATATTTTTATGCATAATACTTAAAAGAGCCTAATAGTCTTATTTTTCATGTTGAGAATGTAATACCTCTAACAAGTGTCTGTAAGGGTCATTCTGTAAAAAGATAAATATTAAATCTCCTCAGTCACTTCAGTGATGCACACATTCTGTGTGATATTCTGTTTTATGTCACTTTTTAATACAAGAGATGAATTTCTGTTTTCAGGAAAGCAAACAACCTCTTCAGCTCAAGAGCAAGAGCTTATACCTGTGAGGAAAAGTAATCATTCAAGAAAAAAATGTAGTGCAGAATAGCTTCAGCACAGAAAGAGGTGAAGCTCATATTGCTGTTTAGAGCAGCTTTAAATTATGCAGTGGGGAATGTGTAACTGACTTACCATGTCCTTTGTTGAAGAATACTTCAGGTTCATTCACACTCTAAACCATCGCCTGGATAACTTAACTCTCAAGTTAGGGAGTTCTAATGGCAAGCAGCGTATTCTGTACAAGGCAATATGGAAGAGTGACTACAGACAAGTCCAGAAGATCTTGACTGCTGGCTATAGTAAGATTGAAAATGATATGAAAGCACTGGAAAAAGCAGCTGCCAAAGGGGACTTGGGCATTGTGCAATTGCTATTGGATTATGGATGTATCCCAAAAGATCGAAAATCTAAGGCCTTGGACCTGGCAGTGTTGAAGGGCCACACAGATATTGCTCTGTTGTTAATAGAGTGGGGTGTTGAGTACAGGGGAAGAAACCAGTATAATGAGACCCTGCTCTATGTAGCAGCTTGTGGAAATCATGTGGCTATGATCGAAAAACTGGTTCAACTTGGGTGTGATATGAATGAGACAACCCGCACCTGGACCCCATTGCATGTCACAACCCAACGCAATCACACAGAGTCTCTCCTATGTTTGTTGCGGCATGGGGCAGACCCCAATGTGACCAATGTGGACCATCACACACCCTTAGATATGGCAGTGTGTCAGGAAAGTTTTGAAAATGTTAGATATCTCCTATTTGCTGGGGCCAAAGTAAATATTCAGCATATATACAGCTTACCAGGGGTTCAACAGGTTTTTCAAAGAAACCCAGAGATATTAATGCTTCTCAATGAGAACAGTCGACAACCTCCACCTCTCATAGAGCTTTGTAGAATTGCCATCCGCCAAGGCCTGGGCCAGCAGGTCATGTTTGTATTTCGGAGCCTTCCCCTACCAAAGATTTTACAGCAGTATATTGCTATGCTTGATATTCTTGTGAAACCAAAGGCTAGATCAAGAGCAACGTCTTGTTAGATATGCTAGTGTTAACTCTTAAATATTTGATGTCTTCGCTGCCAAAGAAAGTTTTTTGAAATGGACATATTCAGTAACCAAAAAGTGTGAGCAAAATGTATTTGTAATTTGATATTCAGTGACAGGAGGGCAGAGTGGATGGTTGTTGCAACATGTATAAGGCGGACGTAATACTGTGACACCAAAGCAATGCCCAGATCAGGTAATGGTCAACCGCTGCATAATAATTGTATAAACTTGCACTTGTAAATTTTTGCCAAATCATAGCATGAGTTTAATCATTATCATACGTTACCAAAAAAAATGTAATTAATTTTTTTTTAAACTACTGTGACTTAAATACAGTGGCACTTTTTTATTGTAAATGTAAATAGTACTTGCTGACTTACAGTAAAGATGAATTGCAAAGAGGTGGTGGTAGATTATTTTTAAATATAGTGGATCCTTCACACACCCCAGAAAACAGTGTAGTGCTACAACCATGGTGCACAGGCCAACAGTCCTCCAAAGTTGGACAAAATCAGACTGTCTGTGGCTATATGGGCTTCCCACTCTTGAGTTGTATTTACTTGTTTTCATTCAAGCATTTCAGAGATTTTTAACACTGTTAACCCACAAAGACCATGCAGGAATACAGCTGTATGAAACAGATGGGGTCATGTCAATACTCCCAGGCACCTTTACTCCCTCGCACCGTTACTCCCCCACACCGATACTCCCCGGCACCGATTTTGTATTATGCGCATCGATACAACCCCATATCAATAGATCCATGCACCGGTACATCCCCGCACCGATGCTTCCCGCACTGATACTCCCCCTCAGTATATCTGTAATTGTGGGGGAGTATCGGTGCGGGGAAGTATTGGTGAGGGCAGTATCGGTGCAGGGACGTATAGGGATGTAACCAAACAGATTGTCTGAATCTAGTTACTATATTTTCAAACCACCATTTTATTACAAAGATATTCTAAATATATCCAAGAAAATGTATTAACCAATAAGTAATTTATACAAGTAGTAATATGAATGTAAAGTCAATGAAAACATTTGGTTGAAGACATCTTTAGTTCTGGAGCTCACATTGACAAGTCATATTTTGTACATAAATAAGGACATGTATACCTATGATGGTGTAATTCAGATATTGTGTTGCATATTGCATAATAAAAAAGTTGCTTTCGTTTATTCCATTGTCTTTTTTTTTCAGGCTGTTTTTCATATAATAGTAATTTTCACTTCAGATACTAAAGGCACCAGCCTTTGATATCACTTAGATAACTATTTTAGAGGGCGAACAGTGCCTTTGTTTAGAACAATGATTCAGCTAGTCAAAATGCTAATTTCAAGAGGGGCCATTGGTGGGATTTTTTTCAGAAGTCGAAGGGGGATTCAGGACCCCCTTGACACCCTCCCTAAATCCACCAAGCCGCTATAAGAAGAGGCAATCATTACAAAATGTTCAAACATGTAAAAGCAATTGCAATGATGCAAATTTTGAGAAAAAACATATTTGACAAGTATTTCTGACAAGAAGATACCATTTTTGTCTGTTGAGCACAGTTTACAGGTGGTACATGACAGAGGCAGATCCAGGATTTGAAGGGGAGGGGGGGTTCAGTTTACAAATGAAAGGCCTTGGATTCGAAGCCGACCCTCGGCCCCTTGTGGTGGGGTTCGAGGCCCGATGAAATGCCCAAAAATATTTTGGTGTTTTGGAGGCCAAACAGTGCCCTTTGGAACGGTTAAGAAATATAAATCAGTCAAAATTCTAATTCCAAGAGGGGAATATTAGTGAGTTTTTTTTTTCAGGAACTGAAGGGAGGGTCAGGACTCCCCTGACCCCCCCCCCCCTCCAAATCCGCCAATGATATGACAGGAGAGTGAAATCCTTTCTTATGTTGTTTTCTAGGTGTTGGTTTCAAATGCGCTAGTTGCGAAGATCATGGCGGCTCCTCCCGCGAATTGCATTGTGCCATCCCTAAGCATTTCTTTTGATGATCAAGAAATCAAACGTCAAGTATATATGTTTATATCAAATTGTCAAACCAGGATTTCTACTTGGATGAACGCGAATAGATCTAACATTACGCAATTAAATTCAAAGGTGCAATTTGAAGACTGCTTGAAATCAACGATGTTTCATGCGTCAGACAAAGCCTGTTATTATGCTCCACTGCTATTATAGATGCGAAGAGGCGCTGCAGCTTTCTAGGAGCTATAAAAAAAACAAGATACATACGATAGTATACAATGGCGAAAAGTAAAACGGGTGATATTGATTTTTCCCTGACGGTTCCCAGGGGAGATAACAATTGTGTGCCGTGGTAAACATCTCTCTGTCAGACAATTTGAGCACGACTACTTTTTAGCCTAATCTTTTGCAACAACCTGGTTAGAAAATGATTTTCACAGCCGCTTTCTGTTAATCTACTTTTCCACAATGCCAGCAATGCGACAAGATTTATGGAGACAGGGATTTTATTGTTTATGCCCAAAATTTGAAAATACTTTCCTTTTATATTATAGCCAAAAGTAATAGTAGACACTTACAAGGTCTCTAAAAACCCCTTTTAAATATTTTTATTTTATGATTTTTAAAATTATATTATCATAATTATTTTGTTGTATTTTATAGATTTAAAGTAAATTTTAAAGTGAGCTAGTGTATTTTTAATTTCTAAGAATACTTTTGGTCTTATGTATGTACTGGAAACTGGAATGTGCATTAAAACTTAAACCAATGCGCTATACAAGAAATATATATCATTATTGTTTTCATATCTCCAACACGTACTTGCATGACATATAAGCCATTTGGGCGGCTTAGATATCTGTCACGCCTACTGAAGCTGCTAGGGGGTAGCCTAATTATCGTTTCAGTAAGCGTGCCAGAGATCTAAGCCACTTAAGCTGAAAGCAATTTATCGAGAAACCCCTTGGAGATGGATTGATTCTGTTAGTTCGATCTAGGTATGTGAACCCAGTCATGTCACTTGACCAAAAAGGGAAATACGCGATGTTATCACTGCTGTGATTCAATTCAATTATTTAGAGGGCCGTAGAATACTACAAAGTACTTTTTTACCTCAAAATCTCCCCAAATGACAATAAAGCTGGTAGAGCAACGGGAGAACAATGTTAGCGTTAGGTCTGAAGAAGGAAACTTACACCTTGAACTATCAAAAAGTGCCGTCTGCCATCTTTTGTTGACAAAAGGGCGTGACTGATTTACTTTTCGATTCTTCTAAGAAAAACAAATGATCAGTGGATCAAGTTGACTGACATCCTTTCCAGGCAGGGTCCATGTGAATTGTGTCACATTATCTTGGGGAGCCACGCCAGCAAGATAATTGCGTGGGTTCACTATTGTGGATCTTATAAAGAAATAAAACGGAAGTATCGATTCAGATAATTTATTTCAGATATTAAAATTCAGTGCCCTTCTTTGCAACTTGTGACATAAAATATGAAAAAGTCACAATCTACTACCTTGAAACCCCCAAGTAGTAGTGACACTATGACGTCATCAAGGTGAGCAGTTTTTAAAAGGCGGTTCATTCAAGTTGGTCGGGGAACAGTCAAATAACAGCAGGTGGGGCAACACTTTAGTTTGAGCCTTTTCAAGGGTCCGTCGTTTGGAGGGAAAGGGGTTTGCTTCCACGTTTTGCCATCTGCTATGTTCTCAGCTTGAGAGTGTCATCCAAAGGTAGGTTTTCTGTTGTTTTGGCACTCATGAGGTGTCTATATCTTTAGAGAAACTACAGCTTTGAGATGTGCAGTATCATATACTATATCACAAGTGACGGTGGGAAGGGCGTGGCTATCATTGCTTTTTAGCTTCTGCAAAGGTGAAAGCAACATGTGCAAGTGACCGTTGGGCCTTCTAAAGCTTCCGTTTTTGTCATGAAGTATCGCTTTGCCAAGACAATAATAGGAAATAAACTAACTACCTAACTGATATGTTTCTGATCAACATGTACAACCTTTTGGTTATCTGATTTCAAACCCGACCTCTTCGTGGAATCTTTTCAAAGACATTCTCTATGCTTCTCTATGCAAAGGATTTTGATAACGCTACACAATCATTCAACGACAACCACGTTTTCTGAATCTAAATTTGTTAACGTCGGAGGGCCTGTTCGGCGTAGAATTATTTTTGGTCATTTTGACCTATATTTACTACAAAATTGAAACCTACCGCCATCTCTTGCTTTTACAAGCTTACTTTTTATCTCAAATTGATTTCTTTTCGTTTCGAACAGTGAAGTTCAGGGCTCCGTAACTCTAAAGCATCGCGCATTGCGACCGAGCGCAAGCGTCTCGATTCCATAACTCGCCCATACTCGCCTCATATAATACACTGTAGCCTCTGTGATATCGCTATTCGAGTTAAGGGGCCCTGATTGCCTTCGCCTTTTTTATTTCATACCGCAGCAAGTTTTAATTAGTATTCTGTAGGGTTTTAGTAAAATTGGTAAATTGATTTGTAACGTTAACCATGTGCATATATTTCAGATAGAACATGGCTGGTTGGAAGCAAGTAACATTACTTTCAGCAGTCTTTTTCACTATCACGTTGGCTGGTGGTAGGTATAGAAACTAATGATATATAGTATCTTGTTTTAAAACCATGAAATAAAACGACGCGCATTCTTGACAATTCAAAGGTCATCAGGTAATGTAATGTTTGTGACGTTTCTGTGAATTGCATAAAAGTAACACTGTAACCTTTTTATTATCAGTTATAGGGTATCTGTATTTAATAGAAAGATGGAATAAAAAATTATAAATTTGACTTTTACTATTAATTTCGCAAGGTATATCTCTGAAAAAAATCTTGAAAACTTAGTGCGCGTGTAAAATTTAAAGATATCCTTCACCGTGGATTTGTTTGAAATTAAAGGTAAATAATACATAGGGGAGACCAGGGCTAGTTGGACCCCGGGGGAAGTTGGCCCCCCCCATCAAGGCTCTTTAATAAAGTTACTTTCAGATGCTAAATTATTTCATTTGGACTCACTGCCGACGCTTTCTTAGCACTATTGGATACGGTCACTTTACAAAATGTGATAAATTCTTTTACCCCATAGTAACTTTGTCATGAATTGATGGTGGCCAACTTAACCCGGGGTCCAACTAGCCCCTGTCTCCCCTAATCCACAGGCTCTTTTTTAAAATCTGCAATCCCTTTCCAGATTTTATTGTCACGGAAATAGACAGTGGGGGGCGTGAGTTTATGCTGATGTTCATGGAAAACCGAGTCGAAAACCCGAACAGTTTTAATCTGGAGCTCTTTATCACACCGGTGGATTCCAACACCCTACCTTTACGAAATGTTAGCGTGGCACTTCATCAGATTTTTCAAAGCAGTTCCTCAAATCAAGTTGTTACATTCTCATCCAACACGGTGGGTCACATGCTCATACCAGCCGAGTTCAGAATGCCACGCGATTCGTCATTATCTAATAGAGGTGTCCATATAGAAGCCTCAGAAGATGTGGTTATTTATGGGGTTAACAAAGAGGAGTTCTCCACCGACGGGTTTTTAGCTATACCATCTGATGCCGTTGGTCAGGAATATTACACGGTGTCTTACGCCCCACCAACGTACACGTGCGAATTTGGTCTTGCTGCTTTAGAAGATGGCACCGTGGTTACGGTAACGTTTCCCCAGCGCCAAGGAACTGGACAATCCATTGGAGTCAACTTTTTAGGTCAAGTCTACACAAATGGCGACTCTTTCAATATTACAATGAACAAACATCATACTCTTCAAATTCAAAGCGGGAATCAAGCCGATTTGACTGGAACCCACATCATGTCAACGAAGAAAATATCTGTATTCAGCGGTAACGCGAGAACTAGTGTCAATGGCGTCTCTCGCGATCATCTGGTGGAGCAGCTCCCACCTGTTGAATCTTGGGGTAAAAACTTCTCAATAGTTCCAATTCCGGATCGACCGACCGGAGATCTCATTAAAATTATCGGTGGTTCTGCCAACACTATTGTTGGCATAACCAACACCAGTGGTACTTTCCTCCACAATATTGCACGCGCCGGTGACTTTTACCAAACCATCATATCCGGGAATTCCTATGTCTTTGCCACCAAACCAATTTTGGTGACACAAATTGTGTACAGCCAGACGAGCAATGCTGATTTGGCCGATCCGTCCATGATCATTGTCCCGCCGATGGAGCAATATGACTCCAAGTACCAATTTTCTCTACCGCAGGCTGCGCGGGGCACTTACGTCAACCAATTTTTGGTCACCATTCGCCAAGACCAAACTGCTGGGTTGCTGATTAATGGCAAAACGCTCCAGGCGTTCGGAATAACTAACATTGACTGGAAGCCCATTCCTGGGACACCATATATGGGGACCGACTTCAATATCCCAAGCTCGTCTGCATCGTTTGAGCTTTCCCACACTAGTGGTAGTGTAACTTTCATGGGTGTCCTGTACGGAGCAGGTGACAAAGAAAGCTATGGGTTTCCACTGGGGATGCGACTCGTGACCCTCAACCCAATAGTAAGTTTAAGAATAATTTTTAAAACATGTTTTAACCATTTTGACAGTGAAACTCAATACTTTAAATTTTCACCGGGTATCTTGAACATTTTCTTTTTATTACTTATTTTCTTAATTTTAGCCTACTACCCCAAGCCCTGTTGTCATTGTTGGTGCCACCGGACCCACAGGGCCTGCTGGAGCCACAGGGGCCGCTGGACCCACGGGACCCACAGGCCTTCAAGGTGGCCCTGGCCCTGTGGGACCTACAGGACCATCAGGTGCTGCTGGAGTTGCAGGACCAACTGGTGCAGCCGGACCCACGGGACAAAGTGGTAACCCAGGTGTACAAGGTAATTTCTGCATTCAGAGGTACTGGTACAACTGGTGGCCAGAGGCTGTTTAAGTATTTAACAGGCAATTTTTTCTTAAGTGCCTGTAGATAGTGATTTTTGTCTTCATAGTGGAGATTTTCATTGTAATGTATTCTTTAGCCATAGAAAAGTGGAGGGACATCTTTGCAGGTTATTCATAATGATAACCCAAGTAAAATAAATATTAGCTGAAGAAGAATAGTTCACTAAATAAGAGCAGCAAAAATTGGTTATCAACCGCTGACAGCCATCGCCGACGGCCCATGGCGGATGCAATCGAACGATTCTTGAGAATTTTTGATTCTATAATTAAGTTGAAGTTCTCAGTTTTTATTTATTTAAGTGATGATAAAAAGATACCAGTTTTGCATGTCGGGAATATTACTGTTGAAGGATTTCCTACTTGTAACGTTTTTGAAGTGTATCCGTATTTTCTTGAATCATTGTAGGAATGACTGGAAATGCTGGCCCTAAAGGTGAGAAAGGTCGGGCAGGAGCTACAGGGCCGCCTGGCCTGGCAGGGCTCAACGGAATGACTGGACCAAAGGGAATTCAAGGTAAGGAACAAAATAATATATATATATATATATATATATATATATATATATATATATATATATATATAAATATATATATATATTTTTTTTTTTTTCTGTACATGCAGCAATGTTCGCAAAATTGATTTACTCATGGAATAGTGAAGATGATTATATTATGCTAATTATAAATGTATGATGAATTATATAGGAATTATTTCAATTAGTTTTAAAAGCATATCCTTCGGTTTGTTATGAAACACATAATTGAAGGTATTACATCGATCGGATGTTTGATTTTCCCTTCAGATACCTTTACAAATAGATTCTCTCTACATACCCCAAAATCTCAAAGCAAAATAAATATTTCATTTATGATGGATATTCGTGTATTTTTCATATAATTTCAGGTCCAACTGGTCCTCGAGGCACTAATGGAAGGCCAGGGCCGACGGGAGCTATAGGTAATACTGGTCCAGTTGGACAAACCGGACAAACAGGGGCACTTGGTGCTACAGGTCGTGTTGGCCAAACCGGTAAGATCCTAAGTTATACATGTTACGCCTTTGCTGAGCGTGTACGAGGGTTGATTGATAAGTAGTGAGCCTCATATAGAAGGGGTACACATTTTACAAGTATTTTTCTTTATTTTTCAACATAGTCTCCTTGAGTATCTATACACTTTTGCCAGCGAGTTTTGAGAGCCCCTATGCCACTTTTATAGAAGCCCTTCTCTTGGCCGTTCAGAAACCCCTCCACTTCACATATGACGTCATCATCTCACACAAAGTGAGCACCTGAAATGGCCTTTTACAATTTGGGAAATAGATAATAGTCAGAGGGAGCAAGATCAGGCGAATAAGGTGGATGTTCTATCAGTTCAAAGCCACACTCGTTGATTGCAGCTATGGCAATGACAGACTTGTGAGCTGGGGCATTGTCCTGGAGGAACAGTACACCTTTCCTGAGCTTTCCGCTGCCTCGTCGACATAAACTAACCAAATGACACCAAACTTCGGGTACACACCTTTAAATAGTCAGGGAATAGAAGGGCTGAAAAGGGAGATCCCTGCTTAACCCCTTCCACACGAGGCTCACTACTTATCAATCAACCCTCGGGGAGCTCCTATGTTAATGGAACGCTTTTTTTAAACGGCGTCCTTCTTTGCTTTGTTATGCTTAGTGAGCGACTTTAAAACGGCTAACATTCTCAACTTCCCTTTTCTTGATATGTAAAATTTTGTTAGATAATAAAAATCAGAATGAAGTAAACCTTTTTAAGGCCCAAGGGGCGAAACTGGACAAGTCGGAAACACCGGCCCACGAGGTGCAAGCGGCCCTACTGGTGCTAAAGGTGATGAAGGTATAGGAATTCAAGGACGAACCGGTCCCACTGGCCAGACTGGACTGAACGGAGTGGCTGGAAGGATTGGGCCTACTGGTGCCACAGGACAGCGGGGGCAGACTGGAGCTGTCGGTGCTCAGGGGAGAACGGGACCAACTGGATCCACCGGTGCGCGGGGTGTCGCTGGACAGACGGGTGCTGTTGGTCAGACAGGTGCGTTTTCTTTTTCTGTAAAAATTAGAATTATACTACAATCTTTTAATGGGCATAAACATAATGTTAAATAGGTGAATTATGCACCTTCAGTATTTAGGATAAAGGTTTTATAGCTTGATGTAATTGAACCATTTCGAGCGCTTAACGATCTTTAGATTTTCTAATTCAAATAAATTTCTGCCGTGCTTAAAGCATACAACCCTTGTTGTGGCATCTATCACTCAGAATAATTCATAATTGTAACATTCAGCTAGATCTTCACATTGTGTGCACTATATGTGATTGGTAATTAAATTTTCAAGCACCAGTCTTCCCAAAATATGAGGGCCCAGGTGTGGGTTTCTACAAGCCGGCAGGCATCTTCCTCTATTTGTTTATTTTGTTCGGCTGTTTATATATATATATATATATATATATATATATATATATATATATATATATATATATATATAAGATGCAGTATTATTCAGCTCTTTAATACAAGTTTATTTATTGTAATAGGTCGCCAAGGTAATTCTGGTCCAACAGGTTCAGTCGGTGCCACTGGACCTAAAGGGGAGAGAGGTATGATTGGAGTAACGGGAGCAACTGGACAAAAAGGTGCCATTGGCCAAACAGGGTTAACAGGAATGGCAGGTAAGCTGCATAATTAGCGTCGTGAATGTGTTTATATATATATTAAATGGTTTTTGTCAGGCTAGTTTTTAGAGCGAAGAACAGGATAATCATTTGAAGATTTCTTTATGTATCTGTTTTATATAAAGCGGATGTTTGATTCAATTCTCTAACTCCAATCATCTTAATAAAAGCACGCTGTTGACTTATAAGTGTTTGCAGTTCGTGACCAGTGGTCCCTTCAGTGCTAAGATTTCTAAGTTTCTTTACACCTTTTAAGGTCCAACTGGCGCACAGGGTGTAACTGGGAATACCGGGCAAACCGGACCAAACGGCCCCGTTGGATCAACTGGAGCACAGGGAAACACAGGTCCGGTCGGCAGAACAGGAGCAACAGGACAAAAAGGCAACCAAGGCAGTCAAGGTGTCACTGGCCCATTTGGTAGGACTGGAGCCACAGGACCCACTGGCGCACAGGGGAGAACTGGGGAGAAAGGCCAAAAGGGGGCACAAGGTGTTTCTGGTGTGGTTGGACCCACAGGGAGCACTGGCGCACAAGGAGATGTTGGTGCATCTGGACCGACCGGGGCCGCAGGACAAAAAGGTCAAAAGGGAACACAAGGTATACAGGGCGTTAGTGGCCCTGAGGGAAGAACTGGTTCTACTGGCCATCAAGGTGCTGTAGGATCTACAGGTGCTCAAGGAAGTTCTGGACCGACTGGCCGGACCGGGAGCATGGGGTCATCAGGTCCTCAAGGACGAACCGGACAGACTGGAATAACTGGCGCTTCTGGACCTACAGGAGCAAAAGGCATGATTGGTGCGTCAGGCCCCACTGGAACTACAGGACCCAAAGGCCAAAAGGGAACTCAGGGTGTTTCTGGAATAACTGGACGGGCTGGTCCTACTGGTGCAAAAGGGGCGAAAGGGCAACAAGGAGTAAGTGGTTTAACCGGGGCCATGGGACCCACTGGAATGAGAGGACAACAAGGAGCGTCTGGTATCACAGGTTCAGCAGGTCCAACTGGTCAGAGAGGCATGCAAGGGATCCAAGGACAGACCGGTGTTCCTGGACGGACAGGGCCAGTTGGAAGCACAGGACCCATGGGTAGAGTAGGGATACAGGGGTTGACAGGATCAACAGGAGCTCAAGGTAATTCCGGGCCCACAGGACCAGTTGGACCAACAGGTGCTAAAGGTGTCCAAGGTAACTCTGGTATAAGAGGAAGACTGGGACCTACTGGCCCAGATGGTCCCACAGGCAGCCAGGGGCAGAGTGGGCTAACCGGCAGAACAGGATCCACTGGACCGCAAGGTATAACTGGTAATGCTGGACCAACTGGAGCACAAGGTACAACGGGCGGTAAAGGTGTAAAGGGTGTCCCTGGATTAACGGGAAGAACGGGCGCTACAGGGCCCACTGGTGCGGTTGGTGCGACGGGCGCCCAAGGGCCTACTGGACCAATTGGACGCACAGGGGCAACAGGACCCACAGGAATGAAGGGAATGAAAGGTGAACAGGGTATATCAGGACAACGTGGACTTATTGGGCCGACTGGCGGCACTGGAGAGAAAGGAGCCAAGGGAATTAAAGGTGTAGTTGGAAACACGGGCGCTTCTGGACAGACAGGAGCTGAAGGCCCAACTGGCAGACAAGGAACGACAGGAACAGTCGGTGAGCCTTCCCTTATATATATATATCCCCCCTCTGTATATCTCTTATTGAACAATTCGTTATCAGATTTAAGACTGTATTGTCAGATTTGTGCAAATAATAGTAAGTATAAAAAATGATTGAATATTTCCCCTTATAGGTCCCACAGGTCAAACTGGTGCTCAAGGTGCAGTTGGGAATACTGGGCCAGTGGGTAGGACGGGTAGCACAGGACCAACAGGCGCAAACGGTCTCACAGGTGCACAGGGTCAGTCCGGTGTAACTGGTGCTACAGGCAACACTGGACCAGTTGGGAACACTGGTCAAACAGGTCCAGTAGGAGCAACCGGCGCAAGGGGTGCGAATGGCTTAACTGGATCTGTTGGCCCTACTGGTAGCACTGGGATAAGCGGCCCACATGGTCGAACAGGAGCAACGGGCCCAACCGGGCAAAAAGGAGAGCAGGGTATAAGTGGACCACATGGTCCAACTGGCCCGATTGGAAACATAGGCCCTACAGGTGCGACAGGGCCTGCTGGACGCACTGGGATTTCAGGTCCCATTGGCTTTACTGGACAAATTGGAGCTAGAGGTCCCACGGGACCCAAGGGAGAAGTTGGGGTTTCTGGAGTCCGTGGCCCTACAGGTGCTGCCGGATTAAAGGGTGATAGAGGTGTATCTGGAGCCACTGGTTCGATGGGCCCTACTGGACCTTCTGGTAATTTCTTTTGGCAATTGAACAACTTACACATTGTGCATTAGTTCCACGTACATTCATTTTGTTTCACAGACTACATTTTTTTCATTAAAAAATTGTAGCTCGAAGTGCTTTTGTGTTCATAATGATTGCAAACTACAACTGGCATTTGTTTTGTTATGACGACTTGATACCGACACTAACTGTCCTTTTGCGTTGCAGGCGAGGTTACAGAAGACACAGACGAATGTCTTGTGAACAATGGCGGTTGCTCCCAGATCTGTGTGAACACCATCGGCAGCTTTTACTGTGCTTGTCGTCAGGGATATTCCTTAACCCTAGCGGACTTAACAGTATGGCCCACAGATACAGAAGCCAGCGGGTGTGCAAGTATGTATTGTTACTTTTATGTTTGATTTTATTTATATAATCGAGTCTGGTACTAAGCAAGGACTGTATGTCTTTTGGAGAAAAATATAGAACACCCCCCCCCCCAAAAAAAAAAAATATATATATATATATATATCCTGTTTTTTTTCAGGAAATGTGTGAACCATATACAATTAAAAGAAACCAAAAGATGAAAGTTACAGTACATGTATTATAGTATTGTAAGAATTAAAACCAAAAGCAGATATTTTTCTACATACATTTTCAAATCTTGATTGTTATCGGTCTATAAGTTTTACGTGTATCAGTTAATATTTTGATTTTTGTTAGGGTTCCCAACCCCAGGAAATAGGAGAAAACGAGACATCCCAGGTTAGCCCTTGATTTTTTTTCCGGTTTTTCAAGTTTTATATCAATAATATATATCACTAAAGATGAACAAAGAAGTATCGTCAATTTTTTCTTCACAAAATGACATTGAGGTATTGTTTAATAGCTTAGGCAATGTGCGATATCCAAAGTTCAGGTTTCCAGTGGCTTCTTTAGTAGATGTTTATAAGAATTAGAAATTAAGTTTTCAACCTTGAATTGGATTCCAGCTTCAATAACAATAAAGGATAGTGCAGGCACAGAATTCGCCGTTATGTTCATGGAAAATCGAGTCGACGAATATGATACAACGCTGGATCTTGAGCTTTTCATCGCCCCGGGATTCAATGCAACGCCACCTTTCACATTCAATATATCGTACCACCTCAATGGTAATTACATTGCGCAGTCAAAAGAACTCTTACCCAATAAAGTTTTAATGGTCACTATCCCATGGGCTATGAGAATGCAAGGCACCGCTTTGGATAATAAAGGAATACTGATACAGTCACATCAAGAGATCGTCGTGTACGGCGTCAACAAGCACAAGTTTTCCAATGACGGTTTCCTTGGTCTTCCAGCCAGTGTGCTGGGTTTGGAATACTACACTGTCTGCTACTCGCCAGCGACGTACGCTTGCGAGTTTGGCATAGCTGGTGTTCACGATGGGACAACTGTGAGGATAACGCTTCCTGCCAAAGCCTCTCCTCCCGTCAAAGTTGCTTACGCCGGTGTCGAGTACGGTAATGGCGGAGTCTTCACTGTCACAGTAAACCGATACTCAAGTTTGGAAATCCAAAGTGCCAAGGACACCGATCTGACAGGCACCCACATTGTGTCCGACAAACCCATTGCCTTATTTAGTGGAAACATCAGGACTGTTGTTGACACTGGGGTATCAAGGGACCATCTCGTTGAACAAATACCCCCCGTTCAGTCCTGGGGTAAAAATTTCGCCACCGTTCCCATTCCCCAACGAACCGTCGGGGACCACTTCAAGATTATAGCAAGCCAGGCTAATACCAAGGTAACGCTGAAGAGGTCAGCAAGTGTTGCCGCAGAGATCTACGATATAAATGACGCTGGCGGTTTCAGGACGCTGAGCATTGGCTCTTCAGAATTCACTCATATATCGTCCGACAAACCCATCCTGGTAGTGCAGTTTGTGAAAAGCCAGAGAAACCCGTCCGAACCTGCAGATCCATCCATGATTGTCGTCCCTCCAATCGAGCAGTACTCTTCACATTATCGCTTCGCCACTACATCTTCTGCAACCAGCACCAGCTACACCAACTATTTCATGATGGTCATTCCGAGGGGAAAGGAGACTGAACTACAACTAAACGGACAGACCATCCAAGCAACTTGGACTACGATAGGAGACACGGACTATCTGGGTGGTTTTGTTACTCTGCCCGCTGGCACTGAAGAGCAGGCCCAGACTCTGATTCACTCTGACTCTTCTGTTCGTTTCATGGGTATTTTGTATGGCGGTGGAGACAGGGAGAGCTATGCCTATCCCATAGGCACCAAACTTGAAATTATCAATCCGGTAAGTCGCCCTTGTTTTAGAACTAAGAAACTTTGTACCAGAATATACATGTAGCAAGTAACCCATTCACTGGTATAAAAAAAACTAATACATAATAATACATTATAACATTAATTGTTACCGATATTTCCATAACTCTTTTTGAAAATTGCGTTATAAATTTTATTTGTTGTTGCGGTTTCATTTTCCAGCTGGGAGAGGAACCTGTAGGTAAGTTGTAATGGGAACATTTCATATTCTTGTGGCTATAGAGTCGCGGTTAATTCTATTATGAAAATTTTTCAGTTTTACGGTTTGTTTTACGTATTTGCTTAGATACTTGTGAAAAAGCGTGTAATCATGTAGCATCCGTTCTCCGTAATTATTTTTATCTTTTCTTCCGATTTGCTTCCACTTGAGTTCTTACTTTTCATGCATACGGGAAATACTGTGAAGTGATCCTGGTATAAAGTATTTTAATACGACATCCAAAACCAATATAGAAGTGCATTTCACATGTTTAAGTATCAAAGAATAAAATTGAATGAATCCGAAGTTGTATTCAATTTTTCAACAAGTGTATAGAACAAAAAATCCACGGCTGTTTGAATTTTATTTTATTTATTTTTGACCACATCTATACATTATTTAAGGAGCCTAAATGGTAACGTATGTTTAAATTTATTTATTTATTTATTTAAATTTTCATATCGCGTTCCTATATATTTTGTAGTGATTTAGTCAAAGTAAATTATATGTGACGTAAAGATGTTTTTATAAATATTTTAAACTGTTACTCACGGGCTTTGCGTCATGGCTAATACTACGTCACGTATGTTCCCCAGAAAAATGTCGGAAAGCTTCATCTTGCCCAAGTACTAGTTGCTATAGGAAACGGGGTTTTTGTTGCTGACTGAAAAACACTGTGATTTTATAAAAGTTTAACACATCTGATATAATATTTGGACCGCGAATGGAAAATAGTTTAGAAAATATTTAGTGTTTATTTTACTGTCAGTAGGGTAACAAGCAAACTTTAGTCTTTCAAAAAATATGAACTGCTCCATGCAGAAGATTATCATATTTTTTACAACGTTATACTTGTAGGAGATAAATTAAAGAACAAAACCAGTGACGATTGATTTTTCAAATTGAGTAAAACGTTTCCACAGCCGGACGTTTTGCATTTGTTAAACGATGAATTATTTTTTATTATTCATGGTTACAGGAGAGTTAAAACTTTGATACAAACTATTTGAAATGGTACCATAAAATAATCAAACATAGTTTGTAATCTGTGCACTAAATATTTTTAAGAGCATGCCTGTGACCTCATTTGCACCTCTATATTGGGTTTGGGTGAAGAATGAGGCTCCATAGGTGATAGTAGTGCTCAGTGACAGTTACGTCTTATCTTTCAGTCACCTGCCACAATGACGCAAGCGGCTCCTACTGCACTTGCTTGATGGGAGATGGTACCTCGTTACCGTTTAATGGCAGTTATTGCTTAGGTAAGCCATAACAAGGTAGTGATTGTCAATTGTGAGACCCGCTAGCACCATATCGTAATCTATATAGTTTTGTTGATAAACCGCTTCACTTGTCTTTTCTCAAATCTAAATTTGGAAACGGTATCCATGCATAATTTTATTTAAAGTGCACTCGCATGCGGTATCTTTTCTGATAGGTGTAAACGTACGGTTATATGGTTTTTCATCATTTATTCTTTTGTTTATAACCACCACTTAATTTGATTAGTGTTCTAATAAAAACCGGAAAAGGAGCACCAAAACCAGTTTGAGGTTTGCCATTCTAGTCTAAGACCCCTTTCCCACAGACACACCACTGATCTACGTAGATCAACCAAACTCTGCGTGGATTCTCGCTAAGTACAATCAGCTTAACTGAAAACGCCTCCTCTTGTTTTCAACGTACTCGTATAATCACCAGCTTATCTGTATTCTACTTAAAGCCAGGAGGAGGCGACGTGTGAATGCCGCACAACATATAATGTCGTAGTACCTGTTAAAATGATTGCACTCAACCAGAATCCCCGCAGAATTTGGTCTCCACGTAGACCTACGTGTCTATGGGAATGGGGCCTAATGGTCGTTTGTCGCCCCTTGTAATATAGCCATTCTAATTATTGACGGATGACTACTTTGTATTTCTCTTAGATCAAAACGTTGACTGTGTCGCACGGGAACAAGAATACACAACGTGTGAATGCCGCACAACATATAATGTCGTAGTGCCTCTGAATATGTCAACTTGTCACAGTAAGTACCTTAAAAGTAGTTAATGCTGGACCAACCACATAAATTTGAATCGAGGAACACGTAACAGTTGATAGACACTTCCAAATTTTGGTTATGACATTTTAATGCTACTTACATACCACATTTTTTGTTAGATGTAAACGAGTGTGCAAGGATGAATGGCGGGTGTGAACACTTTTGCAACGACACGGTAGGCAGCTATTTCTGTTCTTGTCGAGATGGATTTCAACTTAGCAGCGATATGCACGAATGCATAGCGCCACCACCACAAGCCGCGGACGTCAACGAGTGTGCAATAAACAACGGCGGCTGTTCCCACTACTGTGTCAACACAGTGGGAAGTTACTACTGCGCGTGTCCTAGCGGGTACCATCTCTCGCGTGCTAATGTTACAGTGTGGGACAACGAAACTACAGCTGACAAGTGTGAAATCGCTGCTGCGCCAACTAGGAAAAAACGATCTGCTTTTTCTGGTAAGAGAAAGGAGCCGTAACTTAAATATTAATAAACTCCGAGCAAAAAGATTATTTTAATGCGACTGTAAGAACCCATTGCACGTTTACTTTCAGGTGATTTGTCGCAAGAAATCATTCACACTAAATTTTTAACTGAGAAAATATTGACTTCCAGTGTTTTTTCACTCAAACGCCCATTTGCAGGCGTATTTTCCAAACGTACTTGATCACTCCCATAAAAATATACCATCTGTCGCGATCATAAGTTTTTTTTTCATCTCTGATTCCTGACTTTTTGAAATCTGTATATTTAGCAGATTCAATTTATGAATTGTTGTCAAATGTTCCCCAACTGTTTTGATGTACAAATATCGCACCCTCTGTGTTTAAGTAAATTTGCATTAATTATTTTCAGAAATTGTTACTTTTGTGGACAGCAGTGGGAAGGATTTTATGCTGATGTTCATGGAAAACCGCATCGAATTTCCCAAAAGGAATCCCCTTGAACTCTGGGTTACCCCCAGTAGCAAGGTCACAAATAACGTCACGGTGAACGTGAGAACTGCAATGAGTAGTGTCGTCCGTTCTATCACTGTAAGCCCTGAAACGGTGAACAAAATAGACCTTCCATATGAATTAAGAATGAGCGGAACCAGAAAGACCAACCAAGGTATTTTGGTAACGGCAAGCGATGACTTGGTTGTATACGGTATCAACAAAGAAGAATATTCCACCGATGGCTTTTTAGGTTTACCAGTCGACGCTCTCGGAGATGACTATTTTGTTGTTACATACGCTCCACCGACTACAAATTGTGAAATTGGGCTTGCCGGAGTTCACAACAACACACAGCTCACCATAATATTCCCTGACGACGCCGAACCTCCCGTCTCTGTGTTTTACGAAGGCATAGAGTACTCCAATGGAAATACCCTTCAGACAACCATCAATAGATTCCAGACCATACAATTACAAAGCAACAATAAAGGAGATCTTACAGGGACATTTATTCATTCAAGCGACCCCGTTTCTGTCTTCAGTGGCAACGTGAGAACTAGCGTAGGCACAGGCGGTTCACGCGACCATCTGGTTGAGCAAATCCCACCCATTCAATCCTGGGGCAAGCGGTTTGCGACAGTGCCAATACCAGAGCGTACAATCGGTGACGTGTTTCGCATCGTATCCAGCAAGTCAAATACTCGTGTTAATATTTATAAAAATTCTGGCAACCGAGAGGAAGTCATAGCGAAAAAAGGGGGCTTTGTCGAAATGATCTTCAACTCCACGGACTACAGTTACATCACTGCCAGTGAGCCCATTTTGGTCGTTCAAATTGTTCAGAGCCAAGTAAGTTCCACTGCTTCAGAAGAGGCGGATCCTGCCATGATTCTCATCCCACCCATTGAGCAATACAGCAACAACTATCACTTCGCCACAACCTCTGCCGCCATAGGGCAATACCGCAACTTCTTCATGATCGTCATCCCCTATGCATACCGTTACAAACTTCTGTTAGACAAGAAGATCCTCTCCTCCGTACGTTGGACCGATATCCCGAACACCAACCCTCCGCTCTCTGGTGGCTATATCCAGTTGAACGATAATGTTCCCTATCACAGTCTGACCAATGTGAACCCTGAAGTGACCTTTATGGGCATTCTCTACGGAGCTGGGGATAGGGAAAGTTACGCCTATCCCATTGGCACAAGGCTAGAGATTATCAACAGGATTCCCCTTCCCGTGCAGTGTTTCCAGGACGAAGTCGGGGAGTATTGCACTTGCCCTGTCGGAAACCGCGTGTTACCATTTAATGGCACATATTGTAAAGGTAAATTGCTCATATCCTTCCCAAGCTTGCATTTTTCTTTTGGTTAATTGGGACTTTGTTAGAAACAAGCACGAATAACCGGTTCAAAATTTACACTTATTAACACAAATCCCTACGTTCGCTCCTTAGATATTTCAGAAAAATGGAGAACAGAAATGAAAATAATAATAATGAGTAGGCCTAAGAGTCTGTTTCCTCTACTTAATTCATACTTTCTTTTAGATGACACTCATTAATTAAATGTCGTTCATGGTAGCCAGTAAAGTACTTTTGTCCGTTTTATAGCAGTAGATACTATTTGTTTGAAAATAATGTTAAATATTTCATGTGTTCACAGTTTCCGATGTGCATTGCTGGCACCCGGAATACCACGAGAAGTACTGTGCGTGCCATGTTGACGGGAGAATCATCCCACTTAATAAAAGCAACTGTGAAAGTAAGTCCAGATTATCGATTTGTTTGTCACGACGGATATTAAAAGAGATACCATCTTTATATATATCATGTGTGTTGACTCTAAATGTAATTGCACATTCTGTCACGTAACGAAATGACATACCCAGTAATTTAATGTCCTACTTGGCCTTACACATTTTCAATTATATTATAATTTAACCTGTTCAACATTCTTTTGTAAATGGTGTGTTCAAGTTCTCTGTTCTTGAAATATTTAAGGTTGGAAAGTTTAAGACTCATCGGTGGCGATTTTTTTTAAGATACCAATGAATGTGAGATAAACAATGGAGGCTGTGCCCACATGTGCAATGATACGGTGGGGAGCTATTTTTGTCAGTGCAAGGATGGGTACATGCTGGCAGCGGACAGACACTTATGTCTGGCAGGTTTGTAGAATTTTCATTTATGATCAATTATGTACTGGTAGTACGATGAAAAAGGATTATTTATGAGCAGAAATATGGTGGTTATATTTGACGTAGCATCAAAGGGCGGTGCACATTGAAGAGTATGAATAGCTAAGAGTCGCTTAAAATCAAAACGTGTATAACATTTATTTGAAGGTACAAAAGTAGTGAACTTTACAGGCACTTGAATGTTTGTGTGAAAAATTTGAAAATAAACTGTACTTTGTTTTTGTATCCTCAGAGGACCGCTGCGGCATGGAAAGAGGATTGTGTCAGGTCCGTTGTGTCAACGTGTATCCGGGGTCATATAAATGCGAGTGTGATCCGGGCTACGAACTAGCACAAGATAATTTTACGTGCACAGGTAAGCGAGTCCTTGCCTACGTACAAAGTAATTACAGGTGCGTACAAAGAAGTGACCTTTGAATAGGTTTGAGGTGCCACACCCCAAAAGCTATCAGTATAAAATATTCACTGATTTATTCATGATTTCGTGTGATTTATATAGTACAAGTCTCTTAGTATAATCGCGGTGATGGTTAGAACATTGTTTACTATTTCAAAATAAAGATAATGAACTCACTCACCGTATATTGTAGCACAGGTGGAGTAGATATTACCATTATCCTTGAGTTATCAAAAGTGAACGTGGTACCTTGCTATGCTCTAAGCTGTGAATAGTAGGCCTATACTTAAATAGTTTCTGCGATTCGAAATTCGGCAATATTAGTAACAATACGCCAGGGACATTTACGTATTGCTAGCTAAGGCGGTCAAAACCAAATGCGAACTGTATTTACAAAGAGTATTGATGATAACATTGTCATAGCCAAATCTATAACAATAAATTAAGGGTGTTCAAAGCTAACGTTGGGGTATTGACAATAATATCGACGTTACCATGTTCACCATACAATGATCTAAATTTGAATTGAAATTGTACTGGATGGAATATCTTCTGTTTCAGATGTCAATGAATGCCAGCTAAGTTATCCTTGCCAGCATAAATGTAAGAACGTTGTTGGAAGTTTTAGCTGCGAGTGTGATACAAATGGTTTCAGGTTGAATGTCGATGGCAGGTCGTGTGACGGTAAGACTGACCTTTCAATAATAGCGTTTGCGTCAATTTTCGTCAAGATAGTAATTTATGGGTTTAAAATATTACGATTGTTTTTGTAGAATAGTTTTTATGTGACACATGTTTTGACCTTGACAGTTTAAAATAGAGCAGTAAATGAAACACTTTGAGAAACACATCGCTATATACTTGATTCATATATAATATGGTTGAACAAATACGTTTTTGGTCGCCTTACACGTATTATTTTTAGTTTTATATATTTATGATCGTAACAGTAGCGAACAGTGATCCAGCCCTATGGGCTTACGAAGTCACCTATTATACAACTCTTTGGCCTTAGAAACCTCGCTGTACTTCTATGGAGCTCTGTAAAGAGCAGACGACGTCTCCCCTCACTTCAGAAAAAATAATTTTACCCAATTTTCAATTTTTCAATGAGATTATCATGGATGGAGCAAATTTTTAAGTAATACTTGTCTTCTACTCCTTAGCTACTACAGGCGTACAAAGTCCTTCTTCGATCTTCTTTACAAATCACGCTGTTGCAATACGGTACTTTTTTTAGCTGTGCAGTGATTGACCTTTCAGTTGGCTTTGGATTAAATCTTAGATAATTTTTAGTTCGGTATTTGCTTGAAATATTCTAAACCCATAGTTTAGTTTAGTTTCTTCTTCACACAAGCTCTCCTGGGGCAATGCCACAGGTATCTAAGTCAAAAAGCAAGTGGCTCAATTTATCAATCGACAAAGAATGAAAAAAACTTGGTCAGACCAATTACTGTCCCTTTCTCTTGCATGATCAGTCTCTAAGAACGATTTTGCGTAATCATTTCATTATTCATGCTTATCAACCTATTCCACGTCTTCCAAGATTTAACCAAAGGTGCACCCTTCTTTTATATTTTGTACACATCCCCCATATTACCTTCTATCACCAAGAGGTGTAAACCGGTGCAACCCAAAGAATGTTATGGCAGTTCTGTACTGAATGTTATCTAACTGCCTGTGGTCAGTATAACCCCAACCCATATCCTTGTATTTTTACTGGCACAAAAATAAAGCTTGGTTTATGTGGAATACATGTACCTTTGCAATTATAGAATCAAATGTCATACAGTGTATCTGCGACATTTGGCCTCACACCCGTAATTCTCAACATGTTTAAATTGTCTCTGACAAAGGTACGCCAAGGTATTAAAAACGTTTCATAAGTAAGAACCGACCATCCACAGTTAAATTTTATATCGGCGATGCATATTTTTTTCTCTGGTTTGCAAGCAAACTCCATCTAGAGACCATTGACTTAATCTATCAAACATCGCTTTTCAATTTTCTTTCAAAACAACTTCATCCGCATACAGTAATGCATCTACAAAGTTATTACCCGTATTAACCTTTCGAAAAGACTATTTCCTCCGCCATGTTATTTCATTGCCCTTGTTGGCTGTCATTGTGCAACCTTGATATCGAGATCAACGTGGTACATGTATTACATCTTTACTTAATTGTTTTTGTGATGGGTCCTGAGAGATTTTGAATACGGTGACACTAAACGACTTAACAGGCGATATAAGTGACAATGACAGCTTACGTCAATTGATAAATATTTTCATCGTGACCGTATGATTAAATCTCTTATTTTTAATGAATTATAATAGACGAAGCATAAAGATCTCCCCAGGGAAACATTATTAAAGGGAACAATCTGAGTAATTTTCTTTGATAAGCATTTAACAATCAATTGATCTGATCTTAAACGTAATTTTTAGGCGAGATTGGTCTTCCACTGTTATCAGGGCGCATTTAGAGTCCACTTATATAGATTTTATTTGGTAATTTACCATCTCGGCAAACTTGTCATTGCAATAAACAGCTATGCAGAGTTTAATTTTTCTTACGAAAAATGTTTGGACAAGTCAACAATAGTTTCCGTTGCTGTAATTTAATTAAAGTTCAGGTTATGCCTTATAATTCTTTTCAAACTGACTCAGCGCATGTTTATTATTGAACTATATTGCATTTCAGATATCAATGAATGCAACGAAATTCCTGGCGTATGTGGCAACGGCACATGCGAGAACAAGTATGGAAGTTTTTATTGTTCAGATCGTACGAGTGGTGTAAGAGCTCTACCAAGTAGGCAGGGTAAGTTTGTCGTGTAACTGAACGCGCGGTTCGTGTTTTCTTGCTTATGCCCCATGTTCATGGAGGTTTATGTACAGACGGCGTCCATGCATATAGCCATCACCTGGCTGTCGGGGTCGTTTTCATGCGCTCTTCACTGCTTACGCAATGTTTTTATTTTTAACAAATTGGTATTTTAAGCATCAGTTGCATTTTCTAAATATCCGTATTAACAGTAGTGTATACTTGAAATTTAGTTGTAATTATGCAGTGAAGCATTATTAAATATTACATCAGAATCGACAAAAACATCTTTTTTGTGCAGGATCATCGTTTATGCTATCAGTAGAAAACACACGATGCATTATTTACCTCAAGTTTACCAGAGTGATTTATGGCACTAAAAACGGGTTATTTTTCTGCTTTGTCTGTATATTAGACAGTTTTTCTGCATAGGTCACCTCTTTGAAGATAAATAAGAGATGTTAAAATGAACATTTAGTTGCTCAGTGGTTTAACATTATAAGATGTGTACACCCATGATATCGTAGGAGGTTTGGTGACCATCACATTAATATTTCAGCTTCTGGGCAGATGGGAATAGATTCGACAGACCTTGGCCTGTGGCTTACCATCATTAGCGGAGGGGTGGGCGTGGCACTAATGGCCGTCCTCGTTATCGTTATAACACAATGTAGGGCAAACGCCCGAGGTAACAAGTCCGAGAGGCTGGAGGAAGGAGATCACCCAAGCACGTCAGGAGAAGTGTTCCCAAGATTTAGTCACCCAGAGCGCGAGGAAAGCAGTATTCGATATGATCAACCAACGACGGACTCGGAGTCTGGCTCTCGTCAAGCTGATTGCAGACTATGACTGTACAAACACATATTATATAATTAATAAATATATATATATATCATGTCCTGTTACGTTGTTAAATACAATATCCAATATTGAAATGAATATTTATTTGTCTTTTGACACCTAAGTTGAGAATTGCTCGAATAAAAGTCCATAAAATGAAAATTAAAACCTATCCAGTTTCGAAGTACATGTAGGTTCAAAGCCTACGCTTTGATTTTTCTCATTAAAAAGCATGGAATAAATTTTTGGACTTTCACCGATTGTTGTAAAATGGATGCACATGGCCGGTGGTTAATAAAATGTACAATTTCCAGATGTGAACAGACTAATATCGGCATGTTTCGCCTTATTAGACGATAAAGACGAAAATTGGGACACGCACTGAAAGTTAATTGCACCGGTGATCTAATAGAAAATAGGAAATTGATGCCGGGAGTTCTTTATCAGCTGTGCAGAAATAACGTGGAAATTCTCACCAAGATTCGGAAAGAGAGGCAACATTATCTTCAGAGATTAATTTTGCACTGACCAAAGAATAGTCGACTTTGAGACCGCTACTCCTCTCGCCTTTAGGCGAAATGGGTTTTCATATTTTCGTTTGATTTATAAGAAGGAATATTATTTCGTGTTGCTTAATGGCTTTGGCAATTAGGAGTTTGCTGTCGGTAAGGAACTTGAGGTTTATAGGTACTCACTCTATATACGAAAGTAAGCTTGAACCTAAAGACCTTTTTTTTAAAAATATCTTTAATGTAAAAACTACGAGCACTAAAAAATGACGACTAAAAGATAAAAATTGTCTTGAATGGCTAAAGATTTCTACTGCTTTGTGAAGAAATAATGCAGGTGTTTCTAATGTTAAATAAAGCAGCCTAGCACAGTAGCCTCAGAAACGGCCGCGCAATAATAATAATAAGCGATACACGAAGAAACCACAATAATCATCGATATATCTTGGTATCGTGGTATCCTAATGAGTCCGTTTGGTTTCTTGAAAGGCGATTTTTACAGCCTAATCTGATGATAAATACTCATCCTCTTAAAAAAGCGGCTGTCTTTTATCAAAACCACTCATGCACGCATATTAGTCACTGCACGTTTATTTCCGAATATGGCCCTCGCTGTGTTGTTTTTGCAAGTGCGGCTGGATGGGTGGTTACATCGTTTAGCAAAGCAATGTGTAGCTGACATTTGGAGACACAAATATTAAACTTTGTTTGTGATAATGATGAAATATATCGTATTCTCCGAGTTATAATGAGCAACATAACATAATTAGCAGAACTTTCAAATGCATTGCGCCCGTCTCATAGCCTTACGTCAACCAACCACAGGTCGATAAAATTCAAAGTCATGCTATTCCAGAAATATTGAAGTAAAGTAGTGGAACTTATGTCTTACATTTGCGTTCAATTTCGAAGATTATATTCCATGAGAAAACGCTCTGGTACCATGTATATTCTTAACATTTCCTAATACAGTTCCAAATAACTGTAATTATAAAAAAACGCTTAGTTTTGGCTTAAGTGCAAAAAGTGCGTGACAAAGTTTGTAATTGTTTGAAAACAATTTTCAGTTTAAAACAGAAAATCGAAAAATCGCGAAAAAAAAAAACAAAACAATGTCTCGGAATAACCCTAATTTGAAAACTTTACACTTAATTAGCTTGCTCTTGGAAAACTAGGATTTATCATCAATCCCAAGTGGGAGTCGTGGCTTTGGTGTAAAATTAGAGTACGTAAACACGTGCTATTTTATGTAAAGGTAAAACGACTGAAGAGTAGAAGGTTAGGCAATTGCACGTAACAATAGAAGAGTATAAGGGACTGAGTTTTTCAGAGATACTTGGGAACAGGATATATTGATCACGTGACAATAAATATGTACCAGCAAATATAACCATGGTTTCGATAGTCATATATATTGCAAACATGCTGATGCTTCTAATTCTCAATACAATTGAAATACATGGAATGAACAAGAGTCGTGCATTATTATTTTCTTCCATTGTCCTGTTCATCACGAATCAAATTATAAAACAAATTGAGCGATTCCCATCATCACTTGGTAGGGGCATATATATATATATATATATATATATATATATATATATATATATCAGTACGACATTTCCTAAACGTCAAATTTGTACAAAATACCTGTACCTTAAAAGGATAACAATGGCAATGACATTTTACACAAACTGAACTGGTTTTATGTAGCGTGAGCTTTGTTCTCAGGGATTTCTTAGTATTCTTGAAAACCATACTCATCGCCTCTTCGTGATCATGCTCATGTTTTGTTTATTGCAAGCACCATTCTTCGAACATATCAATTTGTGTCATTTCTAATTTTCGAATAAGAGAAACGGGCTCACAAAAGATGCACATGCAATAACTATGGTGTACATGGTTATTCCATTATTCAACTACAGCCAGGTGTTGTAAATTTATATTACCATTGCACTGATTGGTTAGGTAAAAGAAATCAGCATCCTTATAGGCATGTGTCGAAAGTATTTGGAATGGTCGACACATAGATAGAATATGGCGTGTTTTTCTAAGCGTACCTCTGCGGACGCGAGAGTTCTTGAACATTCTCACACGTCCCTAAACATTCTTGTAGTTGGTGTATCTGCAACACAAATAAAGAACTAGTAATCGCTTCTAAACTGAACAATTGAACACAAAACAAACTGTTCACAAATTTAGCAATATCCCCGACAGGTTTTCAAAAAGATTCTGAAGTCTTTTTTTTTAATTGTACAAATAAATACATGCCCAGTCAATGGTTCCTATATTTGATAACTTCCTCTTTATTATTTCACTTCTCGAAATAGCAATTTAGGTGATTCGAATAATTAAATACCCTTTTGTCAAGATATAGGCCTACATGTAGGGACCGTATTTACTCCTTCCTTCCCTGACTAGTGTGTGCTAGAGATGAAAAGCGGACGAGCAGATAAAGATTAGGAGTTCACAATATTTATGAAAAAGAATATGTAAAATATTTTAACATCGAGATTAATTACGCCATTTGACAGTACTTATGGGTGTAATTTGTGTTAATTTATACAGTACGTCACGAATTAGCAATAAGCAAATCGAGAGAATGAAAATATGAAGTAGCATTCTGGTAGATAGATAAGTAAAAGTACAGCACAAATTGAATTCACGAAAAATAAGTAAGCACATGTTTACATGGTTAAGTATACATGGACCCTGTAAATAGTGGTTTGGTTGAAGAATTTGTGAAGATATGAAATGGAATCACATTACAGAATGATTCTGTGTGCTTCCGTCAGAAAACTGCATAGGTGAGTTCGATCGTACAATAACCAGGAAGGAAAAGTTAGAAATATTAGAAAGAACGGCTCATGAACTAACCGTTTACAGGGTTTATCTGGAAACCGCATGATAGCTATCGATGGTAAATTTAGGATATATTTTTCATGACCAACAATTATCAAGAGACTTAATATTATATTAGTGGAGTTTTATCTGATTGTTACCGCCTTGTGTCTTCAGCCTGGGTTGTTTCGGAACAGGTTTATCTTTATCTAGACCCTCGTGCACTTTCTCAGAGGACATAGGCTACCTCTGGAGAAACGGGTGCATGTACAGTAGAAGGGTATATTAGCATCTATAACCTCATTACATAAAACTTTAATGATAAAGAAATATTGAAATACAATCACTGATTTTAGATGCTGTGTAAAGAAACAACACTTTAACAAAAAGGAATCTAATTAAAAATCGGTTCGTCGAAACAGTTTACAAGTTTAAAAGATCCAGTTTTCCATGGAGAAGATGGATACCAAAACTCTACGTTTGAGCATAGTTTAGAAGGCTGTTAAACTTTAATACGACTACGTGAGGATAACTTTTGCTCTTTCCCAATGCCATATCTTCTCTAATAATCGCAGGAAACCGACAGCAAATTTGATGCAACTCACATCATTCTCATCCTGCTTCCCAACCATGGACTCTATAATACCAAATTGCTCCCATGGGGACCTTTGGGGCTTTCCCTGTAACCAAGATTGGCTCCATGTTTGACCTATGCACGTAGAATACCTAAGCCTGAAACCGTGGGTTCTACATTGATCCCGCATTGAATCAAAGTGTATCCATGGTAGATACTGCAAGCAAGATTTGTAATTTCTCAAATTCCTATTTGACCAGGATCACTCTGCAGCTTTATATTAACAGCGAAATCTCAAATACTTACTTCCCCAGATCGTTAATTGTGGGAAAACAGCTTTATGGACAACACATAAGTGTGTACAACATTTATTCTCACACTTGATTGCATCTAATGCAATTGCTTTTTGTCATGAAATAAAGTAGAAATTTTGCTGTTAGCAGTGTATAGCGACTTCCGTATGCTTTCATGTATCCATAGCAACATTTAAATCAAAGCATCTGCATAATATGGACATCACGCCCCATATCGACGATATCGATTATTCCATTTTTGGTTACTTTATGTTTCTTTGTTAATTTGAAAACACGAGGCGCCTCCTTGAGTCTTAACCCTGTTTTTTTCCTGCGCATGCCTGACAAATTTGCTCATATGCGACACGCCGCTGCTTATGTGCCATACTTTTGAGAATCCTGCGTTAAACACATTATGAAAATCGAAACTACCAAAACATCATCTTAATATAAGGATGGAATATACACGTCCACAAATAGGTCATTTTCGTATCGATTTGTGGAAAATTTGCTATGAAATTATACTGTCAAACTTAGAATCAAACTCAAAGGAGAAGCGTTTGCAATAGTCAAATGCAATGTGTCCGTCAGCACGGAAAGCCTACATGGCGTTTCTCAGTTCATAGTGCATACTGTCTGCATTTGGACACGTGGGAATGATTAGAGCAGTACTTCTATTCCATAAAGGTAAAGGGACAACGAAAAGATAAGGTAAGCATATCAATTACATATTTTGTCAGTTGTTGTCCTAAAGAAGGTAGACAATGCCAGTTAAAATGGACAAAAATGCAAGTTCCTTGTGTGACATGATTAAATGACAAAGTAAGAGAAGTCCATGTTTGTAAATTATACTTAAGTCTACTAGCCTGCATTACCTGACGGTGCTTGAGAAGAAATAATTATAATTTATTCTCACACTTGATTGCATCTAATGTTTCTTTTGGTCGTAATTGCTGTGCTCGTGAAGTAAATGAAAACACATCAAAAATAATATATTTCAAACATTTCACATTGTTCTTCGCTGACCTTAAATGAAGATATAAAATTACTGTTCCACGATATACGTTTGCAGTGCCCTTATAAAGTTGGTACTAATGGTTGGAAGAGCAGAAATACTGGTATCAAATTACCACAAATGAAAATACTGGGTGTAGTTAAAGGGTTATTTAAAAAAAGTTAAAAACAATGCAGTGGATTAAACGAACATTTTATTTTGCGAAATTCACAAGAAGTACCATCAAATTAATCATTGACAAAAAGTGGGGAAAATGATCTGTTTTAAATGCGTCTATTGTCATGAATTGTCTTACAGCTACCATTTAGTCTATGCACAGGTCAACTTAGCACTATTGCCGTGCTTGATGTTTTGCTTATTTCATCTAAAATAGTCAAAGACGGCGGCAACGGAACATAACCGTGATGCTGGCATCCTCACCTCTTCTGCCTACGCAGTTAAGACGTAAACGTGGAGATTTTATGATTCGTTCAGCAGTTGAAAAGGGGGAAGCTTTATATGTATGTAGATATGTAATTTTTTTTTGGCACAGGTAGAAATGGAATCACATTACATGGTGAACACTTCAAACCAAAGCACAGCGCTGTTACCATACGAACATAGCTTTTGGCTCAATTTCCCAGACGCACCAAACAGCGTGAAAGTCGTCTTAGGAGTAATCGTGCTGCTCGTAGCTTTAGCCACAATAGGAGGAAATTCCTTTGTTATATGGATTTTTTGCAGGTAAGGTGAACCGATCCTTCTCGTATCAAGGTATAATTTCCAGTCAGGAGCACACATTGAGTACACACTGCTGTAGAATGCTTCCCTTCTCTAAGATTACATGTAAGATTTCACAACGTTATTGTTCTAAATAGGTGTTTTTAGAACTAAAGGGGTTCGTTCAACAACAGATTACTTTGATCATCATTCATGGCATATCATTCTTCACTGTATATAATATTCAAATGTAGCACAATGATATAATTATTATAAGTTATATTGCATCAAAAAACAAAACATAACGGTTGCTTTACAGATCGAGTATACACGTTGTCCTTAGATCAGTTATCCATTCATCCGATTCATTATCTTGTTATTCCGCGTTTCTTGACACTTTGAGTGATTCAAACGTTAAGTTTGGAACATCCAATATGGTTACCTTTATCTACTCTAAAGTTCTACAAAGACCACACAAAGATCTGAACCGAGGGTGATTAAAAAAAACGGTGTTATCCTCATTTTAAAATTCAATGTAAATCACAAAAGAAGGAGTAAAAACCAATAATTTTAGATAACAAATCTACACCAGATTAAAATAAAAATTGAAAAGAAAATGAACACTAATTATGTCGCAAGAAATATAGATAGACTATATGTAGTTCACATTAGAAACCGTTTTAGTATTTGGTCTCACCAATCCAACACGTTTACTACACTAACGGTAAACTGGTTTAAACCAGTCCCAGGTTCAAGAGTTATGTAACCGTCCTACCCGTAGAAGTTGTCACGTTTAGGGCAATATTAGTAAAAGTCTGTATCAAGTTATCAGTTTTATTAATGTTGTTTACACAAAGGACACAAATTTATTTTAGTAGGTCTATAGCGCTCCGTTATAAAATAACTTTTAGTCATTTTCTAAGTATAAGCCATAGTTATGTATATACCTTTTCTTGGTGAAGTAGTTATTCATAGACACATCCACTATATGTGTGGCACGCAGGGCCCCATGCGATTTTTATATAAGATATTAAAGTCACTGATAGGCCGCTCTTGCCTCTGGGCTACCTGATGTAGACCGTGTGCGAAAAATAAAAATTTGAAAGTTCTACAACAGGTTGCAGCAACTTTTACAGGATGACATAGCGACAGATCACTGTAACCACCTCAGGCCGAAAAATATCATAAAATCACAGAAGACTTTTAAACTGCAAAGGCAAGACTTCGCGTAAAGCAAAATACAATCCTTCCAAAATTATTGACAAATGTTTATCAGTGCACAGGGAAGTATACCCGAAGGAACTTTATTAAGTTAAAAAAGAATAAGTATGGATACGGAGGGCTTATGTGTATCCTGTCGAAGGCCTGTATCTGGATCATTGATTTCGTAGAGACGCTGAACACTCGTATTTTATTAGACTCATTACCAAACAGCCCATCGTATTTTACACTGCTACCCGTCATCAAATTGTTTATCAAATTTCAGAAATGAAACAAACAACGAGATTTCGTTCTTTTTCGGACTATGACTGCTACAATAGAGCATGATGTTTGAGACAAATTCGGTTGTCAATTAAGTGATCAAAACATCATGATTCAATGAATCAAAATTGAAAAGCGCCTACATAACGATTGGAATGAATTTAAAAAAAAGAAAAAAACGGAGCATGAAACTTTAAAGTGCAACTAGCATATATCAATAGAGGAAAAATGAAAGAGCAAACCCTAACAACTGTCTGAGTCTGTTGATAGGGTTATGTATATTGAGGTTTTAAAAAGTATCTGTACATAATGCATTTGCGTAAGGCATTTTTGTCCAACCTTTTCATTTTTAGTGTTCAACACATACACACACGCGCGCACACGCACTCACACACCTATGGCCAAGACCAAAAACTTGTCTCAACAAATAAATTAATTCAATGGAGTCGTTGCCTGGCTCCATAATCTCTTCACTAAACATAAACATTATTGATGTCTAGCTGTTACATGTAGAGAACATTTACGTGCGGTTCCTTGTCTTCGCCGAAGTCGCAAATCCTTTGAAAGAGCGTTAGTAAGGATTCGTATTACAGTTAGTTCTATCGCTTGTCAAGGGAACTCCATTTCTTGCACAGCATTGATAAAACCCAGTGCTTATAATCAAAGAATACACACATTAGCTTATAGATCGAACGACAAAACAGATCTACATGGTTGCCAAGTACTCGGCATATGTGCGTAGTGCCTTGTTTGTGTAGACTTGACTTAAAAAACACAAAGTTAACAGCTCCACGAAACTCATTTCTCATATTTCCATTCAAAATGTAATTTGCTATTTGTTGTCTTCGTGATGTGTTACTGTCGCATTTCAATCAATACCAATAACATTAAGCAAACAGATTTTGATTAAAAAAATCAACAAAGAACAACACAGCTGTCGTCATTATATAGTCATCAGAGAAGTAAATTAAAGAGATACTTTATGTTTTGACAGTTAGCAATTTTTCATTTCAGATCCAAGGCTCTTAGAACACCAGGGAATTTCCTCTTGGTTAATATGTCATTTAGCAATGTAATGATGTCAACGGCAGTGCCCATGGTAACAGTGGCTTCCTTTGAAGGTAGATGGCCTTATGGGAAAATAGGTGTGTAAACTGCAAGATGCGAATTTTATATGGTGTTGTGTATGAATTTTGCGTCCTTGTCAAAGTTGACATTACCACAGCAATATATGCATATCGCATATTTTAAATGAAAATATATTCTGAAGTTTACACCTGAAATCAGATCTTCAAATGTGACGAGGAAAACCACCACCATCCCATTAAACTGCTGCTGGGGCCACTCTAGCCTCTGTTGCATACTTACCGCAACTAGACCAGTACTGTGGTCACGAAATTATTGAACTATGAGTACAGAAAAGTAATATACTTTGGGGAAAATCGTGAGCTTATTTGATACAAAAAGCGTGTTGCGGCAATTATAAGTATCACTGGCAGTCTGCAGAGATACAGACTGCGGTTTTTGTCGTTCAGTTTTTTCCTCACCGTTTCTGCCTATTGAACCTTAATTATCTCATTCCACAGGTTGTGACATCCATGCAGTTATTATGGGAGGGTTTGGCCTCATGACAATCAACACGATGGCGGCCATTGCGGCAGAGAAGTACTACGCAATCGTTCGAATGTCGCAGATTCAAACGTCGTGGAAACAACTTGTGAAATATCTGATTATGGTCTGGATAAATTCTGCCCTATGGGTCCTCTTGCCGGTAGTTGGCTGGGGCCGGTACATCCTCGAAGGGCTTGGCACAGCTTGCTGTTTTGACTTTCTCACTCAAACCTCCAACAACCGCGCTTTTGTAATGGCCCTGGTGGCCGGAGGAGCCGTTTTGCCTCTCTCTGTCATTGTGTCATTCTACATCGGTATCTATGTGCACGTGCGCTCGCACTCAAACAAAATGCGTAAAATGAACGTGCAAAAGCACGATAAGAAGTTTCACCTCAGATCAGAGATCAAGATCGTGCAGATGACTTTGATTCTTTTGGTAATATACCTCATAGCGTGGACGCCATATGTAGTCGTAGCTTTAATGGGGATATTTGGTTACGAAGAGAAATTGGACCGCGTTACGTCCACAATCCCGGCCATGGTGGCAAAGGCATCTGCTTTGTACAATCCAATTGTCTACTTGTGCTATCATCGTGGGTTTCAATCTGAACTCAGGCGCATGGGAATCTGCTTGTGTATGCTGAGACGGAAATTATCTACACAATTTTCCGGCAGTGACCAAATTAGATGTGAATCTACGAGCGGTAATATTCGAAGAACTTGGATAGTAATTGATAGGTCGGCCAGTGGAGAGTATGCTTTTATTTGACTTAAATTGAGAGGGATTGAAGCAAGAAAGAAGAAAGTTAATTTTGTGCATATACTTTAGCCTAAGTATGCATTTAGGCGCTTTATCACTTCCTTCTTATAACCGATTGGATGGATTGGATGGCTTTGTGGTTAGAGTGGCCGCCTCCGGAGACACACACCAATCCTTCATAAAGCACCTGCCAAGCAGTAAAATAATCTTATTCATTTGCTGGCTTTCAGCGCCTCAAACGGTAGCTTATCATCAGCAGGGCGAAGAGAAAGTCTACACCTAGTCTGAATTAAGACCAAAAAATAGCATAATATTGTTATCTATTCTAAACCGCAATGAAACGTGAGTGCGGTATACAGTGTACAAGAACCATACTACTTTGCTTCACAAATGGACAATCAGCTTTTCTGAGACAAATTTGTTCATTTGAGAAAGCCTACACTTGACATTCAGTGGGACCTATGACTTTCAGTTTATCATTATGTGAACTGGATACCCCTGCTTTAATGCTACAACATATCACGTTTTTAATACACAGATTACTTAAAAACATCGTAATTCCATATAATATACCCTTATACCACATAAAATAATATTTCACCATGTAATATTATAGAACCTATCCCGTAACTTGCTTATAATTAGCATAGCACCATCTCTGTTAAGTTCGAAATAGGACCACTAGCAAAGGCCAATCCCTCCCTGTTATTTGCCATTATTACAACTTGCTATATCAAGGTGGTATGACAACAGAAAAAAATAAACAATGATAATATGATCTATAATTTTCGAAATATTCCCTTATTTTAAGCAATTGGGTAGAGAGAATAACAGCCTGAAGTAAGCAAAAGTTAAGGGCTTGTGTGTTGGCGGGGTGACCATAAAAAATATCGACAGGGGCTGTATGTTTTGAAATTACATATTAATACATTTGGATAAAAGAAGTGAAGAAGCAGAGAAAAACCTGTTGTGAGTGCTGTGAGTGAAAAATTTCAAGGGGTTTTAACCCCCCCCCCCCCCCCCCAGCCTCAATAACGTTAGTTTTTATTCACTGAAAATAATGTTATTGAAACATTCATTCATAATATACAGGCGCAAATCGTTGCACGTATTCACGGGCTTAGGAGGGAGATCACGGGCATCATGAAAGTCTAGTGTGTACATACCCCTCCATCATTCACGCACACGTACACGTGGATAAATACTTACAATGCAATGGAAATATTTAGTGGGCGAGTTGCTGGGTCAGAAACCTTTCGTGACATTTGTGTGGTTTTCAGTGTTTTTAAAATGGAAAATTCAGTTTGGGGACCTTGAATAAATATATACTGTAACTTTGAAAGTTCGTATATGCTTTTCTTTATTGATATGAAATAAAATTCCATGAAAAACGATTTCAGTCTCTAGGAGTCGAACCAGGGTCATTGCTAACCCCCCCCTCCCCAGTTTCTGCGTTTATGGCTTAAGATTCTCATTCCCGGATAAACTGAGCATTGAGCAATCTTCTGCGTCAATTTTCACTACAAGGGTTTCACTGAGTCAATATACGTAAATCTACTTGTTTTATTACTTACACTGAATAGAATGAGAATTATTAGCAGATTTTCTAGTGTAAATAGTTGGAACAAAGTTGAGTCCCTTTTCGTTTTTTTTTTTCACTAGACCATCGTGCCTTTGAAATTAAAGTGATCTCAGCCAGGATTTTGAACGCATTTCATGTACGCTTCTTCTATACTTATCCGAGGACAGTTAAAACTTTTAAAACGTAAAGTGAGAGAGTTTCTAAATATCAGGAAGTATAGTCAATGGAATGAATGGGGTATCTGGATTTTGAATGGGTTTTGATCTTTGGCTTTTTTCCCAAAAATTGTTACAGAGTTATGGAGAGTGTCAGAAAGGAAGATTAAAGGTTGTTTGGAGGTAAAATGCTGTTATCCCCAAGTTTACACTGGGAAAAGCCTGGCTTGGAAGGCTTTAATACTAATAGGGTCTTTTCATGAAGCAGACAATAACACAAATGCCAGAGACCAATCAACCAACTAACCAACCAATCTTCAGTCATTTTGTTGAACGCATTAGACTAATCGATCATAAACATGATGCCAGATACATAAATAACTGGCAGCATTGCGTTGAGAGCAATAAATACGTGTCTCTCGATCCTCTTTCTGTCACATTGTTAACGATGTTAAGACACATTTGTAAAGCAATCAGTTTTTGTTTGAAAATCACTGCCTACGTACCGTCGTTTGGAAAAGGTCAAATGCACTCCATTTCCTATTGAACAAGTTATTCAGGTTTCATCAAATAACATTTGAAACATTCTATGCATACATGTAAATAACGGTAGTAGTTTTAGATATGAAAAATAAATTAAATTCTAGACCAAATGGAATTCAAGTCGAAGCTAAATAATATACAGCTCAAACTCTTACGCTCCGATATGACGTTCTATCCGACCAGAACACAGCACTCTTATTTCTTAATGCAGGTAATGACGTTCCTTAAAAGAACAATAGTAGTAAGTATCATTTAAAGCAATTGTATTTCATGCGCTGTTCGTACTTAATTCGTAGGTATTATCACAGCAGAAATAAAAATTAGAATTAAATGGATAGTGTTCACTTTACAAACACAGTGGTCTGCATCTAAATCTCACTCAAGTATTGAGATCAAGATTTCAAGGGTTGGATTCCCTCAAATCTTAAATAAAGGCTTATTGAAATACATCAAAAGTCAACATAAACAGGTATAAATTGAAAAATGAAGTGAAGTGCACGTTCGGTGATACGGACAATCGTCTACCATTGATTTTATTAGGACAGTGATATAATTACCAGGTTTTCAAACAATACTCCTGATAATGGCCTGATCCTAATGCATTAGTCGTTGTTATTAACGGGTATATTTCATTGTTTGCCATTCACTCGAAATGAATTGAAAAATGCAATGGTCTCATTTTCAATCTCTATCATGAACAAATTGCATTATCTTTCCTTTGGCGTTAAAAAGCCCATCAGTTATTTTGCACTTGGTGGTAGACCATACAATAGAAAGGCACATACTTACTACTTGCCCGTGCTTTTGAAGCTTAATATAAAAAAACGAGAACAATTATAAAAATTGCTGTATCATTCTAGTTTGCAACAGTTGATTCATTTGCACTTTGTGGACAGGGAGCTCAGCAGGTAGTTCATTAGGAAGCGCCACTTTGTGGTTTATGATGCTCCCACAGCTAATGTGCTAACAAGACCGACTGGAGGACAGAAAACATGTTTCTCGGAATCGTTTTAGTCGCTGATGTGTTTCTTCATATGTTGACTTTTGAGAGTCTCTTCCATGGGTGTTCAGGAGTACGAGGTTTGCTTTCACTTCTTCTAATAATATATATAAATAGAAGTTTTCTGTACCTTTCTTTTTCGATTTTAAAATTCAGTTTTAGGATTTTTTTACACATTTGGTGTTAAGTTCGATTTTATTTCAGATAAAGACGGATAAGTTATTCTTAGGGGTTTTATGTTAAAATAAATATCAGCGTTTTTGTAATTATTGAGAATACACCGTTGGCGTAATCTACATTTTTCTTTATCTTCTTGACATCGCCAGATGTGTTCAACCAGTCTGCTGAGTACAGTCTTAAAGAGGATCTACTGGCGGGATACAATAGAGACGTCAGACCAAAAATAAACGCTTCAGAGGCACTTGATATTGACGTGAGAATTAACCCAAAATCAATTGTTAATCTGGTGAGTGCTTGATCTGGTTGGTCCAGCAAATGGTCAGCTGAAAGACACGTCACTTTATCGGACAAAATCAGACTCCAGTTTAGGGGACATTTCAGAAGTTTGCAAGTTTTTGTAGATTAAAATTTTCCAAAAATGATGTGCAGAATTCTAAAGCCATGTTAATAAGTCAGATAATTATTTAATAGTTACTAATGGTTATAAGTCCTTCCACTTGTTGGAACCACGGCTGTCAATTTAGTTAATCGAATTATTGTAAAACCTCTTTGAACAATATTAATACAAGTCCCGATTTTTGCATATCAATTTCTCACAAACTATGCACTTAAATTTAAAAATGGCGTTGCCTCTGGTACACAAGAGTTTTTGCTCGTATAGCTTTACATGATACCCGCCATGCGACATTCAATAGAAAAAAATGCTAGTCCAAATATGCAACGCTAGGATAAGACCTTTTATAGCCGCCTAGATAATGGCCTTCTTCCATACTAACATAATTGTTAATTACTCTTAATAATCAAGATAGGGAAACATTCTACTCCATGAAGGGCACATAAGAACATTTTGAACAAGACGTGACTCAATTCATCAAGATTAATCTTTCACTGAATGTACGGTACCCTGTTTGTTATCTAAACCCACAGCATTCACCCGAACATTTGGCCTATCAAGCCGTGCAAGATTGTGGCAGTAGAAGTATGATAATAATTATATCTGTATACGAGCATCAAATGAACCCCTCGAACCATTTAACCATTGCTGAAGGTGGGGGTTCTTTAGCGCATGTAACAAAATCATAAGAAATTAGAATAAGTTTGGCACCTCCTGCTGAAAGGCGAAAGGCTTGCAGCTAACACATCATTGATTTTAGAAGCAGAGTTTGTATGTCTCTTCAAAGATAGGCTTAATTACCGAAGCACAAGCAAGAGAGAGAGATAGAGTGGTCGTGAACTTAGGAATGTCGATATTACTTCAAAAAAGCTGGTAGTATTGCACCTGAGCAAATTAATTGAGAACGGTTGGTGTCTTAGCATCAGAAATTTCTAATTAATATTCCATGTATATTGAAATGAAGGAATTAATGGAATGATGCAACAACGGGTTAAACTAAAAACATAGGTGACAATAGTATACATCGCGTATGGGCCTGGTGGTTTCACGTGTGTATCTTCAGTAATATTGATTGAAAACTGTAATAGAAAACGTCCGAACAAATTTCCTTTATGCGATATTAGCATTTTAGCTTTTAAAAGTTAGGAGAAAAAAATGAAGAAGTCTCTGAATGAACTACACATATGTATAGTAGTCTTCCTGGTAATCGGGTTTCGATGGAATTGAATGAAAGCTGTTGGCCGTATGGGGAGAAGGCAATGCTTGATTGCGTCCACAAACTGACGAACGACTAGCCAGACAATTATACTGACTGAGCTACCAGATTTCAATATACTGTATATATATACTTCATCCTTCGTTTTGTTGGAAGTATGATTATTATTGTTTGGCAATAATTTATTCCAGGACATCTTTGTTACAACATGCTTGTCGTTATAAGGCTGTTATCAAGAATGTAGGCATTGTTTTTTGCAGGGGCGGATTGAGGCAGTCTTCTGGGTCTTTCGGAAGACGGTCAGATTTTCAAGTTTACATTGACATGTATCCATTTTTTAAGTCGGAAGATGGTCAGAAATGGAAGATGGATAAACAAAGATAGTTTGGAAGACTGTCAGAAAATATCTCTAGATCCGCCCCTGTTTTGACACCTCAGACTGGCGTCCAGCTCAAAATTAAAGTATTCAATTTAGAGAAAACATTTTGACATGGCCCACCATTATTATTGTTTTGTTTTTGTAATTATCCTTGTTCATTCTTATTACATTCTCGATGGCTTTTCGTTTAATTTCCCAGGTGCATTATTTCCATTATTATTGCCGAGTCAATCAACCATGCACCTGACAGTCATCACCTAATTAAATTTTCACCGTGGGCAGAGTTTTGCTTTGCATTTTGTTTCACCTATTTGAAAATATGGACGATGAGGATTCATCCACCAGAGTTGTATCTTAAAAAGCCTTTCCTTCATATAAACACTGTGTAGGGCCTCTGTCTGCTTTACCACAAGTACATGAAAATTTTTAAAATGATAAGTCTGTTCTATCATTTCAGGAGGTGCAAGAGCAGGTGCTCACTCTATCGGTGGTGCTGGAGGTGGTAGGTTAATGTTGTATCAATATTGTCAGTTTGGTTTCATATCGTGCAGTATCTGAAACCAAAGCCACCCTCCTACAGGGCGGCATAAAAGATCAAACTGATATCTTTTTTTTATCAAGAACATACAAGGTGTGTTTGCTGATACAGAAATGGGCACAATATCGCATGTCTTACGTAGGCTTACTTTTATTAAATTGCCTTTCTACAATCTCGCAGATGATGTCACCGCAGCGTTATTACAGTGTGGATGTTTCATTGTCACGTGTTGATTATTTCTTCAACATTGTATGGCTATAGGAAAAAATACTAAATAAATCTTTTCAACAATTGCGAGGAGAATACAATCGTAAAAAAAATTAAACGTTGAACAAAAAACCAACTAAACAAACAATTTAGTAGCAGGCGTCGATAAACATAATTTAATATAACACTAATATTGATACATTATTTAAAAAGGTAGAAATGCTCGCAAATCCGGTACAGAATAGCACCTCAATATTTTCCATAAACAGAAAGTGAAAGTGTGATGCAGGCTTTATCAAAGTGAAAAGAGAAAATGTATTTCACTCATATCGATAACAATTGGATACTGAGAACATAACTTTGGAACACGGTTTATATAAAAAAAATCTTGCATAAGATTTTTTTCATTACTCGTTTTTGAAAAAGTCACCAAAATTTCATGATTTTTACCTGGTTACAGTTATGCTTGAAACCAGTTTTGATCCTTACCCTGTTACAGAAATAAATAAATAAATAAATAAATAAATGAATAAATAAATAAACGAAGATTTAACTTTTTTTTTTCAACGTCTCTATTCATTTATGCTTTTAACATATAAGATGAATGGAATTTGGTTTTCACAATGAACTTTTTCTATCAAACGTATACGTCAATGATTGATTCACTGTAAGAATGAAGATCGGTGCAAATCGATATATTTACGTGATGTTATAAATGTCACTGAGAAAACCATTAGAAGAGGACATAAACCGCTGTGCAGATTACAACCGCTCTCGCCAAGGCTCCATCGAGCATTATATGATTTGAAGACCATTTTCTTATTCAGGATTGGATCACGGGTGGTTTTAAGCATAATTTGTGAACCATTAAAGACAAAATTATAAAATATCCAGTGATTATCAGGGAACATGTAAAGAATGATAATTGATGTCAAACCTTTGACGTCTTTTGTTCCAAACTCAGGCGTATTCATTTGACACAAATACTTAGTTCCAGTAAGATCTTTACTTAAGATGTTCTGCTTTAAAGGGCTAAAATATTTATGGCGAGTGGCAAGTAATGCTCTCACTGCGACTTACACTGTGCATACTTCTACTAGTAGTACATAAAAAAGAATACTTTTGATAGCGACATACTTTTTCATCTTTTTTATAATAAATTGAATTTCAAATTCCATAAACGGCAATACACAATTATGTTCTATTTTAGTATTGGTACGACGAATTTCTTACTTGGGATAGCAAAAACTACGATGGAATTAAATACACATCATTTTCCGGTTCCAGCATCTGGCTTCCAGAATTAATGCTCACCAGCAGGTAATTTTTGATTAAAAAAAACATACTTGCTAATTACCACCGCCAAGGAGGTTATGTTTTTACCCCTGTTTGTTTGTTTGTTTCTCCGTCTGTCTGTCATCAATATAACTCAAAAAGTTATGGACCGATTTTGATGAAACTTTCAAGAATTGTCAGAAGTGGGCCAAGGAACAGATGATTAGTTTTTGGTGGTGATCCGGATCAATAATCAATCAATAATCAATCAATAATCAAAAATAAAAAACTAAATCATTATAGAATGAAAGTTTAGGGATGAAACGACATTGGGTGGAGACTTTGCTGCCTTGGCGGAGGTCTGCGCTCTCGGAGTGCTTTTCTAGTTGCATGTATTTTTGAACGCTTCTGTTCTTAATTCCCTCTTCCGCCCCTTCTCTGTCTCTCTTTGCGGGCGCATGTTTGTGCACATGTGTGTGTGTGAGCAAGAGCGCGGCAACCAATCCAACTAGAGACTTCTTCTGTTTGGAAGAGTTGTGTATTGATTTCAAATTAATTTCTTTAATTTTTGATTTAATCAGCCCAGATGATGTTGCCAAAATAAACTTTCCCTTATCCAACTATCACGTCATCGTCCATGAGAACGGGTGGGCATCATATGTCCTTCACACACATTTCTCGACTACTTGCATCTTCAACGTGGTTATGTATCCGCTGGACACCCAGGTGTGCGAATTTGACGTGCGTCCACGCATCTCCTTACCCAGTCTGGTCAAGATAAAGAACCTAGAGGTAGACAACTCGCATTATGCCAATAGTTCTGAGTGGGAAATGGGCGAAACATCTTGGAATATATATGGTTTTGAAGAAACCGACACCAATACCAGTGCTTTTGATAGCAAGGACGGCATGAACATGACGTTTATAGTTAATGATGGCAAGGCAGTCATAAAGTTTAGATGGAAACGGATGGCGGGATACCATTTTGTTACCATTATTGTACCAACGGCGATAATAGCGGCCAGTACCGTTATGTGCTTCTGGTTACCACCAGATGGAGGAGAAAGAGTGTCAGTGGGCCTCACAGTGCTGCTATCCCTTATGGTGTTTCAAGAATTGGTGGCGAACTATGTCCCTGTGTCCTCTACAAACATGCCTTTGATTAGTAAGTATCCTCGGTTGTTGATCTGCTTAAAATTATGTGTTAGAAACCATCAGAAGTGTTGGAAGCTGTAGAATAAAAATATTCCAGAGGCATTGAGCTTTTTTTAAATCTCGTTTGGATGTTTACAAAAACATATGTGGAAGGTTTCATCAAAAATGGTAATTTGAATCCTATCACTATCTGTTCCAGTTGTCTACATATGCATCTTAACAATCTGTACGAAGGTTTCTCTGGTATCTTCCATCATTGTCATCAACATTCAGAATCGCAGCCAACTAGGGCAACGTGTACCAAGATGGGCGCGGCAGTTCATTTTCAATTTCTTAGCATACATATTGTGCATGAGAATCCCTGATCACGTGCGCCGTGACCTGAAGAAACGACGCTTGAGCAAAAATCGGGTAAACAGTCAAGCCTCCACTCCTTCTCATGGCGTCAGAGAAGTCCCAAAAAGTGGAAATTCGCCAGGTTGCAGCAGAAAAATCCAAGGAAACTGTGAAACCGAAACCGTTGCAGCAAACGATGAATCAAATTTGCTCGAGACTGAGTGGATTCTTGCTGCTAAGGTCACCGATTCGGCACTGTTCTGGAATTACATCATACTACAAGGTAGCGCCATATTCTTGGTGATTGGAACGCCTCTCATTTACAAAGATTCGCCGATTAGTTCCTTTATTGATTAGTAGTAGAGGATGTTTGCTTTAGTTATGTACGAAGATAAACAAGACAGTTGGAAAGACAATTGGTTTTTGGTCCACAAAGCCCACCCATTCAATATTTAAAAGTAAAACACATCTTTTCGGCCGCCAGCTGCGATTTGCCATATCTCGTCCTATCGAAATTTTTCGATGACAATTAATAGTGCAATAAATTAATTTGCTTTCTGATTGATAAGCATTTATATGACTTGGTTATGCGGTGTTTAAAATATTTTAACTTCGGTAGTAGTAATAGTTGTAAAACTTGTTATTGTGAAAGTTTGCGTTGAATTTCGTATGGCCGAATACAAATGAAGAAATTATCTGAACATGAAATCGTAGCTTTTATTCACAACTTATATTTCTTATAGCTTACATATAGTATGTGATTACGAATTATGCACACGTTAGAAATGATGGTGAGTGATCAAACGTTCCTGGAATTCGCTTAAATTTTGAGAAGTTGTCCTTCACAAATGTTCATTTTTTAACGATTTCATAGTTTTCAACTACGAAGCTTTAAAAAACTGACCGGTCCCTCCCCCTTCTCTCTCTTTCTCCCCCCCCCCCCCTCCCCCGTTTTGACGTCAATTTTCTACAGGTTCTCTCTGTGGCATTATATAGCCATTCAGCTAACCTTCATGTCCAACCATAGGTTTATTACATGGTAATTACATCCGTAACTGATGCTCACGGTTTCCAAGAAGGTGTTGATCTCTAAAAATATACCTTACACTTTTTCACACCCTTGGTACATGTACATAATAACCCGTGGTTGTGACAGAGAACCGTTGACAAAATGTGTCTGTTGAGACGTCAGAAAAGTTGATGAATATGTCTGTTGAGTCGTCTTGTTCATCTTAACGCTCAAGGTACCCTGCCCAAGTGGTTCCCGGTTTAGTTTATTATTTGGCTCCCCACTATAAAACGCTGTAGCTCACCCGATTGCAATAATAATAATGATAATAATAAACATTATCTCCGTTCTCATAGCACACCGGTTCTCGAAGAACTTTACCGACTCCCAACTCGCCAGAGAATCATTTTTCAAATATGGTAGTTTATAAGGGTTAAAATCCCACAGTATGTTAGTCATTATGTTAAAGCCGGCCTCATGAAATCTCAGTGTTGGTACTAGAAACAGTAGTTCTACCGCTCACTGATGCTATGTAAGGGAATAACTGTATAAAGGGCATTCTCAGTTTATCCCGATTTTATGGAATCGGCAGCCTTAACTTTGAGTTACTGAAGCTCCTACCGATATACTTCAGATCTTAACACATTTATATTTCAATGCATTTTGACGGAATTCGCATTTTGCTTCCAGCTTAAGTTTCATATTGAATGTCTATTTTTTTAGTATTATTTGCATCTTTAATTTTAAGGTTTGGTCTTTTATTTGGATATTTTTACTTTAACTGTAAATGCCACTGCAACACGTGTTAAGTGCAGTTTAAAGAAATAAAAAATAAAATTCCACCCTTTGAGTCGCAGAGCCTTTTCAGATCAAAATAAACGTAAGCCTGTGGGCAAAGATTACAGTTTATAGGGAAAACACATATGGGTGTATCCTGAAGAAATCTTTATTTTTGACTACAAAGCAGCTCACTGTGCACAAACAACGTGGGCTTCTGAAAGCTGAATAATTTTTGCACTCCTCTTCATCAAACTTAGTACCAACAGCTGTGTGATACATTGCTGAATCGAAAGGGTTTGTTTTAGCAAGGATGCTTGAATATTATCAAAAACTATCTACAGAAACAGTCACGGACCTTTTTCTAGGCACCTTCTTAAGGTAAATATTCCTTGTTACAGGGCTGGTTGGCAAAACCATCTCTTCGAAACTGTAAATTTTGTAAACAACACTGTAACAACAACTGATAGCCAATGAAGGTTTCTTGGTCTTGGCACAGAGAGGACTGGTAAAATGTCCTGCAATAAAAGCTTATTCCTAATACCATTGCAACTGTTCTATCTATGTGGTGAAGTGTAATAGCTAATATGTCAAAGGCAACCACTGCCTTATAAATGCTTCAACTATTCAGTTCAGTCTTATCAAATATTAAAGATAGTACCCAGCTGAGCTTTCACATGACAAGGGTTCTGTACCTATTTGAAATACAGACACTCAAACCTATGCCTACCGACATACATTATATAGAATATATAAGATTACAAGAGATATAAGAATAATTGCCAGTTAATATATCAAAATATGACTATTCAAGTCATTTCATATACCACTGAAAAATCTGTAGTCCACAATATTACTTATGACATACATAAATAAATAATCTAAATGTTAATAATAAATATATAACACAACTACCTACCAGTTTCCAATTCATTTCAAATTAGATTTTTATTTTTTACATGAAATTTTGGCATATTTTAAACAACAGTAAAAATGTTTGAGTCAGATCCTGCATAAAATATAACTGAATGTGAAATATAAAAAGCGTCTTTTTTTTAATAATTAGTTTTGGTTCAAACACGTAATATATGCTGTGCAATCATATCCTGTATTTAGTCTCTATTGCAGTTTAAAACAAAAGACAGTGTAGGTATCCAGCTAGTGTAAAAACAACATTTTCTCTTCTAAGCAACAAAAAATCCACTAAAAGCTATTGTGCACATGTAAAACATCTTTTTTCCTGTTGAGATAATTTATAGAAAAGATCATTTTCTCAGTGTGCAGAGAAATTAAAAATAAAATTTGTTTAAAAAACATCAACATTGGTCAAGACCATTTCAAAAGCTTCGCATCACATGTTAATGATATCTCGACTGATTCCTGAAAAAGTGCAGATATGATACCCCTCATTTCTTCACCACGGGCCAAAAAATTTGTAACATTTGCAAGGAATCTGTCAGCCTACATCACTGTCCTGTAATGCTGCTCTTTTTCACGAAAGGGGAGATCTTCACTTCTTGGTAATACTGTAGTCCAGCAATTCAGTCCAAAGATTATTTTTATTCCAATTAGCTTGAGGACACTGTCAAGTTTGCATACTTTTTGATATATAAAATCCTGAAAAAGGGTAAAGATCTGTTCTTAAAATGTGTTATTTGTTAGGAATGGCAGTTCTTCTTGCATTTTTCAATAAGTTAACAGCATGTGTCTTTCATATATACAATTCAGAAGCATCACCAGAGATAATTGTATGTTTAATTAAATAAACAAACAATGGAAATGTAATCTCTTTTCTTTTTACTGGAATGGTACTTATGCCTGTTCATTTAATAAAATCAAACAAGGTAAATATTCCATAAATTTTGCACTAACTCAATTCAAACATTCATTAACATCTGACACTGAAGTATAACCTAACTACTCACGCCATAGCTGCTCCTACTGCTGCTCCCATGACAAAGACACTAGCATGAGTGCAGAGTAGCAGCCTAAGGTTCTCCATGCTAAACAAGCCAGCCTTCCTGGGTCCTGAGCTGTGAACTGTGGCTCTTCTGCTATGCTCTGGGTGCTTAAACCGGATATGCCAGTCACTGCAGAGAAGGGAAATATATTAAATCAGCATCAACAGACTCTTGAAAGATAAAACATTACATGGGGTGGATAAAACATATGCAGGGAATTTACAAGATGAGACAACTTTCACCACCTAGTATCCTTGCTCAAAATATCAATACCAATTCATTGCAAATGTAGGTCTGATGCAGACAATGTTGAAGATAAGCACAGCACAGAGACTTTGATACTTTTTTATTGTGGCTACTGGCAAATGTGAACAAAGCAGAGGTACCCATCAAGTGCAGACCTACTGGGCCAAGTGAAAATAATGGTATTTTTTCTACCCCCTTTATAATGTCTATATTAATATCTTGGTTTCTCCAGTGGGTTAGGATGACTATGAAAAGCATTAGGGAAGTCTGTAAATTAAATTTCACAAGCCTGTCTAAGGTTATACTTTTAGGCATCAAATCTAAGGGAATGCATGTGTAATTTTACTTGTCAACGATTAATTTGCCAGGTTCACTGTTACCTTGGTGGCATCACTTCAGGTCTACTGGACCAGTCCCATATCCAGTCAGCATTCTGTAGTTCTTGGTGACTCTGAAAAATGAGGATTGAAACTGAATATGTGAAAAGCTTAACATATTGTATCTAACATTCTCTTTGGATATTCTATATTTCACTTTCTCTGAGCAGATTTCTCCTAAAATCGTGATACTTATCTGAGTGACCTTAACATACTCTCTGCCCCTTTTATCTATATACACTGTATTATGCTTACATTTCAGCTGCAAATGTATTTTTTACAGTATAACAGTCACAGCTTTATGGACATTTATAATAGCCATAAGTTGTAAAATAATGGACTAAAGTGCATAACTGGAGAAAAAAAACACCATGTTTACAGACAACTTGATGTATTTCAGCACCATATGGTGCCTAATTTGAAACATAAGAGATAAGATATAACTGCCTTCTTTAGTACATCAACAACTATCTGGATTGTGGGTGTATATATCAGGTCAAAAAATCATATTTTTTTCATTGTTCTAATGTATGTATAAAAAATACACCCATGTATTTTAGAAGAGAAATCCAGTTGAAATATCATTGAGATAACTCAAGTGTAAATTAGGAATGTAATCTATTTATGATTAATATATCACATAGTTCTAACCTTGACCCATGTGTGGCAGGTCATTAGAGTTAAAAGATAAGGATATTGAACAACACAAGATACTTTGTTTTTACAAACATACTGTAGTAAGTTGGTATCCAAATCAAAATATAGACACTTAAGACCTACCTCATTTGGACTTGGAGGGCCCTTGGGACTAAAATGATAAACAGACAATTTTTTAATAGTAAACTGCAAACATTTTTCACTCATACTCATAAATATTAAGAAATATCCGGACACTATTTTGAATATTCAAAACAATAATAGAGGATGTTCAGCTAAATCATATCTTTTAACATAATTTGGTAAGGAAGACACATCAGCTGGTTAAAAAACCAATAAAATACTACAATTAAGCTGGCTGATCTACAGAAAGTAATTTCAGCATCTTATGCATTGGGTATTGAGTGATTTAGATGATATGCTATGTGACAAATCTATCAACACCACAGTACCATATTTTTCATAATTAAAACTTACAATATTCAAACTGATCTTAAAAAGAATAAGGCTAGTGTCTCCTTCACATGATACTGTTGTATGTCTAGCAAATAAAATCTACAGTACCAGTAAATATAACTTTCTCACCTTCCCCGGCTAGATGATGAGCTGGTCACTCGAGATGATGCCCTGGAACCTTCCTTTTGTGCCTCAATCAACAGCTTCTCCATGTTCCCAGTATATACTGAGGTGGGCCTACCGTTTGTCTCAGACCCAGTGCCACTTCCATTCTGCTGAAAATGCAGCTCCACCCATGAGTCTGAAATATAAATCAAGAAAGAAGTTTGTATTATGATATTGAAACTAAATATTTTGATTCAATATGAAGAAGTAACAGAAGTAATTTACAAGAAAATATGTTAAATTAGTTTTCTTTTCTGTAAATCAAAGAATGGAAAGACCATCTGAGGAAGAAAAAGCCCATCTGGTGTCATACCACTTTTGAGGAAGAAAAAGCCCTTTTGGTGGCATACCACTTTTAAAGATGCATAATATGATATGCATAATAACTATTAGATCTCAGTTTTCAACATGTCTGCTTAAAGCTGGCATTCAGCCAACTCAAAACTCCAGGATCATTTTCTAAGCATACTTACTTCCATGCAGCATTTATGGTGGTGTTTGATAGGCATGATGGATTAACTATGGTAGTTGGCTTTCATCCTTCTCACTTCCATATAACATATTACAAAATGGAGTCCTAGGCAGACCACAAAACCACGTCTTCATACAACATCTTTGCCAAATATAACCATCTTTTGTTGATAATATAGTCATAAGCAACTTCAAAATTGATTGACCTCCACTGTTCTATGACAAAATATATCTATTCATTCAATATTGATTCTACTAGTTGTTGTGCCAAAAACATTCTTCTAACCAAAAAGAAGGCCTTTCAGACATTACGGATTTCGGATTTTGTTCAATGTTTGGATCAACTGTACAGTAGAAGAATGTGAAGCATGACAGACGAAAGTAATTTTATCCGTCTGCAGCAGCGCAATATATGCGACAGTTCAGGGACACAGACAAAAATGTGTGACCTATACCTGACCTTATGACATCTCATCAAGATAGCGAGGGTCAGGTGCGGTAACCACCTGCACGGGTAGAGATACACGGCACTGTATATATGAGTGAAAAACAACAGAATTGACAGAATGGCGAAGTTCACGACAAGAAACACGTACCATTAAATAATGGATTGTAGAAAATTTTAACTATCTAAAATACACTGACATAATATTCCAGACGTGACACATAGTAATAAACCAGTCTGTTATTCAGGGCGTAGTATATGGACATGACTGTCAGCAGGTCTGTTCATGAACGAGGTCAATTCACTCCTGTCAGTCTCAGTGTCAAAAATGGTACACCCTGTTTTCTACCCATCTCTTTTTATGATCTTATCATCATATTGCAAAATTTATGTTTACCATTTAGAGCTTCCTCTTGACTAGACTTCGGAACCGCCGCCATTTCAAAAGCTTCCTAAAAAGCAGCAAACTATGGCCTGGAAATGCAGTACATCCAAAGTGGCACGTAAACTTTGTTGATGTTGTGAAAATGACGTAAATTATTGTTGTCACGTGGTGTAGAAGTAAGATGCAAGCCGTAAACACCGTGGCGCAGGTGCACTGACTTAAGTTAATATTGAGCAATAATTTAGAGCAAAACCCAAAGTAACCAAATTAACTGCACATTCTCCAAAATGAAAAAAAATTACTGGTTTATAGTCATCAATTATTAATGAAGTAGCCTTTATATTCAAAAGAATATCATAGATGTTAGATTTTTCGCATGCTAAAAGAATGTATTCATCCGCAATATTGTCAAATTTTGTTACATTATCTTTCTAATATCAAAGCACTTTTATGGCATGTGGCTCTTTTTTCATACTTTTACCAATGAAACATGGGAGTGGACTCTCCATTTATCTCCAACTTCGAGTAATAATGGATATATACAAACAGCTGGGACTATGGTTCCTTGGCGTATGAAACTGCTTCTTGAAGGTGGTTAGGTTACAAACAAGGTGCTTGTGAATGGAGGGCTTTCGGCAGTGGTGGTGGAAAAAAGAGCTTAAATTTGGTGTATAAGCTCTTTTCAAACCAAAGGTAAATTGCATTTTGCTAGTTCTATGTCATTTATGTTAATTGTTTTATAAAAAAATTTAAATTCTTCTTCTTCTGTGTTGGAATGCTGATAAGTATATCGATCTGATTGATCTGTCAAATGGCAACTCAACTGTAACCCGCTGACTGTTTTGAAAAAAGTTTCTACATACTTGCAAATTTATATGGCATCTCTTTTCTTCCAGAAAATTTTTCTTCAATTTAAACGTTAATATTGCCTCCAATGGTATTTTCTTCGCTGTTGTTACCAAACGATGAAACCCACTTTTCAGAAATTACCCTGTACACATACAAGAAATCGCAGGGGGAGGGGGAGCTGAATGAATGGGGCACATGGTTTTGTTTTACATGGTTTTGCATTTACTTTTTTTGTCAAGAACCAAATGTGAATATCTGGCAAATTTTGCAGAAAAGGTCTTATATAACTGGGCAGGGTTGAAAAGAAAAATTAACTTTTGTTTTTTATCTTCTAATTAGGATCCATCATTATCAGTTGACTTAAGGTACCAACTGTCACTGATCCACCATGGCTGCAAAACCAAAAAAGAACATTCCCAGTGGCCAAGATATGAGCAGATCCCTGTCCTCATCAATGTCCACAATGCTGTCCATTGAAACACTCACTGAACAACTGAAGCAGACCAAGTCCGACTTAGACAGAGAACGAGGAAACGTGAAACAGCTTCAGCATGAAAAAATTGCAGAGGTCAAAGCAGCTCGAGAACAAGAACAGCGCAAAGCATCCATAGCTCTTGGTGACCTGAAGACGAAACTGCACCAAGATAAACTGAAGGAATTTGATGCACTGAGGCAGACATTGATGAAAAAGTATGATCATGATATGGAAAAGGCAGTGAAACTTAAAGAAGTTGAAATTACCAGACTTGAGATAGAAAATGCCAGAATAAAAGCAATGTCTGCCTCAGATTCACCCATTAAAAGCCAATTTAAAGATCAGCTGGATAGCGAGAGGAACAAACTCCTTCAAGAAATCTCTGATCTGAAGCAGAGTAATAAACAATTAGAAGAATCACATGAGACAATATCAGAGGCTGAAAGACAGCGTCACAGTGATCTGAGAAAAACCAAAGAAGACTGTGAAATAGAAGTTGCCAAAATCAAAAGGGATTTACAGCAAGAGATCAGAAAATTGGTAGGTGCATATGTGCCTGCAGTGCACATGTTACAAACTGACTTTCCTCTGTGTATTATATTGCAGCTAATCTTTTATGAAAGAGATAAGGGCTTGAGTCACTTATAGCTGAAAAGCTTTCATGATGAGCTATTTCCCATATGTTCTGCACTTCATCAGGGGATCCCTTGTTTTTGCAATTACTTTGTAGACACTAAAACCTTTTTGCCTCGTTAGCCACAAATTAATTATTTTGAACTGATGTTCTCTTATCCTTCAATAAACAAATTAGATAAATTAACGTGAAATCAAATTCAATAATCCAAGGTGCCTACAAGAATGCCATATCCAGTTAAAAACAACCTTTTTAAAAGACAACCTTGATATTGATTATTTTATACTCCAGACGAGCAGTGTATGAAGGTTAACTATTTGCGTTGCCTATCTTCTTGAGAGCTTCTCTTGCTGAGTGATCCTGGTTATTTAGGTAGTGTGCCAGGATTGATGGATGTGTAGATGAGGGGTGTATTGTCAGGTAGTGAGATCGGTGATGATCAGATATGGGGTGCATTTACACTAGGTTGTTGGAAATCTCTCTAATTGACGTAATCCCTGACCCAGTAGTTATAATTGCAATTTATCTGCATGCAAATGGATTTTGCAATGATTTCCTCAAAATAAGTTAAATTCACACCAGATTGATTAAAGTCATCAGTGATGAAAATGAAGTCCACATAATTATTTCACATTGATCCGTCTGGATCTTATGTGAATTCACCCATGGGCAGCATGTAGATGGCTAAACTTATTTCTATCTAAATGTTACACCTGTGGGGAACACCTGTGGGTCATACAACTTAGCGTGGCAGGTCCAGTAGTTGCAGTTAGTCAGAACCAGCAGGCTACTTTAATGATTCAAACAAGCGTAGTTAGAGTTAAAAGATCTTAAGAGAAAAAGTGAGACTTTCGGCCTGGTTGGGTTAGTGAAAAATATTATGCAAAAGAATGGTTTGAATATGGATAAGGTTACAAGTGAACAGCATTTTTTATCTGCTATGAAAGGAAAACCAGCAGGGACTGGGCATGTAGATCAATCTTGGTAAATGATTATGGAACACTACACGCATATCTATATACATCCATTTTTATAGCCATTTATATAACCACTATGATCATTTATATATTTATCTATTTATTTGTGCTCTGTTATAGTTAGTTGTTTTGTCATGGGTTGTTCCTTGTATGTGAATGTGTTTGTCTATAAAGAATCTGAATCTACAGTAAATATTCACATTGCTTGACACTAAGAATTCCTGTACCTGTTCTCTCCTTCCCACAGTGAATACTAGATTCTATTCCATTGTTCTAATCCTGGTCCACATCAGTGCAATTTCTGTTGTGCAATTAAATAAATAAAACACTTTTCTACTTTGTTTTATGACGCATGTTTAGCTCTGCATTGTCCAGAAATAGAGCTAATACAACAGCATATTCTGACATATATCTCCCTGTGTAAATACATTGTCTTGTATTGGGGTTTATCTCTCTCAATATAAATACAAACCCCCACCATGTTATCAATGCCAGAATGGAAAATCTTGCTTAATCTCAGCAGGAAGACATGGGCCTATCAATTTCAGATGTGGCATATCAGGCTTTTGTAAATAAGTGCATTTTAGGTACAAAACATTAACAGATTTTGTAATTATGATGTACAGATTTTCTTTGTTTTTTTTTCCACTTATTTGGTCCATATTTGATTCATGGGGAAGTTTAAGGGTTGCTTTATTTTCATTTTTGCTTTTTATTAGACTATGTTATATTTGATACAACTGTGGAGAAACCATTATATTTTGCATAATACATGGAATTGATTGTTTTGTTGCTACAACTAAGTCATTATTTGTTTCTTGTGGGATATATGAGTGAGAAAAACACAACTTGTTTCTTCTTATTTTGTCATTACATTCAACACATATCATGTGTGTGCAATGATACAAATAGTAAAGTTTGCAGAAGAAATTAACAAAATCTGCATATATCTAGTGTGAAAGATATACATTTCACCATGCATTTGTACTTCAGTTTATTATATAATTCACATAAAAGGTATTATTTGTTGTAAGTAAACACACTGATCAATCATATTATATTTGACACCACTGGTAGACAATTTAGTGTGCAGTATGCTATCTATTCAACCTATTCAACCATGAGGTCTTTCATTTTAATCATGACCACTTTTCTATCAAAAAGTTGCCATTGGGTTCACAGTTATTTTATCATTGCCTTTTCATAGGTTGAAGAACTGAAAACCAAAGACAAGTTGATCTCTGGGTTGGAGAAAGACCTGGGTCTTCAGACTGGTAACTATGTACGGCTGCAGTTGGAAAGGAAATCTGAAAACAGCAGTCCAAGAACACTGAGCACACCACAGCCTATGGACAGGGATTCTGAGGTAGTAATATTGTGACATATGGAATATTCATACTTTAATATATAATATATCAAATTACACTGCATTTTAAAAGTTACCTGCAGTATATTGAGTGTAACTGTGAAATTTATAAGTTGATAATTTGAACTGTGAATAAATAAATTTTATCTTGTAGATTGAACAGTGACTCTTCTGAGAAGATTGTAAAGTCATGTTTAAAGATGATTATGATGCCTGTACTTGATTAGTGAAAATATTATCCTTTGATTGTCATAGATGTCCAGTTCACTTGATGAAGGAGACAAATTAAGGAGCAAAATTGGAGACCTTAACAGCAAGATCCGTAAGCTGGAATACAAAAATGCAGAACTTGTCCAAGAAAAAGCTGAACTGGTAAGCAATGTTGCCATGTGGCCGAGTGATTTTTGTGTTGATGGATTTTGAACTCTGTTGAACAATTGTGTTGTAACTTGTAATGAGTGGATGTGTGTATGTGATCTATATAAAGTGTTTGAACCTAGAGATGTACTAGTATTGTTTAAAGATCAGTTTTATTAGAAAGGGTATAGAGGCTGTCAATCTTATATATATAAGAAACCAAACTTAAGGTACTTCACACTAAATTAATGTGCTGAATGTGGTTCTTTTAAGTTACAACTAATATGGATATGGTGAGGTAAGATCACTCCAGTTGCACATATTCTGAAGATTTTGTATTATATTATAAGAGTTTTCACCTATAGGCACTTATATGAAATCCTCGAGTATTTTTGGTTATCTCTCAGATATATATATTCTTGTGAAATGAACCTTTCAATTTTCTTCTTTTCATTTTTGTGCTGCTCTGAACATATTTTATAAGTTCTTCCTCTGTATCACTGATGGTTGATATAAAAGCTGAAGTTCCTATGAATAACAGATACCCATGCTGTGTCTAGGCCAGTGCTTATGAAACATCAGAGGTAATGGGTATTTCATTTTCCACTAAGAGGTACTCCCTGCAAGTCTTTAGAAAGTCAGTCAAGTTAAAGACCCAACCACTCCCAGCCTTGGTGGGCTGCTTACTAGCTGGCTCCTTGTTACTTTCATGTGTTTATATTAGATGAGAAACTTCTAGTTTATCTTTGAAGGTGAAGTTTACATCAGATTTTTGCCTTTGAACTAATGCACTTACTGCAAGCATAGCAATGACTTTCAGATCATTGAGAAAAAATTCTGAAGGCAAAGCATGTATGCATCCATGAATACCCTATATTTGGATCTAATAAAGGTTGCCTGAAATTTAGTGAGGAATTCACATACCCTTACATTGCCAGTCATGTTAGAAATAAATGAACCCCAAATCCTAGCAATATATGTAGAAGTTGGCAACACAGGCTTATTAGATAAAGGTTGAACATCCTTCAGAAATGAACTGGCATTTCTTCACAGACACTCAATATCAACAGAAAATTAGCCCTTAAACCAAGCAGTACCAAGCAGTCCCTGTCTTTCTAAATATCCCAATAAGTGCCCCAATTATATTTACAGTTATTTATAATTATCTCTGTTGATTTGGTTCTTTGATTAATTAGGTATAATGCAACTACGGAATGAATATGACAGTCTTAAAGTACAAAAAAAAAAAATCAATTCTTCTTCCCAAATATCTGAAAAGTTAAGATAGAGGATTCTTGTTCCCAGTTTACCACTAAATGTTTTATATATGTGCATGTATTTTAGGGAAGAACAGGTAAGAAAAGAAAAGAAAGAAGTGAGAAAAATGATTATTTACTTTTATTGGTATTCCTTTGTTGAGATGGTACTAGTATGCTCATCCAAATCTGGACATGTATCAGATCTTCTGGTTATCATTCTTGTTTATTAGTCTTAACAAGCTGAAGCTCTTGATATATATACAGGCACAGGTAGGCAGTACTTGTTGAGTTAATTATTGTAATGCAGCCTTCAAAGCCAAGTAGCACCTGTACAACAAGCACATGCTATGGTAGACAGTATAGTTATAATAGGCTTTGTTGCAGGAGGTCTTGTTTCTCCAGGTAATTTGTTTACTGCAGGGATGTAGCTGGGGTTTGTAGGTAAACAGTTAAAGTGATCCATGAATAACTGGGGGAAACTGAAGCCCTGTAATTCTCATGCTTTACATATAACTAGTTTTTATCATAATTAATGGATGACGTCAGGGGAATAAAGATAGGAGCGTCAAAAAGGCATATGTAGTCTGAGATGCTTGAGAGAAGGTTCTCTGTACTGTTAGTACATTTTCTGCTAATGTCAATATATAATAATAATAATAATAATAATTTATTCGAGCATTAAATGTGACAGTTACATTTGTTAGCCCTCTAAATATACAGTTCTAAGAATGATATGAAATAGAAATAAAATGATGAAAGGTATGACATAATTCTGAGTAGCATTTCTTGTGATAGGACAGTCTTCATGTTCCTTAATACCTGCCAGACAGCTTGAAAGATAAAGCCCAGTGTAATAGCAAGGATAGAGTACTTAAATATATAGCCAAATACCAAATTATGGATTCATATGATTGATCCTTAGAGAATGAAGCTTAAATTAGCTTGTAACTAGCTATGGACTTGGTAACAGCTGTGTATGTTCTTCACCAGCATATGGTGTCTATCCACCTGATTATCCTGAATCTCGTAAACTGTGTCTCTCTCTTCTTGGGGGAAAAGATTAGTCTGGGTGAGATAATGTGAGGCTGGAGAACTGGGTGACTGGTATATCAGCTGGTTGCTACATTACATCTTAGCTGCATTCATCATTTTACCCTCTTCCTCTTCAATATTGAACAACTATATAGCTCATGGTATTTATACATTTATACAAAACTATTGGTAATAGATCATATAATACATGAAAAATTGATTTAAGGAAAATAGGATGGTATATATTATAAATAAAGGTTGATTCAGTATACATAAAATTTTTCTTGTAAGTACAGTTGAGATACTTAACATCTTTTTCATATCAATATATCAAAAATCTAAGTCTTCTGCCAAACAAGTTATTTTTGATGCAATGAATTAGCCATAATACATCATTGTCTCAGTAACAGAATGATAAATTTTTGTTCAGCTAATTTATCTTAATATGTGTGAGCAGTGGTGGCTGGTAAGCATATTGCACCAGGTGTCATTTTGTCACATGTTGAAAGAGACAGTTGTGGGATTTTGGAAATTCGAGACTGGTATCATTCTTTACATTTTATGAGAAAAATGCAAAAGGCAGGTTATTTGGAAAGGTATATACATAGAAAAGAGGTTAGTTTTAAAGTACTATAATTTGGAATTTCAATATGAAGATCTCTATTTCTACTTTTGGATCAGCATCAAGGCACAGACCGTGATCACAAGATATCAGTGTTTTATTTACATCTATTTTTTATAAGAAATTTCAGTTCCATGATTATGTGTTACAGCTTGTATACCTAAAATAATTGCTGAAATTGGGAAAATATCAAAATGCTGTTCCTCCATGTTTATTTGCCATCGTCCAAACACTGATTATATGTTGCTTATTGTTCTTTCAGCTACGGAGAATTCATGATCTGGACAAAAAATGGAAGCCGCTACAGGACAGGAACAAGAAATTCCTGGAGAAAAACATGGAACTATCCTCCATTAACAGGCAACTTGAAGAAAAAATTAAGGTCCTCACAGATGACAATAACAAACTGAAGAGCCAGATGAATGTAAACAAGAGGAGGAGCCTGGCATTGTCTAAGCAGTTACTGGGGAACACTGGGGCTGGGAAAACTGGTGGGAAAATGGAAGCCTTAGAGAGCCTGCCTGCCCCTAGTGTGGAGCTGGAGGACCTGAGACAACAATGCTTGGAGCATACAAAACAGATCAATGCCCTCAAGCAAGCATGTACTGTAAGTATCTGTCTGGAGCTAAACTTTAATATCTGAATGGTATCATATACTTCGGAATATACCATTACTGAAAGCATTATCAGTGTGACTTATCTATATATGTTGATAATTCAGGATTAAATGTCCTCAGTTTTGGCAAAACTGAATCCATGGGAATTTTTATTTTTGAATAAAGGTTTACAAAGTATCTAACACAGCTTTTTCAAAGGCATATCCAATTTTTCAATTAAAAATTTCTCTTGCATTAAAAAAAGTATTCATCATTTTGACATGTACCTGAAAAAAAAGTGTTTTTTATGGTGGAAAGGGTCCAACTGTCACATGCTTGTAACACTATCTTTTAAGTCTGTTGTACATGTTTTGTTATAAAAGAATGTGTTGTGTTAACTGGATATGAAGTTTTTATATCAGGTTCATGCTCAGTGATGCACAAAATTTATGGGTTTTTTTTCTTGAATTCACAAGTGGATTTATCTGATACTGTATTGAAGTCCTTCACAATGAATACTATTATATGTCAATCACATTTTAGTATTCAGGTGTTGCTGTGCATGTAATTTAGTGATCATTTGTTGGTGTGCATGTAGAACTCTCTTTTGTTTCACAATTCAATGTTTTGACGGGCTTTGTGTGTTAGTTTTTGTTTTGAATCTTTATTTATGATATTCAGAAAAAAATGGATGCTTTTGCATGTGGCATGTTGTTTTTACTTTACTTTTTAGAATGTTATTCAATGTCTTAATGTCAAACTTTTTGACCATGACATTTATTTTGGTTTTATTACTGATTGTAGGAAAAGGATCGCAAAATAGAAATCATAAAACATGCAAGACAGAGAAGCAATACATTGCGAGCACAGAACAAGGTGAGTCATTGTCAATCTCAACTCATGTTCAAAAGGAAGGAGTTGGATCCAAAGAATGACAAATTAATTCTACTTAGACTTTTTATTAGATAGCTTACATACAGTATGCATGTTATTGGTTCAATTATCAAAAAAATTCTATAGCAGAATATTTTTGACTGCATAAAAGGTTAAAGTAATCGGTATTATAAAATAAAGAGAGAAAAATAATGATGAATATAAATTTGAGAGACATTTGGAACCTAAAATATACATTATTGTCCATCTTCAGGCCGCTGGGATAAAGGAGACCTACTATGGCTATGATGAGGACTCGTGTTCTGTGGACTCTGAATTTTCGGTGGCTTCCATTCCCCTTGACCCTCAAATAGAAGAGGAGTTTTGGGATGACGTGGGTGGACTAGCCGTCTTATTCATTGTTTATTCTGACTGAAGACAGGATATTTGGCCTGTAGAATATGTCCATAGAGTGTTGATACTAGACAAGATGTTAAGATTTAGGAATATGTATATAATTTGTAGAATACCCAAATAGTCAGGTTTCTGAAATGGTCTGTGGCATTAGCTACTGGTTTGAAACCATTGACTAGTAAATTTGGTATCAGTCTAGTAAATAAAAAAATGAGATACCTGAAAGTTACCCATCTGATTGGAATAGCAGATATTTTAGTGGTTATTTTGGATGAATTTTCCTTTAAATGTTGATTCCATTTCAAGACTAGCGAATTTTGATTCAGTCTTCACTTCTATCCCTAGACCATAGACTAGAAATATTAACAGATGTTTATTAAAGATAAATGTATTATTTAAGAAAAAATCTCACCGTTAAGCATGCATATTAAATAGAAATTTGCTTATTTCATTAATAATGCTGAGGTTGTGTGTTTAGATTACTCGTGAGGAGTTTGAGAGAAACTACCAACGCCTGAACAAAGAACACATGGAGCTGGAGAAGGCTTATGCCTTGCTACAGAAACAGCAGGGCAGTAGCCATGTGGACCCCCAGAGGGAACACAAAGTATGTGAATTTTTATGTTATTATGACAGAATGTGATAGCAAAGGGTCTTTGGATGTAGTGATTATCTATTTTATCTCAGTACAAGTTATACTTGTAAAGAAGGTTTATTATGTGAGACTTTAATTTAGTAACAGAAGATAAAAAAATATTGAAAGAAACATTTGCCCTTTCCATATAGTGACGTTAAAGGTTTTCAAATTCTTATTGAATGGTGGGTGAGTGTTTTCAATAAGTGATGAATGAGGATGCATCCTCACCTTGTTTTGTGTAGCTTTGTTTTATATTCTTGAGTTTTCTTTTATACGTATTTATCTTGTATTTTCAGTTAAGGACCCAGCTTGAAAATGACCTTTTGGCCTCTCAGTCAAAGATAGAAGACCTGGAAAAGATAGTTCAAGGCAGAGGAGGGGTAAGAATCAATGGGAATCAGTGATGGATATATATTTTAGGACCAAAGCTGCACCTTGGAGGATCCCTTTGTCATTAACTGTTTTTATTGCTATGGTTTTCTTTGCTTCATCAAACCTGCTTTTACATTGGGGTAAATCACAGACATTTACAAGTTTACTAATTATTTTACAGGACAGCAGCTGGGTCCATGAAAAACAAAAAATGAATGAGGCCAGTTTGCTTCTTATGCAGAAGGTGAGGAAAATATAGGAAATTTTAAAATATAGGAAAATGGTCAATAATGATTTTTTTTGTTATTAAGTAAATGAAATATGCATTTTATTCTGTAAAATAGTCTCTTCTGTACCTCCCCTCTTCAATGGCCATCTTACACTTAGCATAGATAATATTGTTCAGCTATCAAATAATAATTTGACCTTTATTTAGAATGACTAATCATATGTTTGCTGTTTTTATACTTTTCTGCATTTGAAATGCAATACAGATTCATATTTGTGTCACTCAAAGCAATAGGAGATTGGCTGCAGGGGTATTATTAGAAGTATGGTGAACCTTGCTTGATGTGGGATTTCAAATGATATGTGTTATTATTTTGTAGATCAAAGAAGCTGAAGCCAGAAACCAACTATTGAAACATGAATTAAACGAAAGCCAAGAACAAAATGAAGTGCTGGAGTTTAGGAATTTAGAGCTTGAAGACAAGATTGAAAAAGTAAGTCTTTAATGATAATTATTATTTTTGCATATACTCATTCCTCTTTAATTTAAAAAAGGGATTTAAAATGAGATGTTCAATAACTTAAGCTTGATGAAGGTTTGTTCTCATCAATTTAATTATTTTTTTTAAATAAAAAAAATTTAACGTGATGCTTTCAAAAGGAAAAATAATTGTTAAAATTGACAAGTTGGTGTTTTTATTATTATTATTTTTTTTTTTTAGTACCTGTAATCCATTTGAAAATATGTATGAAAATACACATTGAATGGAAAAACTGTTTCATTTTCTTTTAGCTTATTGAAGAACTGAAGCACTCAACACCCTATCATCTCCCCCCTGTCATTACAGAGGCTGGGGTACTTACAGTACAGCATGATTCCATAGGAGTTATGGTATAGTTATGATTTATGCTTTAAAGGCATTTTCACCAGTTGATTTAATTGATTACTGTGTTAAATTAAAACGGCTAAATGATAATGTTTTTATTACACAGTTGCATTTCCTAATTTTTATCTGCGATCACATTACCAACATGCAGACTACTTGATTATAATGTGAAGCTAAGATATATTCTAGCAAAGATAACCTGCTCTTTTAATCACAACAGCTGATTTTCTAATAACTTGTTGGTTTATTTTAGGAGGTCAAAGTGGAAGAACTAAGAGAAAAAATATCTGATCTAAAATATGACCAGGTATTGATCATTTATTTAGTCACTCTACATGCATGTCTACAACCCTTTTGGGAACTGTCTTTGAGACCATTTATTTTTTATAATAAGCAGTCTAATCTTGTTAATTGCAAATCGGTTTAGATGCAAATGCCTCATGTATTATTTCTAATATACATTTGTTACCTACCACTATGGTTGTATATTCAGGATGCAGCTCTGACTCCTGAAGAAAAGCTGGTACTTATCCAGGTACAGGCTTTGTTGGATGTTACAGAGAAGGTACGAAAACTCTTTCTGTATTCTTTTAAAGATAAAGCATAAATCCAGTGAAACACAATGCCATGTTGTTTTGCATCATGTGTTCATATTGAGAAATATAGAGAAAATTTCAGGATAAAATATTGGTTTTATCACTGTACAGCTCTACTCAGATACTGTAATCATGGACACACTTTGCTTTTTTAGAAACTGAACAGCATGACAGCTGCCCAGGGCACCTTAAGATCAAGAATAAAGGAGCTTGAACAAGAAAAGGTGAGTTGAATCCAAGTGAAGTGAACATTGAGGTAAAACAAATGCTTATACAAATAATATGATTTGAAATAATATACTTTCATGATGTCTCGAAATGAATTAGCCCAATTAGTGTATGAATAAATTGCAGCTTCCTGTTTGTTGTTTATTCAGGCTGATTTGCTGTCCGCTGCCACTGGGGTCTCCCCTGACATTGTACTGGAGTATGAAGAGGTCAGAAATAGCCTCATGGAGGCAGAGATGGTATGTTGTCATGCTAGAGAGATTAGTAGGAAGACATATGGTTCAAGAAATGTGTTAAATGTCATAATTTTGTGTAAATCAGTACTCTATATATCAAAATAAAAAAGTCGTCTTGTTTGAGAAATGATGGTAAGGTAAATACAGCAACTAATCTGTCATTAAGTTCCTGCAATTCATGGTCAGTTCTGAAAACGGAATACCTAATCTCAGTATTGTGACATATGTTAATATATTTTCTTGAATCTCATCTCTAGAAAATTCAACAACTGGAGAAAGAGAATGAGGACCTGAAGCAAGCTGAAGCCTTGTACAAATACACAGATGATTTCAACCAGAAGTCAGAGGCCAGATATAAGCAAGAGATAGAGAGGCTGAAGAAACAGCTGGCTAGCATGTTAGAGGGGAAGGCATTTGAATCTGAGTACCTGCAGGAGAAGGTAGAGCAGCTGAAGGCAGCAGAACAGGTAGAGTACCTTGCCGTATAAAAAGAGTTTTTGAGATATAAAAATTGAAAATCAAACTGATTAATTGTTCCACCAACTTATAGTTGGATGGTACTCTGGATATGACTAAATTTGTAAAATTGTTAGCCAAAGCATATATCTTCCTAGTTATGTGTGTAAATATGTCATTAAATAAGATATTACAAACTAGGTCAGAATATTATGATAAAAATATTTGAAAAAAAAATGCATTTGTAATTTATGATCAATATCATTGTTGTTGCCTATTGTTATTTCAGAGGAATCAAGAAGCGAAAAGAGAGCTTGAAGTATTGAAGCAGAACAACTCGGAGCTTCAGGACCAATTACTCAACAAGCAGGAGGAACAATCAGAAGCAGAATGTGATAAAGACATGAACCCTATGACACAAACATTGCTGGTAGGTCATATTACAGTTATAAATGCAGTAATTACGTGTAGGCTTACAGTCTTAACTCATGTAGTGAGTGTACACATCGTTCATCATCATTTAGAATTTTTAAATCATTGATGAGTTTTATACAAATTGTGGAAAACTCCATCAGGCTACTGATATTATTTACTATTTATCCGCTTTTAGCACAAAATCTCAGAACTTGAAAATGCAAGGAGAGAGCTCACTGCACAAAATGATGAACTCCAGGTGAAGATATCTGGATTCACAGAAAGGTATCTGCAATATGAGCAAAATGAGCAAGAACTCACTGAGAAAACAATTGTATTGGAGGAGGAGCTGGAGGCTGCAAGGGCTCTTCTTTCTGAAGATGGACCAACAAACCGTGCCAACAACAATCAGGGAGACAAGACAGAGCAAGACACAGCGCTGTCACCATCAGAAACCAAAAAATTGCAACAAGAGCTCAAGATACTCAGGGATTATGCAAACAGCAGAGAACTAGAGCTTCAGGAACTGCACAAAGAAAATGCATCACTGAAGTCTCAGTTGGAAGAGAATGTGAAACTTCTCAGTACCAAAGAATATGACTATGATGAGGAGGCAGGCATGGAAGTTGAACATGATGATGACATAAGCATACCTCAAGAGCAAACCAAAGACAACCAGGAGAATTCTAGTCCTACAATCACCAAAGCACTTGTTCAAGATGAACAAGATGGAAATTCAGGTAATAAGAAACATAGTAATGGAACAGATAAAGAGGAGGAAGAAGATGAAATAAAACTCCTTCAAAAGAAAATCAGTGACCTCACCATCACACAGCTGACCTTGAAAGGTCGTATTCACGACCTTGAGACATCAGAGGCCATTCTGCGTGATACCATGGAGAAGATGGATAGAGATGAGGTAGATCTAAGACAGCAGCTCAGGGAGCTCAGAGACAGTGAACACAAAAACAAAGACAAACTGGCAGAAAGGGAGTTGACTGAGCAGGCACTGGAGGAGAAGGTAATTTTTGGGTACACCTTATTACCACAATAGGCCTTGTTTTAAATAGACTGATGATTAATATTGCAGCTAGTCATGTTGCTATTGCTAAAAAAATTGATCATTGCCAATGTTTATATTGATGAGAAGTATGGAAGATCGGTAGATTTTTTTAAAATTAAATTGTGTGTGGGTGTGTGTGTGTGTTTGCAGATGACATGCTTATTATCCCAGGGGTAGAAGGTTTATGAAGCATCATGAAAAAAGAAAAAGTAATTCATTCTTACTTGAAACAAAAAAGAAAAGTTCTTCTTACAAATTTGCCATTTTTTCTTGCCAGGTAAAAGTTCTAGAATTAGCAGAACAGAATGCTGTTGAAAAGCAGCAGGCCTTGGAAGAGGTAAATGCACGTCTGCAGGAAAAACTGGCCCAGTTTGAGGAGCTGGAGAAGGATGTCACACTTGTAGAGACCCTCAGAGATACCATCAAGAAGAAGGAGAAAAGTATCCGAAAGCTACAGGATCAGATTGTGGCCCTGGAGGACAATAATGAAATCCTGAAGGAACAACTGGAACAAATCACCCAGGGAGACACTGACAAGATACATGTCCTTGAGGATAAAGTTCAGGAATTGCAGGAACTTAATGACAGATTAGTCAGTGGGGACACAGAAGCTCTTCAGACAAGGAGTATGGTAGATAGTGCACGAGTTAAAGAACTGGAGGCAAGTATTCAAGAGCTTGAGACATCTAAGAAGGCACTACAGGAGCAGTTGCACCAAATCTGTGAAGAGAAAGATGATAAGATTGAGAAGTTGCATGAGAGAATCCATATGCATGAAGAAAATGAAGCCAAGCTGTCAGAGACCCTTAATGAAATGGAATTCAAGGAAAAGATGATGGAGAGTAAACTGTCAATGTCTTTTGGTGGTGGAGACAGCAGCTTTGTTGTTGCACAAGAGCAGAAGTATGATAGACTTGAAAGCTTTGAATCCGATATCTCTGGACAATTTCATGATATGGAAAACCGGATACATGAACTTGAGGAAGAAGAGACAAAGTTAAAAGCAAAAATTGATGAATTAGAAAAAGCCCAAGTAAAATCAGAAGAAGAATTGAGACAAAAAGAAAAAGAAATCTCAGAATTGGGTAGCAAGGCAGAGGATGTGGAAAGCAGTTTGCAGTCCAAAATTGAGTCTTTGACCTCTGAGATAACCAGTTATGAGCAACAAGTGCAAATGCTTAAAGTAGATATAGCTACTAATGAAAAAGAACACAAAGCTGAAATAGATAAACTGCACTCTACAATAGAATCTCTCAAGAGCAGTGCCAAGTTGACTGAAGATAAAGAGCTTTCTTCCAAAATTGAAGAATCTCTCATTATGAAAGAGTCTGTCTTAAAACTGGATCAAGAAAAAGCAGAACTATCAGAGATGGTTACTAAGCTTACTTCTGAGACTGAAAGTTCAAGAGCAAAAGTGCAAGAACTAGAATCCAAAGAGAAAGATGTACTTCATCAACTCCTGCAGTTGGCAAATTTTTTAGGTTTGCCATATGACACCTCTGATAGCACATGTTCAAAACTATGTGGTTCAATCACACAGGAGGTCATGACAACCAAAGAGAAACTAAGTGCACTAGAGGAAGAGCATGAAAAGCTCTCATCAAAACTAGAAGCAGAGCAAGAAAGAATGAAAGAACTGGATTTGGTTGCACAATCCTCTAAACATGAAGTCCAGTTGGAGGTAACCAAAGTTAAACAGGAATGTAGTGATCTGCAAGAAAAGCTACATTCTTTAGAACAAACAAATATTCAACTCATAAACAAGTCCAAGGAGTTGGAGACAGAGAAAGAAGCTGCAACCTCACATTACAATGAACTTCAGATGGCAGCAAAACTCTGGGATTCTGAAAAAGAAAAACTTGTACAGGATTGTAAGAAGGCAATCCAGAAAGCTGATCTTGTGGAATCTGAGAAAGAAAAACTTCAGGTTCAGATGGAGGAGATGGAAAAAGATGCCCAAACACTACGGAATAAAGATGACAGGAGGCTGAAGGAGTTGGAAAATGAAGAGAAATCTCTCCTTTCTAAGCTTTCTGCATTCCAAGACATTGAGAATGATCTGGAAGCTTTTAAGACCATATCAAAACAACAAACTCAGGAGCTGGAGAACAAGAACAGAGAACTGACAAAAGCAAAGGGAGATCTGGAAGAAGAAGTAAAGAATCTAGAGCTCAGGAACTCTGATCTTCTGCGGTCTAATTTGGAATTGAGAAAAATGACAGCTGAGCTAGAGGAAAGAATCTTAGGCTTAGAAAGCTTGAGTGAGACACTGAATAACAAAACAGCTACAGCACTTTCTAAGGCAACACAAATGCCAGAAATTGAAGCTCAAGAGACTGAAATAGTACAACACAGTTTCACTGCAGAATCACCACAGTCTCCTCATTTCAAGAAAGTTGAAACTTTGGAAGATGAAATCAGACACTTGCAAGTTCAGAACAACCAACTTCAAGAGGAACTAGCTGAAGTTACTGCCAGATTGGAACAGGAACAACAAAAACCACAAACCCGGGACTCCAGGATAAAGACAGCAGATGAAACTGCTATAGGAGCCCCTGCAAGCCTACATAAGAAGGTCCACCAACTGGAAGTGGAAACATCAGCCAAGTCCGTACAAATAGAAGAACTAGAGCAACATTTGACTTCCCTGAGGACAGCTGTGGAGCAAGTGATCTCTGCAGCAGATGGGCAGATGAGTCTGGAAGACATAAATAAATTCTCAACACCAGTAAAGGTATGTTATATTTCTCTCTCCTCTTGAGTCATGTCACAGATACCATATGTTTGGAACAATGTCATTTGTTTGGAACAATTGTCATGAAAGACAATTATATGTAAATTCAGCTGAGCACATTCCATAGAAAATTCTAAACCTGTAGGTATTAAAATCATTGCATTGCATTCTAATTTTTTCACATTCTAGTTGTTCCTCAAGGTCTGTCATAACATTAAGTCAGCTTGTTCTTGTTCACTTATTCACTACGTCTTTTACACCCATTTTCACATATTTAAAAACGAGGATATTTGTGTTGCAGGCAGCTCCTTCTAGTGGAGACTATGAGGCCAGACTGCAGGATCTGGTAAGATCAGAAGCAGACTTGAAACAGAGGCTGGCCCAAATGGAGAAGAAAGAGAAAACATATAGGTAAGGATATGTTTGAGGAACTAAAAAAAAAGGGCCTTTCAGATTTACTTACAATTTAGGAGCAGATTAAAATAGTTACCAGTGATTTGGTTATTAGTAATCAAGTTCATAATTAGATTTTACACAAGTGGCAAAGAAGATCTAGTGCCAGAATTGAGGTCTTTTATCTGTCACTCATCAATTTAATTAGAGGATCTTATTTTAATGCTTGCATGTTTTCAACCCAACAAAAATGAAAAAAAAAAATGAAAATGTGAAATAGGAAAATTAGAAAAATCTGTATTTCATATTATAATAATAGAAAATCAGTTCCCCTCATTTCAGAGCCAGTATACAAGAAATGGAGGAAGCAGATTCAGAGTACAGAAGCCAGATCACTCAGCTGCAGGAGAAAGTTGCAACTATGGAGGCTGCTGAAGTCAGGTATGGTTAATTGTGTGTATTGAGGCAGAATATGTATAGACAAATACTGAAAATACAATCCTCACATCCCTGTAAAGTGTTAAAACTTTAAATCTATTGTTAAACAATTTGGTCTTCTGATGAAGTCGGGCAGTCTTTTTTTCTTGTGTAAGTTACTCTGGGTGTGAACATGACAGTGTGCACACATATAAAATGAGAACTAAAAAGTCATATTATTGTTAAGTTCACTTGCATATTTTTCCCTGATCTGAATCTAGACTTGTTTAATGTTTAAAGAGATACATGATTGCACTAAAGTGTTATTCATCATAAATTGATAAGTTTTTCTCTAACATAAGGGAAGTTGTTGTAATTACAGTTTCTTGTGTGCAAATGGAACCTGTTAGTAAAACAGAGTTAAGAGAAATACAGTTATGGAAGAAAGTAGGGTTTTTAATTCTTATTGGATTTTTTTTTTTTTTTTTGAAAATGCCATCTTAAGCAAGGGTGATTTATGAAACTATTTCAATAAAATACATCTAAACCAATCACTATAGTATAAGTATTTGTGGCCCAAGATTCATTTTGTACAAAACTTATGCAGGTAAAACATGAAGGTGTTTGTGTGTGGGTGTGTGTGTGTGTGTGGGGGGGGGGGGGGGGGGAGCAAAATGCTGTTTAGGAATACCAATATGACCATTTTGGACTGTTCAGACAAGTTGTCCATATCAATCCTACAAACCTGCGTGAGCCAGACAACATTAAGTCTGTACCAGTCTCAGCATGTTAGTTTGTTTACAGAAAAGTAGACAAAAGATGGAAGAGAACAAATACCCCAGATTTACTGAACTGGTAAGAAAAAACATTTATCTAGCTGCTTTATCATCCCTTAAAAAGTTTCTAACAAAGAAAAGAATAGGACATTGGACAGGTGTTTTGGAAAACTAAGACTGCGTGAGGTTTTCAGCGGGGTCTGTCTATTGTGTGGATAACAAATTACCAGCCAGACACGCACAATAATGATGCCATCCATCTAATGTCATGAATGACAAGATTTCAATGCTACATATAGAAAAGGGCTTGTTTTGACTGATACCTTTTTTTGGTAACAATACTTTTTTCTCATACCCTAGCTTGTTTTCTTCTGCATTACTGAAATTTTAAACCAAATGCAGTCATTAAGTTATATCCTTAATACTTTACAAGAATAAGTTTGGTGTAACATGCACTTTGATATATAAATGGAGAGGTTTTTAAGGTCGATCGGAGTCGTACTTGGATAGTGAAATTTTATTTTCAAAGTTATGTTTTCACTTTGGTTTACCTTTATAGCATCTTATCACTTTCTAAAATAAAGAATGCAGAAGAAAGCACCACTTATGAAAGTTGCTCTTCAAGAATTACTCAGTAGGGCCTCAATATATAATAGATTGAATTGATCATCTAATGTTAAATTCACAAATTCTGCTGGATTTTATATTTATATTACACTTGGTTATACCGATGGAAATTGAATGACTGAATTATACACACATGTAGGTGTGTACCTCAGGTGTGCATTATTTATTGATGTGAACTGTATTGTTTGATTACTGCAGGAATGTGGATGGTTTGTCCTTTCATCTCCCTCGGTCAAAAGTGTCCACAATAGCATGAATGCAATAAACGACCCAAACATTTCCCCGGCTCTCATTGGAAAGCAGCTATAGCTTTTGTGTACAGAGGGCCTTAGCCTGTTTTCTTAGGCACGCTGCACAAAAGGTACTTTGCAATTAAGACTTGTCTGTATTGAGTCACATATACCACTGAGCCGACCTACATCTATACTGAGCAGAAGGCAACTAGCTCACAGGTTTGTGTGGCTGATAAATTGACGGGGGAATTATAATCAATGAACTTGATTGTTTACTAATGGATGTGTATGGAATTTTGAGCTAGGTTAAAGTCAGTGAAACCTGGGTATAGAATGGAAAGATATTCTAAGTAATTTCATAAGTATTGTTCATCAAGCAAGGAATTCTTATGGATTCTTACAATACAAAGCATGAGACCTGCTCATAGGTCCAAAGATGGTGGAAGAATTGAGATGACAGGTAAGTTAATTGATGTCAATTCACCTATGACGTTCAGTTAAAGTTATGTTGCTGTTCACGCAAAAGGAGGATTCAAAAGGTTAGAGTTATGTTGGTTATGTGCACAGCTGAAGTACCATTTGTCTCACCTAGTATAACAGATATATTTTGCTGCCAGAATGAATGTTAATGGGTTCAGTGATGAATAACACTGCATTTGTGTGTATGACAGGCACCATTTACTTTGATAGGTAAGGTAAGGTAAGAGTTTGGTTCATTTGACTGAAAGACAACTATGTAAAATTCAAGCATTACACGCAAGTACTTTAAAACTTTTTTGAAACACTTTGAAAAGAGATGCTTCTTATCCCGCATGTGTCGACGTGCAAATCATTCTAATGGGACTGGAAAATTAATGGTAGTTGGTGTTTTATTTACTCAGTATGATACAAGACCTATAATAATATACTTCACTTAAGCTGATTTGGAAGATCACACATACCGTAGGTGGTGCAGTTAAAATTTTGATCAAGAAGAATTTAATATAAAGAGAAACATTTCAAGCAGGTTTATATGATATGTTTTTACCTGGCAGTTTTCACACGTTATTTTATATTACCTCACCATTGGACTGCCCGCTAGGTTTGATATAGTGTGAAGAGAGTTCAGTATTGATCTCCACTGTAAATATGATGTGCAGATAGGACAATTTATACTGCTCACCTGAGCGTGTGGATAAAATGTTTATAGAAGACAGGTAGACACACACTTAATACCTGAATGAAGAGGAGTTGCCAGTTTTGATAAGATAAAGGGTGAGGGAAATATCGAGATTGTTTGCTTTATGAATCTGAAGTTTAAAATGTTAAACAGAAATTCTTTCATTATTTTCTGGATCTTTTAGTTTAAAAAGGATGTAGAACAACATATGGGTATTTTAATATTAGAAATACAGCTCCACCCTAAGCCAGTTATTATGTAGCTGTTACATGTTATTGCTACAAGAGGTAATATTTAACCTAAGTGTGACATTTTCTGAATTCGCCTGCGAGTGAACTTTTTTGTCACATAGCTTGCCTCAAATAAAGCTTTGTGGTAATTGTAATTGTTTGAGGAAAAAAGTATTAATATATGGGTAAACAAGGTAAAGTAAACAGTTTCTTAGGATTAAAGACACATCAGGGTTGAGGAAATCGTTCAGCATTAAGTTTCAGGCCAAGTAAACTTTTAACTGGGTCAGTAACTCTGAGTCTATTGGTTGAAAGGGCCAATTAGATATAAAATTATTCTTAAAGCTGGCCCTTTTTCTCACAGTGACTGTCAGGTTTAAATTCTGAATAATGATGGATCCAGTGATTATGCAATGAGTCAAAACTTTAGGCAATTTTCCAGAGGCTGAACAAATATACTAAGTCTAACAAAGTTAACAGAAATGCTTACTCTTACATATAATATGCATTAACTGTGCAAAGAAGACGACAGGATAAAAGTTGAAATGCCTTTAAAATTTAAATTTTTTTTTTTGATAAATGTATGTGAATGGTTCATGTTTTTGTAGAAGAAGTATTTTTATGTCCACCTTTGGCCACCTATATTTTGATCATTAAAAAAAATTAAATATGTAGTAAGTAGAATGGTCATGTGAGTTTCAGTTCTAGAACTCTTCTTACCTATGCAGGCCCAATTATTGCATGTTAATTTGTTAAAATATCAGTAATCTAGGATTAGGATGACTTTTGCACTCTTAAAGGAAAATATATGGCTGTGTGAGTAAATATAGTCCTGCATCAAAACCCAGAAATGGTAATTATGGATATAACCTGGAAGATATCTTAATGGTTAGTAAATATATTTTGTTTATCTGATTTCAGACTAAAGAGTAAGTTAAAGCAGACCAGGAAAGAAATACAGCGTGGGTCTGAAGCTGAGGAGAGTGACGACTTGAGCGCAGAATTCGGCCAGTCACCATCAAAGAGGTCAAAAACATCAGAAAACGCATCTCTCCTTCGCCAGATCGACCAACTAAAAGATCAAATTCAGGAGCATAGATCCAAGGAGGAGGCCTTGAATGAAAAGCTTGCCAGCCTCCAAGATGGTGATGGTGCAGTCATCACAGAGCTGCAGGACAAAGTCTGGGAGTTAGAAGCGGCCAATAAAAGTCTTAAACGCAAAATTCAGCTGTTGGAAGACGATAGAGAACAAAACCCAGCAAACCTGCACCTGAGCTCTGTCACCATGTTGGATACACCAGAAGACATCTTGAAGCAGAGGATACAAGAGCTGGAGAAGATGGACAGGCATCTCAGGCAGCAGGTAACACTGTTTTCGTTGTGGGTGGCAAGTTGACTTGTTTTAACGACCTTTTTCAAAAGAAGTTACATGCATTACTTACTGTTGCTGTTTGGAAGTAATCTTGATTACATATCAGGCAGCGATTTGATAAGTTGTTTACAGAGAAAATATTTGTGTTTTTTGTGTTTTTTAATAAGTTAAAAGTATTTTGCCAAATGAGACATTGAAGAACTTACTTTAAGTAATCAGGAATTGATTAAATAATTGATGTATTTGATTTGTGGAGTTGGATTTGAAATGATTGTGGATTTCATTAAAAGAATTGAGGTGAACTAATTTGACTCCATATTTTGGGATAATATCTTCAGGTGATGGACTTGGAGCAGGACAGAGAAGAGCTTCATCAGATTGCCAGAAAAGATAAAAGTCTCATCCATGATTTGAATGTCAGAATCAGAGAGTTGACTCTGTCAGAGAGAAGCCTTCAGGTAATCTGCACTTCAGCATTATTATAAATGGCTAAGGCTTATGGTGTTATATCACATCTCGGAGTTTAGATGGAGCATGTTTTGGCACTACTTTTTCTTCATCAGATTTACTGATCAAATTTTCTTATGTAATGCCCTGCTCCTTCTTAGATAAAACCGTGGATTCACCTGTATTACCTATTTGTAGATAATTTATGGTCATGTGATGTAGATAGCTCCATATTACAGACATTTTTGTGAATTTACAGTTGTGGAAAAAATTGGCAACAATTTCTTTTAGCTGAAATTGGGGCATGATCATTTGCTGGGAACTTTTTTTTTGTAGCTTCAAGCTTCACGCTATGAAGACCAGGAGAATGACCTGTATGCTCAGATAGACCGACTAGAGGACAGGATCTCTGATTTGGAAGATCAACTACAAGATGCCAGACATGCAGAGAAGAGATTGGCAACCAGTTTGAATGATTCCCAGTTCAGTTTGGAAGAATTTGAAAACAAGGCAGACATTCAGGCTGTCAGAATAGAAGAACTGCAGGAAGCGGAGTTGAAACTGCTGACCAGATTGCAGGAGATGGAGAAGGAGAAGATTGCGTTACAGAATAGCCGTGACAGGTTGAACATAGAATTGGAGGAGATGACCAACAGAGAGACATCACTATCAAATAAAATAAGGACACTTGAAAATGATAACATTGTGTTGGAAGGGAAAGTTGTGCAATTAGAATATGCTGACTCTGCAGCACAAGATCGTATAAAAGACCTTGAAAGGCGCAACACTGATTTAGAGAATAGGAATGAGACTGCTTTGATGAAGGTTCACCAACTTGAGGAGACAAAGGCAAATTTGAAATTTGAGGTTTCAGACTTGCAAATTCAACTTCAAGAATTTCAGCAAGAGGTGGAGAAGGCAGGAGATGTTGAAAGTTCCTTGAAGAAACAAATTGTCACTCTGCAGACGACATCCAGAAACATGCAGGATTCTCTCTCTGACACCAGTGCCAGAGAGATGGAACTGCTGAACAAACTGCAGGAACATGAACAGCATGAGGCTGTACTGAAAGAAAAGATAGTAGCTCTGGAGTCCAGTGAACTGAAGCTGAAATATAAGATCCAGGAATTAGGTGCTACAGTGTCCACTGCAGAAAATAGGGTAAGTTGTAATAACTGCATTAAAACGGATTTCTTATCATATTCTGGAAAACTTACTATGAGAATATTGTGGTCATCTTATATTTTAGTGAGACCTGAATGTTGTTGAGGGTTTTGTATTATGAGTCTTTTATGACAATTAACTTTTGAATAACCATCTTCAGTAAATAGCATTTCTCCAGAGTGATCTGCAAACTATTTTTCTTGTGTTTAGTTGAAATGCTTCCCATATTGATACGTGGGTATTTGGCTAAAATAGCAATTAAAAAAAAAAAAGGAAAAATCCATACACAATTTGTTGTCTTGGTGTTTTCAAGTTGATAAGGCAAGGTTGCCCCCAACAGCAAGATGTTTTTATACTTAACTGGTGCTTTTGAAGTAAATGTTTTAGTTGAGCACAAAGCCAAGTTAGGTCAACAAGAACATTTACTGATATAACTTAATACTTTTTTTTCTCTCCACTACCTTTTAACTTTCATTTTTGAACCTTTTTGTAGATGTGGAAGAGGGAGAGATTTCAATGTTTCTATTAATTATCAGGTTATTAATAAGATCTTTTTTTCCATCTTGAAAATAATTGAACAATTTTTGGTTTTTAAAAAAAGAGTTGAGGGAGTTTTCAAAAGATGTAAAAAAGAATGAAAGTTACTAGACTGACAGTGTTCAGTCACCAGTGCCTTAGCATCTCATGGTTGACTGTTCTTGCATTGCAAATTGCCTTTGAAGGTAATTAATTTTTATTGCAGCCTTACTTTATAGAGAATTAGGAGTATCATTTATCAGAATCTGTCTTCAGTTCCCTCATTCTGAACACTAAATGGTTGTTGACAAATTGTTGTGCATAAACATTTTATTGAAAAGTCACTTTAATTTGAATTAAACCATTCTCTAAAAGAACCACAACTACAGCCTTGCCCAGCTTGTCAGGAGCATTGGGTATGCCGTTTCTTACATTATTCTCTTTAATGATATATGAGCATGGGTTCAGGGGTCACTCCTTTGAAGGTTTTTTGGTTGGGCATTATATCCTTCAGTGTACCAGTTGAAATTGATCTGTTTGAAATTATTTGTAGGTCACCTCTGCTAAGAACTTGGAGGAGGAGAACCATTTGTTACACAGGCAAATAGACGACCAGCAGAGGAAAGTGAGAAACTTGGACCAAGAAATACAGACATTAAATGAAAAATTGGTGGCCTATGAGAACCCAGGGAAGTCTAATGGGTTTGTCAGGGTCCTGGCCAAAGAGCTTTCAGAGCTGAGAGCACAGAAAGCCTGGGTGGAGGAGGCAGAGAAGACTGTAACAAGGCTTGAGAAGTCCGAGGCAAGGTTGAAGGAGACTGTACAGCAGCTGAGGGAAGGAAAGGTTGGTATTTGTATGTAGTAGGGGAAGTGAGTAAGTTTGTTACTGTGCAGGTTGCCCTTGATTTAAGTGGTCCAGGTACCCTCTGATTTAGATCAGCAAATGTATAAAACTGGTTTGTTTACTGTAGCATAAATCTCCTAGTTTTCCCATTTACTGTAGCAGCTCTCTGGTTATTGTGCTTTTTTTTTGTACTGGTTAAAAAGAAACATCTGTAGTGGTAGTCAGTGTGTAAGTGACAAATCATGATATTTGAACTTGCAACTAGCTCTTCTCAGATTACACTGGTAACCAGCCAGAACACGTATAAAAAATGTGCACTTTGGTTCCTACAGTAGTGTTATTTGAAGTCTTTTGAAATTGATTTGAATTGGAAAAGTACCTGTCACAAGTAGACTTAATTTTGTGATTCACTGAATGCGTCATACAACAGTAAAATACAGTTAACTTAACAGTAATTTTTTTTTGTGCCATATAAACAGTTGAAGAGCTTCAGTAGGTTCTGATAATGCACATGCCATATTTGAGGTGATGTACCTGAAACATTTTAGAGTAAAAAATTAAGATGTCATTATTTGTAAAGAATCAACTGCAAAAAATCTTTGATTCTTGTAGGATGTGTGTGGCCATGAGGGAGAACTGAAGGACCTCAAGGATGAAGTGAACAGGTTGAAAGCTTTAGAAAAGGTAAACTAATGGATTTGTCATGTTGAGAGAATTGTTAATCAAAAGAAAATGTTTTTATGCATATCAAATTTCATGTTCTTGGGCTGAAAATGTGATTGAAGTTTTTTTACACACTCAATTTTATCCCTATATATTTGATTTATGTGTCCTTTAACCACACTCAGCTAGCTGTTAAAGAGTATAATTCAGCATAAAAAATGATCAAAAAGGGGAAATTGTTAAGAAAGATATGTTGTCCTTGAAATACCAGCTTTCACTTTTGGACCAAGATGAAAACTTGGGAGTTGTGCCAAGGTCTAAAAGGCAATTGCCTGTAACAAGGCCCTTTTACTCTGTAATTTGAGAAGTATTTCTACATATGACTACATGTAACAAGTGCCTATTATTCTTGCAATATTACACTTATTGATTGGTGCTAGTTAATTAACCCTCATTAATTATGTAAAAGCTCCATGCACTGCTGCCTTCCCTAGGCTTGCTGTGTGCACTATACACTTGTATATAATAACAGATAAACTCAGAACTGTGAGCATTGATTACTGACCAATACTGAGGGAGTAATCTCAGTTTTAGTGGGGAATTATAGATGTACTTAGATATCCATTTATTGTTATGAGAAAAAAAAAAGAACTCTAATCCAACAATCAAAATGATTTTGACTCAAGCAGCAAATGTGAAATGAATGAGCACAAGCCATTTTATGTGATATATCATCGTGTCCACATCTTGAATGGATTTAAGAAAGACTGATTTCATATCAACTGGTGGATGATTTTAGCTCATGCAAAAATTTGCTCTGCAAAATGCTTTTGACATCTGTTCACTATGTCAGTGAATAGTGAGGGGTGAAGGTCGAGCTATTTCTTTGTGGTAATTTCCCTTCTTTCCAACATACATCAACACAAGTATTAGTATACATTTGAAATAATGGAAGACACCATTTATCATTATATCATTATACATTAGTTGTGGTTGTGAACTCAAATGCTCACTGTTTGTTCAGAAAAAGATTTAGTCATATAAAAGGATGTTTCTTTATACATAGTTCTTCATATTAACTGTATTTATATATGCACATGCTTCTTTATAACATTATAATGTACATCTTATATTATGTTTTTCATTAATTTTCCTTGCATGTATGTAACATGATTACTCTGAAAAATGCTCTGCAGTAATAAGTAACAGCATGATTTTGTTTGGTTTGTGTCCTTTCCAGGAGACCAGTTCATTGCACAGAGTTTTGTTAGCTAATCGCAAGGTAGTGGTTGTATTGGGTGCACATTGTGTTACTGTACTTATTGTAGTGGCTGTAATAATGTTGTCAGTGTGGTGTTGGAGTAGACTGAAGTAGTTTAGGCTAAGAAATTAGATGAGAAAAGTAGTAGAAGAGTAGCAAGACTGAGTTTGACAGGTTTGTGTTTTAATAGGACATCCGTAGTTGTGGTGGTGGTAGTAAATTTGGGAGAATAATGTGTGTGAACATATATGTGACTGTAATATCTTCAATCACTTCTAGAACTTAAAATGCTTTCTGCAATTATTCCTCCTTTCTGTCACTTTACATGTAGACTAGATGAATCTGTTGGCATTTGGTGTGGATTATTCTATATGACCTAGCAGAATTATTGCCACAGTGTATTTCAGGCACTGTGTGGGTTGAAGACAGCTCTGTTCACACAACTGACATTTGCTGTGAACTTCACTATTGTTTTGCTCTTGTGTGAAGAGTGTTACCTAGTAATAGTGTTCTATTTATGAACTGTGTGATGACTGTATTAGAAGTAGCCAGCAAGGTGTATGTAATATTCACCAGTGTGGAGGAGGAGTGGTTGTCACATACATCAAATTGCTAATGAGTGGTTTCTGCATTCTACCATGGTGAGTGTCTAGAGCAAAAGAGCCAGATGAAATGTAGCTCCTATTCTGGGTTGTTTGTTTTCAACATCCACTTTAGCATAAAATAGTTGCTGTAACTGGATCCTAGCCATTTTGTGTTGTTTTTTACTTGTATCTTTCGTAAACATTCCCATCCCCTCTGTTGCTCTGATTGCGCTACCTTGAGCAAAATCCTGTTTGTTTTATGATAATCTGTATATTAGTCTACATAAGGTCTAGTGTGAGTTTGTTAAATAAAGCCTTTGTCCAGCATGTATATTTGTGGTTTAGGTACAGTTTTCATGCACTCTAACTTAATAATTTATATACCTATATATCAGCTTCAAACAAACATTCTGGGCTCTCTGTCCCACTGTACTTGATTTTAACCAAAAATCTAGCAAATTCTTCTTAATTGGATTGAAATTTTTATCAGTACAGTGACAAATTGTCTCTTCCTTTGCCACAATAAAATATACCTGGTGTTTTTGTAAGAGTTGATAAGCTGAGCCGAGATACATAAGCCGAGACATGTGAGCTTGTGCCCGTTTAAATAAGTTGGACAGGTTCGGCTTCTGACTGTTTGAAGTCTTAAAACTTTGTCTATAATATTTTGTTTACCATATTGATGTTTATTTTTTTTATCAATTGTAGGCTTATGACATGCTTCAGGATAATTACAGCAAACTGAGAGAAAATTTTACAATATTATATCAAGGTGTCAAGGTAATTTCCTGTTTTATATTTAACTACTCAAATTATTATCATATGATTCATGTTGGTGAATATTTAACTAGACTTAAACACTGTTACAATTACAAGTTTCAAATTACAATTATCCATGACAGATAGTTTTATTCTAAATCCTGATTAAGGATTGAAAATGTTATATGTTATAACCTTTAAAAAGTAATTGATATAAGTTATTGGTATATGATTGTAATATAATTATCTGACTGAATAATTATATGATTGGCCTGCCAGGGTTGGGTAAGTCATGGGTGATGCTGCACTGTATGCTACCCACATAATAAACTACTGGAGGTGATGTCCTCTGCTAGGAATACAACTTTTGTGTCGCACATTTTATTAAGGTTTTTGCTTGTGCAGTTATGTAAATCACATTTTTTGAGTCCCCATCACTATATTAAGTAGGTATTGTACACAAAGCAAAGGAAACTACAGAATATAATGTACATTTTAATGGCAGTAAGAAAGTGATGGAAATGAAATATACCTTACGACTTCCGTTTCAAAGGTTAGATCCAGTATGAGCGTCAATTTCATTTCCATCATTATCTTAGTTTAAAACAACTATATGAAACAAAACATTCACTTTGATATTTGAGGGCACTGTTCATCCATTAAAAGTGATGATTACTTCTGGTAGAATACTATAAGCGGATAAGAGCAATATTTAATGGGTGAAACGAAATTTCGGTGCTAAGTTAACTGATATTTTCTTTAAACCATGAGATGAGGAAAATTCACATTGCCAACATTAACAAAGTTTTAAGATGATATTTTGTTTTTAGAAAAATAAATTGTTGACTACTTTCTCTTTTCAGTCAGGAGATGTTAAACTGGAAAATATAACATTACCACCAGACATCCAATCACCAGATAGTAACTTAACTCCAAGAAGTCAAGCCATCGTGGACTTTGTAGACCAGCTTCCATTAGAAGACATCCCGCTGCTGTCTGCAGTGGCTCCATCTATGAGCTCTCCAGCAGGACCAGGAGTCATTGAAGAAATGGAGTGGAAACAAATTGAAAATACAAACAAGTCTTCCACCTCTAAACTGGCTGAGCTTAGCGACCTGTGGGGCCATATTGAGAAGACCACAGCAGTGAGCTCTGCACCCAGTGAAAGTGGCCCAGCCCCTGCAGTGCCTTCCAGTAAACCCCCAGTTATACCAGGGAAAGCAACACATGCTGATGGAAGTGTTATTGAGGATTCATTTTATCTTCCAAGTACTCAGGTCCCAGAGGGAGATGTTGACAGTGCAGATGAAGCTCCCAGTTTGGCTGAGGACATCCCACTGTCAGGACGAGGAACGCCGCCTTTACCCAAGTCCAAACCTCCCTCACCACCCACCTCTGGTGTGACTGGTTCTGTGTCTACACCAGCCACACCACCTAAAGGTAGGTCTTGGTTTTCAAACCATGTCATTTTGATCATTTTGAAATAAGCACATAATGGCATATGCAGCAGCTTGTGTTGTAAACTCCCCATGGGGTTAAAATCAGTTTCAGGATTGAATGGAATCATATAGACCAAAAAAAAAAAAAAAAAAAAAATTAAGGTCAGCCAATTTTGTTATGTAAGAATCTCCTTTTGAACCCAACCTTTATTTTAAATTATACCTTACTGTTTTCATCCAGGTTACAGACCACCAGTACCTCCGAAACCTCCCACTCCCTCCTGGCTGAAGCGTAGGTCCCACATAGACCAGCTGAACCCTGACGTGATCCTCCTGGAGAGAGTCCATGCCAAGGAGATCAAAGACTGGGAGACTAGAGTGGAGGGGTTGGAGAAGAAACTGAAGGTGAGGAGATAAACTTTGTCCTGGGGAAATTTTTCTGCCTATTTTGCCTTTCACAGTATCTTAATAAAAAGGCTGTCTTCTCACTGAAATTTGTTTCATACTTTCTCCCTACTTTCCTTAAAGATTTTTTACCATCAAAGAATCAGATGTGGATACTTTCCATTCATTACCTCTTCAACCATACATTGCTGCAATTGATAAAAGTGCCTACCTGTCAGCACTGAATAAGTTTCTTATCTCTGTTGCTATATCATCATGAAGTTACTGAAATTATGTAAAATGTTTTGTGCTTGTTTTGTAGAACCAAGAGAGTGAACTGAGTCTGTTCAAGGATAGTTTGCCTGCATCTGGTGCCAAAGGTGCTAGTGATCTGGCCATGTGGAAGGCCAAGGTAAGTTCTTTACTGTTATTGCAATCCAAGTTTATTTTAGTTGAGTGGACCACCATCTTGCCACTTGTTCTGTATGTGCATTGAGTTGCATGTTTCTTAAATTTTGTAAATGTTGCCTAGTAATTACCCAGTAGTATTTTAATCAAACCTCTCTTATTTTGATGAGAGTATATCTGCATTTTCATTATTTGTAGTTGAGAGACAGGGAGAGGCAGCTTGAAGTCAAAGAGAAAATTGTAAAAGACCAGAGGGATCAGATTTTGAAACTGGAAAAAGAACTTGCTGAAAAGAGAAGAGAACTGACCTTTGCCCAAGAAGAAATTTCTCGCCTGGACAGACTTGTTCGGTCAAAGGTAGGTCATTGAATCATGTCAGATGTTCTTCTGTCACAAACAAATTTTTTTCTTGTGACAAAAGGACATCTTCCAGTGAAACTTTTTACACATCTAGGTCATGGAATGTTATATTGATTCAATTTTAATGAAACACTTTTAGCAAATCCACTTATGAAAATAACAAGTAACATAAAGGGTATATTTTTAAACTAAAGATCAAGAAACACTTATCGTGATGACTATACTCTATTTTATAAACTTCAGAACCTAGTTGGTCCAGACAGCCCCCTGCCCAGTCTAAACAGGATGCAGAGGGAGCGGCTAGCAGACACAGGAAGGACATCAGAGAAGAACATGCTGGACTGGCTGGAGACAAGCAGGGAGGAACACCAACTCAAGAAAGAGCTGCAGAACAAAGAGCAGGAGCTTTTCTCAAAGGTAGCAGCCCATTAATTTTGGTTCTGTTTTATAGGCAGTACACCCATTTTCTCATGTAATGTGAACATATAGGTTAGAGTGAAATTAGTTTCTTTTCAAATTGTATTGTTTAGAAATATTGTCTAGTATTTTGCAAATATGTTCAGTTGAATACCTAAATTTGAAAATATGATGCCTTAGATATTTTAGATTCTATCTGCATTGCCTTGGTGCTACTATTCTCAACTTTCACAACAATTTCAATTTATTCATTCAGAATATTGAAATAGACCAACTGAATAAGAAACTCAAAGACAAAAAAGAAAAGGTTGAGCGTCTCGAGGCTGAGATGAAGCAGCACAAGACACCAGAAAAGTCTGGTCTGAAGTCTCGGGAAGCCTCGCCTCCAGATGGGTCATTGTCTGCTAAGATTAGTCCCAGTAGAACGGAAGAAGATGGGCAGAGTGTAACTGCACAAGCTCAGTTAGAAGCAGAACAAAAAGAACTGAGAATACGACTCAATAACACTTTAGAGGAGTTAAGAGATAAGGTATAATATTAAATCTGTTTGGATTTCTTTTAGCAAATGACCCTGTTGTCAATCTATATTATGAAAATAATTGTTTATAAGAAAATAGGTTTCTTTGATTACTTGATTTTTTGTATCAAAACCAGACTACTAAAATGAATTAAGATACCAGCTCACATGGTATTTGAACGATAATTATGTTCTTAGTGATATTTATTGTTCATAACAGAAAGAAGAGCTATCCAAAGCCAACAATACCATGACACCTTTGAGAGCCAAAGTTACAAGATTGGCCAAAAAATGCAAGCAGAAGGTAGGGCATTAGATTTTATTTTTTGACATGTGGAATTTGCATTTGCATGTTATTTATGTTCATGAATTAATGTAGGTTTTGAATGCATAAAATGTAAATCCTAAATGCATTTGTCACTTGTAATTTTGTATGGCCTGATTGCCGCATTTTCTATGCACATCTGTTTGATATGCACTTGAATGCAGTTACCCCTGTTTAACTGCATATAGACTGATAAAAATAAACTGATTGAGAAGGTTTCCTAGTGAATTAACATCTTGCATTCCTTTCAAAATAATAACCCCTATAGTGTTTTGCCACCTAAAGACACTGCATGTAAATAGCTAGTGTGATGAGTTCTATATTTGATTAGGACAACCTTCTGCATCGAGCTGCTAAAGACATGAGTAATTGTGGAATGCATGGCCGCCTTGTTTCCAAGATAGAGCATGAGCTGGAAACTTCAAGTAATAGCAGTGACAGACGTTCTTCAGAGAAGGTGAGATGCAGTTAAGTTATTCCACAAAAAAAAAAGTTACTCTGAGTCATGCCAGTGTAATGTGAAAGGAAATTGACAGTAATTAAAAATGATATAAGACAGTTCTGCAAATGTTACATGGAGTGTGCTCATTTTTTTTTTTTTTTGGTGTGTGTGTGTGTGTGTGTGTTTGTGTGCGTAAAAACAGTTTTGACTTTGTTGACACCTTCTGCGTCCTTAAGATAACTGACAGTTTTTAGTTTTACTTGGAGGAATGCAACAAAGTTGGGTTTTGTTTGATATAAGAGAGAAATTCCTCCCTTCTTTATTTTATATCTACCATGTAGAGGTCTTGAAGTACATGTTTTCACTTTAATTTAATATTCCATATATTTCCTTCTTTCTTAAGAAAATGTGCACAGTTATGTTTTTCATGTCTTGTCAATTGGAATTTAATGCTTTTAACAAGATTCAAGTTTTACACATTTATTAACAGTTAACATTTTTGAGCCCAATTTTGATATTTAGATGATTTACTTATTTAAATGAATTTTATCAAATTTGCTTGTGATAAGGATATTTTGCATTGCACTGTATCATGCCTTTAAAAGTTCTTTTTATACTAGACACCCTAAAATTAACACTTAATGGTAAATTTCAGTTTTCAAGCTGCAGCTCCAGTCCACCAAAAAAGGCAAAGAAGTCCAACACCAAGAGTGATAGCCATGAACACCAGACAACAGATGACCAGACTGAGATGGACAGTATGATGTGGTCACTGGATGACCATTCTGACCACTCAGAAGAAACATCAGTGGCCACAGCTAGTGACTTTGATGACCTACCTTACACCACGAGAGTGAAATCAAAACACGGCCAGTTGAATAATGAAAGAATGAAAAGACATCCAACAGAACCACGCCAGAAGACATCAGAGAAAAAGAGAAAATCGAAACATAGCAAGCAAAAGCCACATGGAGGTGAAGACACAGATTTGTTTAGAGCAATTTCTGACTACAGACCTGAACTTTTTTCACAAAGCAGGCATCCAAATTTGGAATTACCACTTAAAGAAGGGGAGTTAGTGCAGGTGCTAGGTATGAAGAAAAATTAAATAAAATCATATGCAGTTTTAAATTATTTAGAGAAACAGTTGCCTAGTAATAATATTCATGTTGTTTTTGAAAAGTGGAATATCCTAGAAAAAATTAATCTATATTAAAAATTTGAATTTTTACCTGAGTTAATGTTATTTATAGTTTGAAGTGGATATAGGAGTTGTTTGCTAAGCAAATTAGCCAAATCATTTATATCCTATGCTTTAGGCCCACCAGACCAGGATGGTTATTATGAGACAAGGCTTGGAGGGCGTGTTGGGCTGGTCCCTGCTTCCTATCTCCAACCAGTCTATACAGAGAGAACTGTGGATGACAGCAGGAGAGAGAGGAGCAGGCCAGGGGAACTGGTATGTGAACCAATGGGAGCTCCAATGGGGACCAGTTTTTCTACTGTACCTATCAAACCACCTTTAAAGCAATTAACCATGAAATTTAAAGCAATAGTTTAGAATCTTTTAAACAAATATAATTGTGTTTCAGTTATTGCAAATATTAAATAGGAAAATAGATAATTCTTCAAATACTTTTATATTGAATTTTTGTAGAATTGATACACAAGGAAAGCATAAAATGGCACTTTGCTATATAACCTAGTATATGAAAATACATAAAGCAGCTTGGCATGTGGGACTGTTACATCACATTGGAAAGATTTAAGCCCTGAACATCATCATCATCATCATCATGATCTATATCCCTGTAATGTGTTTTTGTGCTTGCTTCAGGCATTGCCGTCTCACCTTGACACAAGTCCTGAGCAGATCCTGGGGATGCACAGTGCCTTAGAACAAGCCTTCCACCCAGGACCCTACCCCATTGGCCACGGGTTTGAGACAGGAGACAACATGGTGGAGCAGCAACTGCCAGTCAACCTGGCTCTGTCACTGAGCCAAAGCTTACAGTTGCCTCCCCCTTCCATCATGAACCAAAACATGTCTCCTTTCAACCAGTTACAACCACAACAACAGCAGACTACCAATGGGCAGTCATCTTTGGGGAATTATTTGCAAACAGTGCCATCAAATGATTTAGTTTCTCCAAATGGTGCAAGCCTGAGAAATGGACTGGGCCCTGTGGATCAGCAGCAGGCTTACAGTGGTCTTTCTGGTTCAAACTTTCCATCGAATTCAAACAACGCTGATAGAAGATCTAATAACTCTTACCACCCAACCACTAGATCTAGAGTCAGCCAGAGGACTGCAGGTATGGTATATTGATTTTTCCCCTTTTTAAGTTTTGTAATTATATTTGTTCTCTATCTTATCTGATATCAGTATTTCCTTCTGAACCTAAGATCCTTAAACGATCTGTGAAAATCCTGGTTAAGATACTTTTAAAATAAATTATCAAAGAAAACAAAAATTAATGTCATTAGAACATTGGAGAATTATCTCTAAAATGTTGAAGTTACGCCTAAAACAATGAACTAATTGTTCCTTCCAGGTAATCCTGATCCTCCCAGTCAGTTCTCTATGGAACAAATTCTCAGTGACCTCAGTGTTCTGCTGAGCTGGCAGCCTCCTGAGATGGATGAGTTTGGAAGAAACAATGACTCCATAGTCAAAGGATACAAGGTAGATCTAAATATCAGAATATCTTTCTTGAAGAGTCTTTATGTCATTAATTTGGAGTAGGAGTCAGTTGAAGCTAATTCTATCTTTTTGACTCAGATTCTTTTAAATAAATGATATATTATATTTGAATATTTTATTTTTAAATCCATGAATGAAACATTTTTCAACTCTTTTTGGGTTAGATTTTTTAATGCATACTGTTTAGTTGTGAATCCATGAAAACCTATTGTTCTCATTATATTCTTTAAAAATTCTCCAGACATAAATATATATGTTATTGTATTGTAGATTCTTGTCAATGGTCGTGAGGCAGAGGTGGTCAGGAGTCCACATCAGTGCAAGGTGCTTATAGAGAACCAGAACTTGCGCCGACCAGTGCAGTTCAGCATACAAACTCTGGCAGAGAATGGACGCATGTCTGCCACCACTGATCTCATGCTTGGGGAGTTTCCTCGTGCAGCATCTCGTAATAGTATGCCGCCACACTCAGCCACTGAGGAGGATGGGGACGTGGATGATGACGATGATGTAGCCTCGTTTGTGTCTAATGATGATCATTACAGGAAAGGAGAGAGAAGAATTGTAAGTGTCTTGGTACAGAAATGGTGTTTATAGGAAGAGATTGATGTCTTTCAAGCACATCTCACAAATACTGTTTTACAACAAAAAAAATCTACATAAACTTAGAGTCCACTGTATATATAATTATGACTTTTAGTATGCTCCTTCACTGCTGCTTTCACATGTCAACTCTTCTTTGTCTTTTATAAACATCATAATCAAGTGAAGAAATATAAATAATTGTAATAGCATATTAATTTTGTTTGATATTTGCTTCAGTTTGTAGCTGTATATGACTACATACCTTCTCGGCAGTCCCCAAACAAAGTCTCTGCATATGAATTGGTCATTAAGGCAGGGGATGTTATTACAACATTTGGTCTCCAAAGAGCCGATGGTTTCTTCTTTGCTGAGGTAGGTTGTGGGTGCAGGTTTGTGAGGAATACTCACAGGGCCACATATATATAGCCATTTGTATGGAAATCAGCATAAAGATTAAAGAATTTATTCAACACATAGCAAATACATGACTGTTTAAAATTATAATTTTTGTCTTCAAAGATGCCAAAATGATGTGAAATAATTTACTATAGATGCTGTCTGCTTCCAGGTAAATGGCAGGAGAGGTTTAGTACCTGCAAGCTTCATTGAGGAATTTAGCGCAATTCAAAAATCAAATTCTAATTTGGTCAGCAGGAAAGCTGGTAAATTGTCCAGTCACAAAAACAGTGAGCATTCTTCTTCTGAGCAGAGTAACGTGTCTACAGGAAGTAGGTCTAAGGGACAACCAAAGAGGATGGAGAAATACAAGGATACACGGTTGTAGAGTGTATCCTTGTATTAAAAATGATATCAGACAAGAGAGGTGCAAAACTGAGACTATAAAGACTATGACAAAGCATCAGGGAGTGATTTGTCAGTTTCAATGAGATGTCTTGTACATTCATGGATCAGTCATTGAACTTCATTTTCGCAGTGTTGATTTAGCAGAAAATATGATATACATATATACCTTAATGAGACTACCTAGATTTTGCTCAAATTTGCACAAGGTGAAATGTTCCCAATGTCAGGTTGACAACACTTAATGAAATGAGATGTGGATTATCCATTCTCATTTTTTATATAATGGCAGATCTTATTTT